AGACGTAGCTTACAAAGGTTATTCTCCTTTGCACATACGAACGCATTACCGGAGTTGTGTAAAAGTCTACTGGAGGACATTAGACGGTCGTTATTCCATGTACAAACGTTTGCACAAAGATCTCTGAATGTAGTAGCTAGCCATTCTAGGAATGTCATTCACACAATGTGACCTAGCTCTTTGAGTCGTGTTCAGTGTGTCTGAGGTATGGCTTTCTGTACATTAGAGCTTGATGTTTCATTAAATGGAACTGGTCATGCAATAGATATATGTATATTGCATTATAGACATAACATTAGATTCAATAGTGCGTGTGTCTAAAAATCTATACTTGCATTAGTTTGAAATACATCTTTGCGTGATTTGATAAAACCTACGAAATATGTTTTCCGCGGACCGCCGAAACATTAAGCGTTGACGATTCTGTGTGCGTGTGACAGCCCTGAGTTCCGAGGATGAGTTTAATGAAAATAATATACATAGGTGAATAGTGCACATACTCATTTTGAGCATATGCTCATCTTTTGGCATAGATGTTGTTGATATTATTCACTGATAACTGACACGTATTGTAAACGTATATAGAATGTATGTTTTCTTTACTAGTTTACTGCTTTGTTTTTGTTTGTTTGTTGTTCAACGTCGCACTCCGCAATATTCCAACTATATGACGCCGGTCTGTAAATAATCGAGTCTGGACCAGACAATCCAGTGATTGACGTCATGACGTCACGTCCACGCAATTGGGATACGATGACGTGCTTCAACCAAGTCAGCGAGCCTGATCACCCGATCCCGTTAGCCGCCTCTTACGACACGCATAGTCGCCTTTTACGGCAATCATGGGTTGCTGAAGACCTCCTCTACCCCGGATTTTCACGGGTCTTCTGCTTTGTAAAGTCACGAGATGAGAAAAACCATGTTATTCAACAAGAATATACAGATGTTCTATGTATTATGTACTTTCTAAAAGATAAGCGTTATCTTGCTCTGAAAACCATTGTGTCATTGAGGCAGACTTAAAGTTCTGGCATTAAGTGTTAAACATCTGAGGCCTTCAACCAATTAATAAGTACAGTAAATGAGGATTAATGTGAATACGAAGAGAGAGTGAGTGTGTGATACGATGAAGTGAGTGCATAATATTTTACGCCAGTCAGCAGTATCCAAGCTATATGAGGGCGGCCTGGAAATAATCGAGCCGGGACCAGACAAACCAATGGGTGATAGCATGGGCAATAATCGATACTGCTCCATACGCTTTAGGGGGCACGGGTGGCCCAGTCGCCGCGATTCGCTGTGCAGAGTTGCGTCCCTTGGGCACGCCGGAAACATATGATTGTGGGTTCGAATCCCGGTTCGCCCCGATTATGTTTCTAGGTTTGTCAGCACCATACCAGTGCTCGTGGGTTTCACCGAAGTGGTAAACGCCTTAGACCTGCATCACTTCGGGCTTTCCTCCCACATTAAGCTGACACGCCGCGATATGACTGGAATACTGTTAAAAGCGGCGTTAAACCCAACTCACTCACCCATACGCTTTAACAATGAGCGGTCACACGTTATGACCACCCGATCCACGTTAAAGTTATTTCGTCAGGAATGCCCACAGGAACAGATTCGATGAAAAATTCTCTGGCTTAACTTTTTGTTGACATTCCTTACGTGGATGAACGTATGATAAATCGTGGGACTCCGGTACACCGCGAGGGTATGGTTTTAAAGTAGTTCAATTGATGCAGGAGAAACACTGCGTCCGTTTCATATACAGTCTAGTCTCGTTGAGCATCGCTTCAAGGATCGAGCTAAATCTGGGCACATATCCGGAGATCTACTTATCAGGATCGACTCGTGCCAGAACAAACACAATCAAGTACATAAGATACTGCCTTTGAAACCTTGGTTCAAGCCAGTCGTTAACGAGTTTGGGGGGAATTATTCGCAATCGGTCTCAATGAGCGCTCACATCATGGGCATTTGTTAAGTGGCGTGTGGTAAGTGATTAGACCTCTGCAGCTGATCGGTCAAGGGCGGTCGGGTAGCCTAGTGGTTAAAGCGTTCGCTCGTCACGCCGAAGACCCGGGTTCGATTCCCGACATGGGTACAATGTGTGAAGCCTATTTCTAGTGTCCCCCGCCGTGATATTGCTGGAATATTGCTAAGAGCGGCGTAAAACCATACTCACTCACTCACTCACTCCTTCACTGAACGGTCAAAATGACGTAAGGGATATTACTGTCACGTTACAGTTGTTATCCGGAATTTCTAAACTGGCGGGCAAAAGAAAGTATACACCCATGTTTCCTGGTTGCTAAAAATTAAACAATCAAGAAATGCTTATTCGATGTTGATGTATTTCACACGGGTGTCATAGTTGTATTTTGGACCTTAAGTGTTTCGGCGACTGTTTTCAGCCATGTAACGTTTTCAAAACGTTTGTAATTTTTTGGCCAAATCCAATATTCTAGCGTTACTTTCCTTTACCAGTTTACTTCTTCACTTGTCGTTGCAAATAAGGAGCCCCGTGAAGACCCGGGGTAGAATAGGCCTTCAGCAACCCGTGCTTGCCGTAAAAGGCGTCTATGCTTGTCGTAAGAGGTGACTATAACGGGATCGGGTGGTCAGCCTCGCTGACTTGCATGTTATCGTATCCCAATTGCGTCAATCGATGCTCATGATGCCAATCACTGGACTGTCTGGTCCAGACTCGATTATTTACAGACCGCCTTCATATAGCTGTAATATTGCTGAGTGCGGCTTTTGAACAACAAACAAACAAACAAATAAGGAAGTGTTGTATATCAAGGGAGCCTGGGTAAAGTCTTCCTGATATATCTAAGGGCAGTTTAACACAATCTAAAAGAAATATATAAATATTTTCATTTCAGAGACTTAATGTAAGTCTAGTGAAATGAGCAAGTGTTGTTTACCGCCTCGGTCAGCACTATTCCAAATGTAAACAAGCAAGTCCCCATGTGGGGAATCGAACTCGGGGCTTCGGCGTGACGTGCGAACACTTTAACCACTAGGCTACCCCTTCGCCCCGTGTTTGAAACAGATTTGTTTAATCATCCAACGCAGACAATCAATAACTGTTGGATTGATATACACTATACAACATTCAGCAAAAACAGAAGTTTTGAATGTTTCGCAGTCCTACGCGTTATTCTCTCATTCAGAACAAACTTCCTTTGTCTGCTAACTGAATTTTCAGGGTCACTAAACTTTCAGAATCCAGCCTGATTTAAACTGACACGCCGTGATATAACTGAAATAATACCCACTGCGGCAATAAGCTCAAATTACCATATGCTATAATTGTTATGCTGAAATCTGTTCCCTTATTTTTCATTATGAGTATATATATCAAATCTAAAAATGAGCTCCGCCATGACAAATTGCCTACGTAAGCACAATTTATGAATATTTATAACACAAGTTTACTTTCATAAGAATACGCATACCTGAACTGACACTTGAGCCCTGCCTTCCACCAATTGTTGCACGAAATCAAACAATACCCCAACAAGAGATAACAATGTCAACACAAGAAAGAGGCCACGAGCTCACTATATTTTACAGCTAATTCCCCAGGTCATGTTTATACCTCGGGTCATATCTATGTTCATTCAAATACCTATACATACATGCTCATTCAACATGAACTGAATGGCTTCGCCCGTCTGTTTAATGGTCGCAAGGGAGAAACAGGCCCGTTTGCTTTCACCGACATAGTTGAGTGTATTTAGCAATGGCGACACGGTTTGGTGGTTATAGTCCTCCAACACTGCATATCGCACACACATACCCATGTATACTTATACTTGAGGAGAAAAGTTGCTCTCCGGGTGTCGCTTGACCCACATAGAAATCATAATCAATATTGCCATCGGGTAAATGCAACATTTGGCGATCCCATCACTGAAGGAGTGAGTATATAGGCGTTAACGCAACGTATAGCTATATACCAGCCCCACCTTGAGGTACACCAAGACTTCACGCAATGTACCTGATTGGGAATCGAACCTGGGTCTCCCGTGTGACGGCGAACGCTTTACCGCTAGGCTACCCCACTGGCCTGGGTAGACAGTGAATAGGGTTTCTATAACATCAGTTTTACGATAGAATACAGCTCATTACGTAATGTTCATTGAACATGTCAATCGGCTCATTTACGATGAATGCTATCAATTGACTTATAATAAATTATTAACCCTTATTTTATTATTAGTTATGATAATTGATGCTAATACTATTTCTAAATTGAAAAACAAAAGAAAAATATATATATATTCGCACACCCATATATCCTTCCTTAAAGCATCGTCGAACATATTTATATACATGCAGATTATATCATTAATATTTGCCTGCGTGTGAACCACAGCGAACAACCCGCAATAGAAAAAGTGTGGCAATTTCAAACATGTACGGTAACTAATAACGTTATATTTTGACAAGCGGCAAGATATATTTCGCGGATATTAAAGTTAACGCTACACACTCCCAGAATGTCCCACGTGACCGAAACTTTCTGCACCGAGGCAGGGTGGTTGAGTTGCGAGTTGCCACGTCGCTGTGTTTCAACACAGTGTTTACTGTTAGGCCTCGCCAGAACAACCGGTACTGGATGGAAACTGAACCCGTCTATACGTACGCCGCATCTCTGGGTTCATTAGAAACCTAGATACACATTTGTACACACGTATTTGATTACATGGCGACCGGGTGAACAGGACATATTGTACACGGGCCACAAGTCGCGTTAAATACGTGTTACACCCAAAACTGAATGTTTAAATTTAGGATCATTCAAATACAATAGAATTAGACACGGGTTAAAATATAAACACGACCTCCATTTGTGCATCAACAAAATTATTATAAACATCGAAACATGAATAAAATATAAGGCAATTATGACAGGATTAACTTTATGTCACGTTTATTCGTTTGTTACTGAAACTTCCTGACGCAATTATCAACCATTGTACTGTTACCTTCTAGTCGTGGGAGCGGGATCACATCGTTGTCAGGTGCGTCCTTAGACCGAAACTGAGACACTAGATGTTTATAGAACCTGAGGAAGTCTTTGTAAGTTCTTCTAATATAAGAAGTCCTTCCATCCGACCAAAACACCTCAACGACGAACACATATTCCATACTCAGCCGTCCCATTTTCTTCTCGGCAAATCCAGTGACTGCAGCGAAGGCTACAAATAAATTAGCGCATGTGAGCGAGTCCCACACACTCGACGCCATTCTCAACACTTCTAAGCCGGTTGAGACATTTATAAACTTTCACTTCTTTGTCGACTTCATTGCAGCGAGGGGAATAAAAACACCGTTTTACCCTCTCCGTCCGCCATGTTGCTCGAGCAGACGACAGCGCTAGCTCTCTTCACATCTCAATACAGTACGAGATCTGTTATCTGGCTCGGCTATCACGGTAGTCCACAGTGGGCCGTAAACAACGCCAGCCACGGATCCTTTCAAATTATGGCCGGTTATTAAGATACTGTCATTGAAATCATCAGCTTCGCAGCTGGGTAATTTTCTTTTGTGTGAGCGCTGGAAACCGATCATCCATTAAAACACAAGAAGGAACTAAAACACAATCATTCCGAGATTGTTGAAAAGTCATATCAAGTCGCGAGTTATCGTCTGCTCGGGTTATCGTCTGCTTACCGCCGAGTGCACCCAGCCCATCGCTACTGTTTGCGCGGATAATATAAACAGCATCTGCAACAACACACACAATGAACCTGCCGATACAGCCGAGGTGGAGATCTCTGAATGATCGCTCTCGTCTGCATGGCCGACAGGCTCGGATAGAACTTCTCACACTTTCATAAAGAGATCATATTTCTAGACTGCAGCAGATTGGCTAGTGCTCTCAGTACATCAGTTTACGTCGTTTATCGTGTAACTATGGTAAAACAGTCTCCTCATCGTCTCAATTTACGCTTCCGATTTCAATTATTTCACAACCAGTATCTTCAAAAAGGCCCATCACTATCATCAGGCCTCTCGCTGGCTATAAATCTGGGCCGAATTAACGTTTATTTATTGGTCTGAAAAGGTAGCAGCAATGGTTTATTTCCCTGAAGAGGTAGGTACCTGATTTGGCCATTAACACCTGCTTAGCGCAATCACAAAACTATTCTGACATGCTATGTAGTTGATGTCGAACCCTGGTTTGAATCACGAACAAATTCTTTGATCTGAAATACTCACGGTACTCGTTATTGGAAGCAGTTGTGAGTGAGTAGGGTTTTACGACATTTTTAGCAATAGTTCAGGCACATCAGGCCGGGGACCTCATGACTGTACTTTACATGTACGCATTTTGGGAATCGAACCAGGGCCCACTTGCACAAAACGACCTTAGCGCTAAGATGATCTTAACTCCCATACTTTAGCATAGGCTTACAATAGTCTTAGTGCTAAGATCGCTTTGTGCAAGTGGGCCCTTGACCTTCAGCGTGAATGAACATGTGTTAAGAGTCATTGTCTGTGGTTTGATGCAAGCAATAGTTCAGGCAGATAACTTCCGTCTGTCTGCAGGTTTGTCGTTTAACGCTGCACTCAGCAATATTCTAGCTATATATGATAGCTCTGTAAATAATCGAGTCTGTACCAGGCAATCCACATCATGAGCATCGATCCACGCAATTGGGATACAATGACATGCATCAACCAAGTCAGTGAGCCTGACCACCCGATCCCGTTAATAATCGCTTCCAACTACAAGCATAGACGCCTTTTACAGCAAGCTGGAGTTGCTGAAGATCTATTCTACCCCAGATCTTCACGGGGCAGATAACTACCATGGTCAAATACTGTACTTCACACAGCATCGTTCCATCTTGGAAACATTTATATTTCTCCTCGTCGTGACGAGGCAATGCTTTACTTATTAGACTACCCACCCACCCACTTATACAACATTTACTCACTTATACACACGTGTGTATATGTGAATGTACTATGCGTTCACATGAAAATCAACTTAGGTATGTAAATAAAGTATGTAAATGGTCTAAGGTGCATATATTCGTCAGGTTTTTTTACCACTTTTAACATAAAACAGGATGTTTACCAATCAAAGTTGAAAGAGAAGAGAGTTACTTTACCGAAATCTTCGCATGAAGCAACATGTGTTTGATTTAATTTGTACACAAAGTTTTGACTCCTTGAAACCCAAAGAAACACCGTCCGCCCAGCTCTGGATGCCCACATAAAGTTCGTACTGCTGTATTCTGAATAGCTTCAGAACTTCAGAAAAAAGAATTTGTTTGATGTTGGCAAAAGAACAGATATTAATTAGGTCATCCTTTGACGTTGGCATAAACGTTCACATTACAACATATACATACAGCGCAAATTTGCCGAAACTGATTCTACTTGGCGTAAAGGGCAAATATGAATGGACCACTAAAAATCAGTGATGACACCAGGATGAGGTGTTGCGAAAAAGCGTAGCCCGTCCTGACCTACCAGTAGCACTCGCCATTCGTACAAGTTGTATAAAAAGACAGTGTTTATTACCTGACGCAGCACAGCAGTACTTGCCATGCCACGCCTGTAAACGAACCAGAAATTCAAGATATCGATGAAGCAGAACATCCAGTTACACGAGGGAGCCATTACTGATTTTGTTGAAACTAATAAAAACGGTAAGTTAAGTTTGAATTACGTCAGGTGTGTACAAGTGCAGACATTTTGCTGCTTATAAGTAAAAAAACAAACATGCTAAAACATATATTCGTTTTGCAACAAAATGAAGCGCAGTTTTAAACTTCATGTACCCCGAGTGATCATGTTACAACGAATTTATCTAACCGACATGTTTTAATATGACATTATAAAGGAATTAAAACAAATTCAAAATTAATAGAAAACAGCTGCTCGATTGAGTTGAGGTTAACTTGTGCTGCTGTCACGCGACTTTCATTGTCTCGGGAAAAGCATGCGGCTTTTTGCTTTGAAGCGGGGTATGAAGGATGTGTTTTGCCTCGTAGAAATCCACGTGAAGCCTGTCTTACGCGTGGCGGGGTGTAAGGGATGTATTCTCCAGCTTAGAAATTTATTTCCCTCCAAGGCGGGATACATAGTATTTTATCAAGATCACGTGGACGAATCAGACCTCACCATTCTGACACAGGGGTGTGATGAAGAAATATATACAAGATGCAACCTATTAACAAGGAGGGCTGGCATGCGTGCATTATTATTTTGTTGCGAATCTGACGGGAATATAGCATTTCGGAAAACTGTTCAGATATCGTAACGGAAAGAAGAAACTGTGCTTCACATAAAGTTTAATAAAAAATAATTTATTCTGAAATTAAATAATGCATTTTACTATACATATCCATGTAGACATAGCCTCGACTTGAAGGTGATGATTCACGGTTTGCACGTGCATGTTAATACACGGAGCACAATTTGGATGTTTGGGTGTTTGTTGGGAGCATGATACTCATACAAGATTTGTTGTTGTTGTTGTTTAACGCCACACTCAACAATATTCCAGCTGTATGACGATGGTCTGAAAATAATCGAGTCTGACCCAGACAATCCAGTGATTGCCACATTCTGTCATTCCGGTGAAGATAGCATCAAAGGTTCAGAAGACTGACAAGACTGGGTCAGTATACAGTTCACAGATGAGTCCAGGTTTCATTTGGACAGCTCTGATGGTCGTGCAAAGGTCCACAGGCGTCCAGGAGAACGTTTCAGCGACGCTTACGTTAATCAACGTCGTCAGTTTGGGGGTGGGCGTGTAATGGTATGGGGCTGCATCACAGTACATGGGAGAACACAACTCCTCATCGATAATGGCAATTTGAATGGCTACGCTACCGGGATGACTTGGTTTGAGATCATGTTCTACCCTTTGGGCAAATGCATGGACATCACGTCACGTTGCAACAGCATAAGGCCCATACTCCACGTTGCATGTGATGTAACAGACATTTTGAGGCAGCATAACATTGCTGTACTGCCATGGCCGGCTTATTTTAAAGACCTCTTCCCGATAGAACATGTCTGGGATGAGATGGATCAACGTCTACGACCGGACCAGAACCAGCCGGTAACGCAAGCTATCTTGGTCCAATCTTTGGTTGACATTTGGAACATCAACCAGACTTTTTGTCAGTCATCTGGTATCTTCCGCTGCCTCGCCTGTATCACCGCAAATGGTGCTCACACCCGATATTGACATAGTTAATTGAGTTGATACACCACCCCTCCTTATGGTGTGTCGCTCTGTCTCCTGTATCTAGGTATCGGTTTTGTCAATGAGTTTGTTATGATAAAAGATTGATCAGACGGATGACCAAATATGTTGTTATTATTTCCAATAACATAACATTTTCCAATTCATATGAGCCATGGTTCGCTACTATATATAGTTAGTCGTCCTGTGAGGATTATGGGTTAGAATTGGTATTCAGCAACCCATGCTTGTCGTGAGACGCGGATCGGGTTGTCAGACTCGCTGACTTGCTTGATGTATGTCATCGTAATTCCCTGGATCGATGCTCATGATGTCAATCACTGGATTGTCTGGTCCAGACTCGATTACTTACAGACCGCCGTCATATAGCTGGAATATTGCTGTGTTCAGCGTTAAACAACAAACAAAGAAAAAAAGGACTCTGTCAGGACTCAGTGTCTTGACATGTGTGACACTCACTCTTCTTGCAAAATCTGAGATATCTTGAGTCTCTTAAAAAAAGGGGAGAGAAGTTTACCACTCTGGTGAAACCCACGAGCACAGGTATATTGCTGACAAAGCTAGAGCTAGTATCAGAGGAATAGGAATCCATGTTTAGCAGATCCTGGCATGGCCAAGGGATGCAGTTTCGCACAGCAACTTATGGCAATGCGCGATCCTATCCCTCCCTTAATAATATGTTCAAGTTGAAGCTGGGATAGTTTTGTGATATGTGACTAAACATACGCAGGTTGGCAAACTTGAGGATCTCCTTATCTGGCTCTGTCAGACTTCTGTCTGTTCTTAAACAGCCAGAGCCCATTTCAACTCGAACTGAAAAAAGGTTGGGGGTGGGGGGTAGCGTTCAGCGCCTCCATTTGTACAATCTGAATCCCCACCATTGGAGAATGCTTCCAACCAAATATCTCTTTGTTCCAGAGAGGAAGTCGTTTAAAGCAATATAGCAAAATTACCCCTATTTGGCCCCATCCCTCAGCCCCTTGGGGAGTCATCCACACCACATGTTCAATTTTCAATCCTCACCACTGGAGAATGCTTCCAACCAAATATGGTTGATAGTTATCTTTAGTTCCAGAGAAGAAGTCGATTAGAGCAATATAGCCAAATTACCCCTAGTTGGCCCTTCCCCTCAGCCCCTTGAGAGGTCAGCCCCACCATTTGTACAATTTTGAAGTCCCACCACCTAGGGATGCTTCCAACCAAATATGGTTGATATTTATCTTTAGTTCCAGAGAAGAAGTTGATTAGAGCAATATAGCCAAATTAACGCTATTGGCCCCGCCCCTCAGACCCTTGGGGGGTCAGCTCATCCATTTGTACAATTTTGAATCCCCACCACCTAGGGATGCTTCGAGTCAAATTTCGTTAATTTCCAATTAGTGGTTCAGAAGAAGAAGTTGTTTGAATAAATTGTTGATGTATGGACGACGGACGGACGACGGTCGCCACAGTATGGTATTAGCTCTACTAGGTCCTTCGATCCCGGTGAGCTAATAATCAAGTCTGGATCAGAAAACCCAGTGATTGATATTATAAGCAACAATCCAATCCATCTGGGTACAATGACAATCAAACAAATTGTGGAGTCTGACCACCCAATCCATTTAGATCCATGTATGGTCAGACCTTTGAGAGCTGGTGAGTGACTGTGGTGTAAGGTCGCTTTGATCAGTAAACTGCTCATACCATGGGGTGTCAGCTTAATGTGGAAGTAAAACTCAAAGAAGATCTTAGATTGGAAGTTAGTTACCTGGAGAAGTCTGTGACCACAGATCCGCTCCCCAAGTGAGTGAGTATGGTTTTTCGCCACATTAAGCAATATTCCAGCAATATCACGACGGGGGACACCAGAAATGGGCTGCACACATTGTACCCATGTGAGGAATCGAACCCAGGTCTTTGGCTTGACCAGTGAACGCTTTAACCACTAGGCCCTTGTCCCTCAGACAACAGGATAACAATAGCTGCAGTTACTGTATCCCCTTATCCATTCCTCATCTATTATGCAACCCCACAGGTACCATGTCTAGACGTGTGAAGATCCGGGGTAGAATAGGTCTTCAGCAACCCATGCTTGCCGTGAAAGGCGACTATGCTTGTTGTAAGAGGCGACTAACGGGATCGGGCGGTCAGGATCACTGACTTGGTTGATGCACGTCATCCTTTCCCAATTGCATTAATCAATGCTCATGATATTAATCAGTGGATTGTCTGGTCCAGACCCAATTACTTACAGACCTCCGTCAAATAGCTGGAAAATTGCTGAGTGCGGCGTTAAACAACAAACTAACAAACCAACCATGTCTGGATAAAATTGCAAAGGGTCAGTAATTGATCCTTAATTGGACTCAAAACAAACTATGTTGTGTACATTCAATTTTTATTGACATTCACATCACACTTGGGTTATTCTGTTGTTGCATTTTTTTCTTTTTCAGTTTCATTTCTTTTTTCTTCATTTTCTTCTCCTGTCTGCTCAGTTTCTCCTTCTTCTCGCCAGAGGACGGCACACTGAAGTCAATCACCGCCTCATACCCAGGCTCCATACGATACTGGACGTCCTCCAGCTCACGACCTTCACAGTACTCCTGGTATACAGGGTTCGTCCGGGCAAGGTCATGAGCTGCATCTAATGTCAAGGCCTCTAGTTGTTGCCTGGCAACAAAAACCTGGCTGGATTCCTGTCCATTGATCTGGAAGGGATAGGATCAGTATGGCAGAATTTGGCAACTAGAATTCACAAGTTTGGTTTAAGTGAGGCAGGTCACACATGATAACCCATGAGCACAGTTAGGAGCTGACAAATGACAGATCGAACCTACAATCAATGATCCATCTTCCCCAAGCAAGGGTATTAATTGACCATTAAAGTCCAGTTTCCACACTTGCCAAACTAGGCTGGAATTATGGAGTTATGTTTTGGCTGGACTAATGAGCCTATGCATAGTCCAATCAAAATCTCGTAACAAAATTGATATCCGGTTTGTAAACTGCCGTGCAGATTTTGGTCGATTGCAGGATTTGCAAAACATATGAACCAACTGGGCATCAACAGATACTTTCGATATCTTTCTATGTTTTTAATGAGGGCGCTCAGTCATTTGATGTACTTCTTAAAGTAAGACCCATTTCATAGATTTTGATTATCGATCAGATCTTCTTGACTTAGTGCTTTCATTTTGTTTGAAGCAAACCCAAGTGATATGAGATATGGAATTTGATTGGTCAATAGGAGGGACACAGCAGGGACATAATTTGTAATAGACACTGGTGGAGCCCAGATATTCCAGCCTAGTTCGGCAAAGGTGGAAACTGGACTTTTACAGTCAGTTAACTCCCTCGCCTCAGGAAGATGTCAATGATCTTCTGCTTGTATAAGTGACCCAGGAACCACCATTAAAATAAGTGGGTGTGGCAGTTAAGATTGTTTGAGACAAGATACCTTTTATTCACAGTCACGTTTTAATTCCTTTTGCTTCAGCACCAAAATCTGTTCCTCAGCTTGATGCTAGTACTATCACTATGCTAACTTGCCCGTTCAATGGGGGTGCAGATATTCCGGACCTACCACAGTCTAGTAAAGGCCCCACCTACCTTGATGAAGAGGGGTAGAGGGTAATCTTGGTCCACGTCCGGCCAAACCTGGTCCAGCACACTCTTGTCCTTCAAGAAACGGAAGGGAAATACACCAAGTATTAGATATCAATGTGCAGGATTAAATATCAATAATGATACTGCTTATGTCCATAGATTATGGAGATACCTGGCAATAATTAACAGGAAAAGAAAATGGTTTGTTTGTTGTTTTACACCACTGTGAGCTATATTACATATACCATGGCATCCTATAAATAATCAAGTGTGGACCAAACCAGTGGTTGACATGATGAGCAACATACGGCACAGTCGGGCAACAAAGCCAGGCAGTCAGCCAAGTCACAGAGCCTGACCCCTCAGTGTAAGTGATCATTCCAGGAAGAAAACTGATTTTGTATTTACATATACATATACAATTTACAAACCTGTCTTTTGAGATCATTTTCATGAGATCTAATGCAAATCATGTTAATATATGCACTACTTTTAGCTGATGTTACCAGACAGAATTTATTTATTAGAAGACACAGGCTTGTGGATAAACTCACAGATGTAACTTGTGGAATCATTACATGAAATTAACACAAATGATACAATAAATAATATAATATAATGTATGATTACTTGAAACTGAGCTGAAATTTTAAATAAAACAAAGCACAAACAGTAGGTGAGTAAACAAAAATTATTGCAGATGTGTTGAATCCCACAACAAACAAAATACCAAATAACATCATATTTTGTACTGACAAAGTGTTATGGCCATAATTAGCTTTTTCAATATGGTTGCCATGGTGACAAATCTTAAAATATCACGAAAAAACAAAGAAAAGTGTTAAGTTTAACTAACTAACTAACTAACGACACACATGCCAAATTTCATTATAGTTTGAAAGAAATAGGGTGAGTGATGGTCATCAGATGTTTCACCTGGCAGTGTGGACGAAATGAAATGGTCAAATCAAGGTCAAACTTTAAAACATATACGTTGAGACCCACTACAAGCATCACATGTACAAACATGATGATGGGCATCAAGGGAGTAGATGTTTGTGACAGATGACGGAAAATGGATGGCACATGACGGACAACCGTCACGCCTGTGAAGATCAGGGTCAGAGATGGTCTTCAGCAAGCCATGCTTGTCATGACGCAATTCATGGGATCGGTTGGTCAGGCTTGCTGTACATGGCTGATGCATGTCTTTGTATCTCAGTTGCGCAGATCGGTGCTCATGACATCAATCACTGGATTGTCTTGACTTGACTGGTCCAGACTATATTATTTACAGACTGCTGTCATGTAGCTGAAATATTGCTGAGTGCGGTGTTAAACAACAAACAAACAAACAATCAGCCATGATATAAGCTCACTTGACTTTCAGTCAGGTGACCTACAAATAAGGAATGCTTTATAAGAACAGGTAGAAAATCTGCACAGCAATAACGTGTGAATAGTTACCACGCCATGAATTCCATGCACCTACTATACCGCTGATCGTGGTCTGAGTGTTCTGATAACCTACCCAGCAGTAGTGATGATTGTGTTTGTTGGGGAGACTGGCCAGCCCCGCCCACATCTCGGATGCCAGGTGGGGTGCTAGAGGTGCTATCATCACCACCAGGTCACACAGACCACGCTCGAACTGGGCACTGCGACGCATCAGGGAGGGCTGGACTTTCTGAGGGAAGTTGAAAGCTAAGAGTTAATATCATTTCATCCTTCCCATTGCAACCTCTGGAGAGTGGCAGATTAAAAGACGCATGCATATAATTATCAGGTTTTCATCCCATAGAAACTAAATCTCACTTGACTTCACTAATCATAATGGTCACTTGACCTGAGTGACAACTCTTGTAATTTGTTGGATAAATCCCAACAGAATCAATGAAAGATAAATTTCAAATGTCTCTTGTCTCAGTTTACATAAAACTTCCAAAAAATGTTTTAATCTGGCTGACCATTTACTCTTCTAAAATAGCCCTGGATATTTGAATGAGTGAGTGAGTATGGTTTGACGCCGCTTTTAGCAATATTCCAGCATTATCACGGCGGCGGACACCAGAAATGGGCTCACACATTGTACCCATGTCAGGAATCGAACCCGGGCCTTCGGCGTGACGAGCGAACGCTTTGACCACTAGGCAACCTGACCGTCCCCCTGGATATTTGATATGAGATGAGGCATTTGCGATGAGAATTATCATTCAATATGTGATTGAGCATTTGATAATGAAGCATGTGATGTGAGAATTATCATTTGATATGAGATAAAGCACTTGATAAAGAAGAAACACTCAAATGAGATTAACTGAAATTCATACAACATATATAATTGATTGGTACCGGGTAAACTTTTTTTCATTAATGTTAAAAATGTTTTCCTCCATACTGGAACATTTTATGTTGTGTTCAAGAATCCATGATGTGTTGCCATCACAAAGTTATCAGTTCTGAATAAGTTATTCAAAATTTCCTCTCTTAAAGACTGAATATGTCTGAGAGGGTACTGGTAAAATTCCTGATTGCACTGATATTTAAACTGAAACAAGACGCAATAGATGGTGGTGCGGTGCATACTCCTTTATGTTCACAATTAATTCCTGGTGTTTTTGAGTATGGAGAGGAAAGCTTGGATATTAGAACAGGCACAACACTTCATTATCATAATCCTAGCTACAGATTCCTGTCGTCATATGGAGAGATTGAGTGAGTGAGTGAGTATGGTTTTACGCTGCTTTTAGCAATATTCCAGCAATATCACGGCGGGGGACACCAGAAATGGGCTTCACACATTGTACCCATGTCGGGAATTGATCCCTGGTCTTCGGCGTGACGAGCGAACGCTTTAACCACTAGGCTTCCCGACCGCCCCTCATATGGAGAGAAACAATGCCAGAAAACTATTACTGTGGAGGTACTGACCTTGAGAGCATTTGTCAGGCCCTGCAGGCGAGATATGGCAGCATTCAGAAGAAAGGTCTTCCCCATATGGAAGTTGACCTGAAAATAGAGTGAGTGAGTGAGTGAGTGAGTGAATGTTGGTTGATGCTACAGTCCACAATAGTACAGCCATATCATGAGGAGCTGTATCAATGATCAAATCTTGACGAGGAGAACCAGCAGACTGCTGGCATCAGCCCACATCAAGGCACAAAGCAGTCTGTCACACTGACCACACTGACCACCGGATCAACTTAGTCGCCTCTCAGGCCATTCATATTTTTTTAAATCTCCAACTTCAACCTGCAAGAGGGCGGGTAGGTGGTCAAAAATAAATAAAAAAAGCCAAAATATTTTTTTTTTAAATTTCACTTATTGTGTAAATTATCTTATGACATTTTAAAGTTTAGAACACTTGTTACCAGTCTTTACATTAATTTATGACGTAGACTAAGTCAGTTTGCTTCAGAAATGAAGTCTTTATAAATGTACCGGTAGCTAAAGAAAGATCAAGCTGGCCTGGGGCTTTTATGAGTGTGCAATGGTATAAGTATTTTTTTATGACATCGGGAAATACATTTCCATAGCGGCGGGGAACATTGCGATACGAAAACTTTTTATTATTTCACGTCAGAATAAAACTTCAGGGCAGGAGGGAGATGGGAAACACAGAATAAAATATAGAAGCCTTACAGCCAGCAGTGGGTCCCTGGGATTTATTTGAACTCTTCTCCCCACAAAATCAGAATGAGTACAATGCATGATGATGATGTTAAGGTTAGATAAGAAGGAGGCGTCTAACCATCCACCCGCAAGATCAGTGATACTATACAAGCCTCTGCAGTGAGCGAGTGGCTTCACAGCAGACCATCACGAATGAGTTTATTTTGAAACCATGTGGAGAACTAAACCTTATTCTTTATTGTGATGTATGAACACTTTACCCACTAGGCTAGGTCTTCAGCAACCCATGCTTGCTGTAAAAAGGTGACTATGCTTGTCGTAAAAGGCGACTAACGGGATCGGGTGGTCAGGCTCGCTGACTTGGTTGATGCATGTCATCGATCCCAATTGTGTGGATCGATGCTCATGATATTAATCACTGGATTGTCTGGTCGAGACTCGATTATTTACAGACGGCCGTCATATAGCTGGAATATTGCTGAGTGTGTCGTAAAACCACTAGGCTACACCACAAAATCATGCAGTGATGCAGCCATATACATCAGTACCTGTATGTACAAGCAGGACATTTCATACAAAATGAAAGCAAATTGCAAAAGTATTATTTCAAACTGTATCTATAAAAGCTCTGGAAATAAAGTTGATTTTTCACGTTCATATCATGTATTATCTTCTCATTACTTTCACTCGTCTCACCGAAGGCTCTGGTTCGACTCACCGAAGGCTCTGGTTCGACTCACCGAAGGCTCTGGTTCGACTCACCGAAGGCTCTGGTTCGACTCACCATGTGGGTACAATGTGTGAAGCCATTTTCTGGTGTCCCCAGCCATGATATTACTGGAATATGAGTCAAGTTGTACACCATTTTTAGCAATATGATGTTCGGGCTTCGCACATTGTATCCACATTGGGAATTGAACCAGTGGATTGATGAGCTAAAGCCTTGACCTAGCTACTCACTACATATTACATAACCACCTTTGACATAAAGACTTTGTATCTTACATCACAGTTCCTTCAGGAAAAATATGCTACTTAGTCCACATCACTTTACCTCTTTCAGGAAGTAATTCCTGTTCTCAAACATAAACATGTTCACTTTGTCTATGTCCTCTTGTGATGGTTCACGGGAGTTATCTCCCTTGCTCTGTTCGATCAGGTCAGCCACAAGGGCCCACATTCGGCCCTGCCAGTGTAAAATGCCCTTGAACTCTGGAGACAAAACAAAACAACATGAAACAGGTTAACACTAAAAAATATAGTCACCAACATGAAAGTATTGCCAGTTTGCTTCAAACTGATACCTCTCTGTGCAAGACATTCCTGCAGTTGAGTTGCACAATAATCTGAGGCACTACACCTTATATCCCCAGGCACTTGAATTAAATCATGACTCCCTAACAGTAACAATCCAGTGATGAAACTGAAGTATGTTAAAGTTAAAACATTTTCCTGATGACGTTATCGCAGTTCCATGGTATGTTCATCTTCCTGAGGCAAGGGAGTTAACTGACTTTAAAAGTCCTTTTTACACTCATTCCGAACTAGCCTCGAAATTCTGGGCTCGATCGTAGCGCCACCAGTGGCTATTAAGAGTTATGTCCCTTCAATGTCCCCCCAACCAACCAATCAGATTCGGCAGATAGCGGCAGTTGCCATGTTGTTTTTTAACCAGATGTCAATATCATTACGGGATTTTGATTGCACTGTACATAGACTTGCTAGTCCAGCCAAAATATAACTCCATAATTTCAGCCTAGTTCGGCAAGGGTTGATCCTGGACTTTTTATAGTCAGTTAACTCCCTTGCCTCGAGAAGATGTGGTATGTATGACAGTGTACCTTCACTAGACCACTTCCTGTGTGACTGCGGGGCAACGTTGGACAGAATACACAGACGGGTAGAGTCAATCCCAAACTCAGCCATCATCTCCTGGAACAAGAAGTTACATCAAACACTGACAAGACAAAATGTAGACTTGATGGGTGGAATAATGGCTGGATTGGATCCCGAACTCAAACATCATCTCCTGGAACAAGAAATTACATCAAACACTGACAAGACAAAATGTAGACTTGATGGGTGGAATAATGGCTGGAGTCGATCCAGAACTCAAACATCATCTCCTGGAACAAGAAATTACATCAAACACTGGCAAGACAAAATGTAGGCTTAATGGAGGAGGAAGGCCAAGTGTGACACAGGTTGCAGATGCTTGCACTTGCACTTGCACTTGCACTTGCACTTACCAGGTGCCAAACATGATGGTGACAGACTAAGGGCCACATAGTCAAGGAAAATCTAGAATAAGGGACACAACCCTTCACAGTGAATTGCAACACTGAAGATGCCTTGAGCTGATAACACCTATACCCAAAAAATACTTAAGGGGTTTCCCGTGGAGTATTTATAGCACTGAACATTTTATGCACAGCATCAATGATAATTCAAGGGAGATAACTCTTACACACGTAACATCTCCCTGTAACTGCCACAATATTGACAACATATGATTGATAACTTTTTAAATAAGTGGAGATTTAAATGTTAGTTAGTTTAAAAATTGTTATCTAATGCCACACTCAGCAATTTTTCAGCTATATGACAGTGGACCACGGTGCTTGACTTATGGTACTGGACTTGACAATATTCCAGCTACATTACAGTAGCCTGTAAACAATTAACTGTGGACCTGACAAAGCAATGGCTGATTTTAGCAATCTCCCATGCTATCCAAGTACAACGAACCAAGTCCTCGAGCCTGATCACCTGATCCATTTAGTCGTCTCTTACAACAAGATGCTGGGGACGAATTCTACACCCAAGATCTCCAAGATCTTTAAATGTGGCTTTGGTTTCAGAAGTAATAAAAGAAAAGCTTTTAAGGTTTTTGTTTCAACTTTCTCTTGAATGAATCTCACCTGAGGGTCGACACCGTTGTGCTTGGACTTGCTCATCTTCTCCCAGTCCATCACCACCTGGCTCCCTGAACCCTTCTCCACCGGCTTGCTGGCTGTAGAGGGCAAGGAAATACATCAGTAACTGGAGAGCGTCATGCATCCTCACTATAAACCGACCGCCTCCGTGGTCTAGTGGTAAAGTGTCTGCCCAGAGAGCCGAAGGTCCAGGGTTTGATCCCCGGACGCATCATACCAAAAAACATAAAAAAGATGGTACTTGTTGTTACCCTGGCTGCGCTCGGCATTAAGGGGCTAAACCAAGGACTGGTCGGCTCGGAGCAAGTATTCTATGTCTGATTGGGATATTCATGTTAAACTGCAGCATGGTATCTCAGTGGGCTGGCACTAAAAAATTGTCATCATTCCGGACTAGTACAAGCAGCCACACACACATGCATGCACTTTGCTTTATAAGTGCAATAATCTTGGATGCGACGTTTAACCCCATTTCACCTCGCCTCATAATGACACAAGCATCTGTACCAAAATGTTGAATAGATATAAGGACAGGGAAATACATCAGTAACTGAGGAGTGTCATGCATCCACCTCACTGTAAACCAACCGCCTCCGTGGTCTAGTGGTAGAGCATCCGCCCAGAGAGCGGAAGGTCCAGAGTTCGATCCCCGGCTGCATCATACCAAAGGACGTTAAAAGATGGTACTTGTTGTTACCCTGTCTGCGCTCGGCATTAAGGGGCTAAAACAAGGACTGGTCAGCTTGGAGTTGGTATACTGTGTCTGAGTTGGGTATTCATGTTAAACTGCAGCATGTTATCTCAGTGGGAAAGCACTATAAAATCGGCATTAGTCAGGACTAGTACAAGCAGCCACACACGCCATGTAAGAGCTATAATCTTGGCTGCAACATTAAACCCCATTTCACTTCATCTCCTGTAAACCCTAACGCTTCTCCATCGTCATGGATGCATATGGCTGCCATGTTGTGTCATAGTGACATGGGGTGAGGTGAGGTGAAATGGGGTTTAACGTTGCGTCCAAGATGATTGCACTTATAAAGCAACGTGCATGTACATGTGTGTGTTTGTGTGGCTGCTTGTACTAGTCCGGACTGATGCCGATTTATAGTGCTAGCTCACTGAGATACCATGCCGCAGTTTAACATGAATACCCCACTCAGACACAGTATACTGACTCCGAGCCGTCCAGTCCTTGTTTTAGCCCCTTAAGGCCGAGCGCCAGACAGGGTAACAACAAGTACCATCTTTTAACGTCTTTTGGTATGACGAGGTCGGGGATCGAACCCCGGACCTTCTGCTCTCCGGCCGTGAAAGGCGACTATGCTTGTCGTAAGAGGCGACTAACGTGATCGGGTGGTCAGGCTCACTGACTTGGTTGATGCATGTCATCTTTTCCCAATTGCGTTAATCGAAGCTCATAATGTCAATCAATGGATTGTCTGGTCCAGACTCGATTATTTACAGACCGCGGTCATATAGCGGAAATATTGCTGAGTGTGGCATTTAACAAAAGACAAACAAACAAACCTGACTAAAATTAGAAACATGTCACTGGTAGAGCTGAGCATTGCCTGTAATCACTGAAATACAGTTCTAAAACCTCTTTCTCTTCATACATTTTTTTATAGTTATCTCAAAATCTTTAACAAAGACAACCACAGGTGGCGCTATGCTATGCTATGGGAGGTCACTATTAGCTCCTGTTCTAACTATGACATATCATGATCTTACAAACTGATGATTCTAGTATCATGTGTACCTAAGTATCAATGATATCGTAAGTATCGACGATACTTACAGCTCTAGTCACAATCGTAACAGCCCTAGTCACTGTAGCGCCCGCATAGCAGCTGTATGTATTCACAATGGATGACGGATGGAGGAACATTGTGGAGACAACCTGTTGTGCTGGCGACGAGCATCTTTAGGCGCTACTTTGTAATTCAAGTTCTTCTCAAGAGCTTTTCAAAGACAACATTAAGTTTTGAAGTACTACTATAGTCTGGAAGGTAATTTAAGGTACTGACGTTTACTACAATATCTGAAAAACTATCAGACCTACTCCAGGTCAAAGTTGGTATGAGATTATTAAACAGTCATACATAACTGGATATTACATTTAAAGACAATCGGTGCATGAATAAAACATCTGTCTATTTAGCTATCACTATATTTCATCAACAACCAGACCTGTTCGTCACGGATGGAACGAGCATTCATTGAAACAGCCATCAGCATAATGCTACCCCTGCGTCACAGGGCCATATGACACAGTTGAACCAATCAACTCAACTCAAAAGGGTGCACAGGAATCACGCACGTTGAGACGCCCAACGCTAACACCGTATTCGTGCGTGCGTGATTCCCGTGCACCCTTTCGAGTTGAGTTGACTATAATCTTAACTATGTTATCATCAAAGTGACATAGCCTGATGTCAAGCTGCGAATTACCTGAGAAATCTATGTCCCCTGGCTGTATATAGCGACCAGTGCCCTTGACCCTGAAGGTCTGCCCCATCACCATGCCCTGGGTCAAGAGGTTGATGAAGGGTTCACGCTGAGGAACAAGGTCAAGGTCATGTAGGAAATGGTTGAAGAATCGAGCAAAGTACAGATGTAGGACAGCTGCAAGAACACGGAGATAATGCAATATTCACACAGATTAATAAACACAATTATTATATTATATACCGTATTCGACGTAATAAGCGCCCAGGGCGCTCTCAAAATTAGGAATAGGGGGCTCTTATTAGAATATTATTTTGGTGAAAAAAAACAGAGCTGAAAGATAAATTTCGTGGTTTATGCTGACAGCCTGAAATGTTTATGTACGACAGATATATTTTTCCAGAATTAGATTCCCCATAATTAAGGGTGCATATAACACACGAGTGTGTATTATACGTGAATAAATTGTTCTTGTATACATTAAAATCAATTGGAAAGGGTGCTAATTGGGATTGTTCACTAGCCAATATATTAGCAAATATCGCTGTGGGCGCCAATTAGAGCGGGAAGCTTATTACGTCGAATACGGTAACTCCAATAAATATTTGAATCTTAGATCACCCAAGTAAACCTTACAACAATTCAAAAAGAAAGGTTAAGTCAAACTAATGTCATGCTTATTAACAAATGATGCAGGTCTTACTGGATGTCAACAAAGTTAGTTATATTGGGTTTCAGTTTGGTTAGTTTGAGGTTTCTTCTACTCACCATGTTCCTTGCCTCCAATATAGAGATCGACCGGCATGTAGCGGTGCGCCAGGTCTCGACCAAACGGCTCCTGTGTGTTGTGGTTGTCAAGGTAACGCAGGAAATACCAGGAGGAGTCTACAAATGTATCCATTGTGTCCGTCTCGCGCCGGGCGGGGCCGCCACATCTAGTCACACATGACTTACAATTTCACTAATATACTCAAAGACAAAAGTTATAATGACATGAATGTTTTCACTTACAAACCTTTATATGGATTTTTGTATTTGAACCAGGGAAATGTTTTCGAAACAGCTTGAAGAAATGCCACCAAACGAATGTTGAAGGTATTGCATTTTTTTTACAAAATATAACAATGTTCGGGAGAAATTGATTCAAATATTCTTAATGAAAGGCCACGGGGGGTGATGGTTAACTTCTGAGCCTGACACAGAAGGAAATTCTTAAGAGTGAAATTATTGTTCGGGACATTACATGCCATAGAGGTATATCCACTAAAAAACTCAAGTGAGTCAATTTAGCAAAATTATAAGTCAGTAAAATAAGTAGCTACACGTATCTGTCAAATAATCAGCTGAGTGTGCAGATTTGGTCTGGAAATGTATACAGTAAATGACTACCAGTAATACTACATGAGGAAAAACAGATCTATATGTTGTCATTACACATACCCATCTCGCCTCAACCCACACCAAATGAAAACCTACTTTGGACATTGAACACTCCCCCACTGGTCATCAGTTGCTAGAGGCGACGCCCCCCTCCCAGTCAGCTGAGTGACCACTGGCAGCTCCACGGGAAGGTCTGACACAGGAACAGGCACTGCCTGGAACAGGGTGGAGAATACGATTGGATGAACACAGCCTCCTGTGTCCTATCGCATACATCATTAGATAGATTCACCCAGCTGACTTTTACTAGTATTTGCAAAATTTAAAACATTAATAAACCACAAATATATTTAACACAAAAAATCCTCCTCATCATCATTATCAGATCATCATCATCATCATCATCATCATCATCATCTAGTGAGTCCAGTATGTCTGTTTAACATCATTAGAATTTCCATCATCACTCACCCTACAGTTGGGGCTGAGTATTATGGGTATCGGGGTGTAGAAGTAGACTACCTACAGTTGGAGCAGTCTATCATGGATATGGGGCTGTTATAGTAAACTCACCTGACAGTTGGGACAGTGTATTATGTGTATGGGGGTGTAGAAGTAGGCACTCTACAGTTGGAGCAGTCTATCATGGATATGGGGCTGTGGTAGTAGACTCACCTGACAGTTGGGACAGTGTATTATTGGTATGGGGGTGTAGAAGTAGACACCCTACAGTTGGGACTGAGTATTATGGGTATCGGGGTGTAGAAGTAGACTCCCTACAGTTGGAGCAGTCTATCATGGATATGGGGCTGTGGTAGTAGACTCACCTGACAGTTGGGACAGTGTATTATTGGTATTGGGGTGTAGAAGTAGACACCCTACAGTTGGAGAAGTCTTTCATGGATATTGGGGTGTGGTAGTAGACTCACCCGACAGTTGGGACAGTGTATTATGTGTATGGGGGTGTAGAAGTAGACTCCCTACGGTTGGAGCAGTCTATCATGGATATGGGGGTGTGGTAGTAGACTCACCCGACAGTTGGGACAGTGTATTATGTGTATGGGGGTGTAGAAGTAGACTCCCTACGGTTGGAGCAGTCTATCATGGATATGGGGATGTTATAGTAGACTCGCCCTACAGTTGGGACAGAGTATTATGGGTATGGGGGTGTAGAAGTAGACTCCCTACAGTTGATGCAGTCTATCATGGATATGGGGGTGTGGTAGTAGACTCACCCGACAGTTGGGACAGTGTATTATGGGTATGGGGGTGTAGAAGTAGACACCCTACAGTTGATGCAGTCTATCGTGGATATGGGGGTGTGGTAGTAGACTCACCTGACAGTTGGGACAGTGTATTATGGGTATGGGGGTGTAGAAGTAGACACCCTACAGTTGGGACAGTGTATTATGTGTATGGGGGTGTAGAAGTAGACACCCTACAGTTGATGCAGTCTATCATGGATATGGGGGTGTGGTAGTAGACTCACCCGACAGTTGGGACAGTGTATTATGGGTATGGGGGTGTAGAAGTAGACACCCTACAGTTGATGCAGTCTATCGTGGATATGGGGGTGTGGTAGTAGACTCACCTGACAGTTGGGACAGTGTATTATGGGTATGGGGGTGTAGAAGTAGACACCCTACAGTTGGGACAGTGTATTATGTGTATGGGGGTGTAGAAGTAGACACCCTACAGTTGATGCAGTCTATCATGGATATGGGGGTGTGGTAGTAGACTCACCTGACAGTTGGGACAGAGTATTATGTGTATGGGGGTGTAGAAGTAGACACCCTACAGTTGGGACAGTGTATTATGTGTATGGGGGTGTAGAAGTAGACACCCTACAGTTGATGCAGTCTATCATGGATATGGGGGTGTGGTAGTAGACTCACCTGACAGTTGGGACAGTGTATTATGTGTATGGGGGTGTAGAAGTAGACACCCTACAGTTGATGCAGTCTATCATGGATATGGGGGTGTGGTAGTAGACTCACCTGACAGTTGGGACAGAGTATTATGTGTATGGGGGTGTAGAAGTAGACACCCTACGGTTGGTGCAGTCTATCATGGATATGGGGGTGTGGTAGTAGACTCACCCGACAGTTGGGACAGTGTATTATGGGTATGGGGTGTAGAAGTAGACACCCTACAGTTGGGACAGTGTATTATGTGTATGGGGGTGTAGAAGTAGACACCCTACAGTTGATGCAGTCTATCATGGATATGGGGGTGTGGTAGTAGACTCACCTGACAGTTGGGACAGAGTATTATGTGTATGGGGGTGTAGAAGTAGACACCCTACGGTTGGTGCAGTCTATCATGGATATGGGGGTGTGGTAGTAGACTCACCCGACAGTTGGGACAGTGTATTATGGGTATGGGGGTGTAGAAGTAGACACCCTACAGTTGGGACAGTGTATTATGTGTATGGGGGTGTAGAAGTAGACACCCTACAGTTGATGCAGTCTATCATGGATATTGGGGTGTGGTAGTAGACTCACCTGACAGTTGGGACAGAGTATTATGTGTATGGGGGTGTAGAAGTAGACACCCTACGGTTGGTGCAGTCTATCATGGATATGGGGGTGTGGTAGTAGACTCACCCGACAGTTGGGACAGTGTATTATGTGTATGGGGGTGTAGAAGTAGACACCCTACGGTTGGGACAGTGTATCATGGATATGGGGGTGTGGTAGTAGACTCACCCGACAGTTGGGACAGTGTATTATGTGTATGGGGGTGTAGAAGTAGACACCCTACGGTTGGGACAGTGTATCATGGATATGGGGGTGTGGTAGTAGACTCACCCTACAGTTGGGACAGTGTATTATGGGTATGGGGGTGTAGAAGTAGACTCCCTACAGTTGGGACAGTCTATCATTGATATGGGGGTGTGGTAGTAGACTCACCCGACAGTTGGGACAGTGTATTATGGGTATGGGGGTGCCCCAGTACCTCTGTCGAGAGATGAGCCAATCCCTCAAACGTGCACTGACAGCATGGCCGCCAACACCAAGTGCCTACAACAGCAACACAATATATGAGTTGACGAGATGGAGCAATGTATTTACACAAAATATGGAAACAACATTGGAATTAACTGTTTGAATAAACTAAAATAAATTGGAATTAATAGACAAGTAAGGAACACATTTTGAATGCTACAACGCCAGAATTTAATTTTCCGTTTGAATATGCGTCATTAATTTTAACTACAGCAAAGGTGGTGGGGAAAATATATATATATATACATATACTCACTGCTAAAAGAAACATGACCATAGAAACATATAGAGAAGTATGTACATAAGAAAAGATGTTTCCTATGTGTACCACTTAATGACAAAACTAACTATCAGTCAAGTGTTACCACAGAGTGTCTTTATTCTTATCACGATATGCTGCACGTGATTTCCAGACTTTACACACACTAATCCTGCACAAGACAAATGGTGCATCTCGAGTCATGGATCTATGACGTCACATGTGATGAGTTCATTAGAGTCGGTTCACAGAACATAAGGGTATGTTTGATTGTGCATCTAATATCTCTTGAATAAGAGTAATTCTTCATATTTAACCCATATGTATGGTATTCGTGTTTCTTTTGTCGGTGAGTATATGATGCAGAGGTTATTTCACCAGATACATAAGCACCGTAAGAAACTAATCCTACAGTCCTTGCCAAACTGCCCAATAGTTAGGTATCCTGAGGACTAGTAGAAATTTACCCTTTATAAGGGTTTTGCTATAGGTAATCATTTTAAGGACTAGTAGCTTAAAACTGTTAGTTTCTATCGCAGCTAAGTTTATGATTCACATATACATGAAAAATAATGCACCACAGTATTTTCTTGCCTCTCCACTAGGCTTGAAAAAGTAAAAGCATTGGTTCTCAAGCATTGAATTTGGAAAATATAGTGCAGGCAGGCGGCATATTTCTTTTTTGCTTGTTCAAACTAGTATGTAACCAAATAGATAGTTGTGTCCCATCAACCTGGGAAAGGGCCTCCTACCTTATAGAAGCATACAAACTCCTATTGCTGCCATGACCATAACACGAGATACGCAGTAAAGCAGTGAGCATGAAAAGGGAAGTAACTGCATGCTATATTGGATTGCATTGTCCTTAAGAAAATTAATTAAAGTGGAAATAAAAACGAAATGTGAGGCAGACAAAATGATGACGTTGGCGGTGCCTGAGAGCCAAGACTATTATTTCTCTTTTTTAGCCTTAAAGGACATAACCTGTCTGAGTTGCATGTTGCCAAATTGGACCAAACATGATGAAGCTGTACTGCAGGATACAGCTCACCAGATACCAGGCACCCACTCTCATCCATCAAATACTTCATCTTACCTTGGCACGTTCCATGATAGCCTTTCTTGCTTCATCCGTTGTGAGACCTGAAAACTATAACAAGCATCAAATTCAAAGATGGATGCAGGATTTTGAAAACATGGCAGAGATACATCTCATATACTATTTGTTTGTTTGTTGTTTAACACTACATTCAACCATATTCCAGCTATGTGATGGCAGCCTGTAAATCAACAAGTCTGGACCAGACAATCCAGTGTTTGTTTGTTTGTTTGTTTAACGCTGCACTCAGTAATATTCCAGCTATATGACGGCGGTCTGTAAATAATGGACCAGACAATTCAATGATTGACATCATGAGCATTGATCCATGCAATTGGGATCGATGACATGCATCAAGCAAGTCAGCGAGCCTGACCACCCGATCCTGTTAGTCGCCTCCTACGACAAGCATAGTCGCCTTTTACGGCAAGCATGGGTTGCTGAAGACCTATTCTAACCAGGATCTTCAAGGGGCAACAATCCAGTAGTGATTCATATTTTGAGGAACAATTTACGTCATCCTGGTATGATGCTGCTGTCCATCAAGTCTCCGAGCCTGACCTCCGGATCCAAGTCGCCTCTTACTACCAGCATGGGCTGCTGTGGATGCATGTTAGGGGTGAAACGATACAGGAAGGTCACAATATGATACATATCACGATACATAGGTCATGATACGATACATATCGCGATAGGCATCTGTATGTCAAATGACAAGGAAAGTTCTTGACTAGAAATATTTCAGAGAAGGTTCAAAAGGTAAATCTAGCTGAAGACACATGTTCGTAGCTGCTATTTTTAGTAGTTATCTTAAAAAACATCAATTACAACACATTTCGTAATATGTGACTGACAAAAATGCTGGTTGTCATTAAAACGAGTAGTAGGTAATTTTTTTTGGCAAGTGTGTACCTTCTTGTATCTTCTTGTATCGATACAGAAAAAAATGTATCCTGTATTGTATCATCGATTGAAAACTCACGATGCACTGGTGCACTGATCTATCATTTCACCTTAACTCACATCCCGACTGTTTGAGTGATGGAGTGAGTGGGTATGGTTTCATGTTACTCAAGACCCGTGAAGATCCGGGGTAGAATATTTCTTCAGCAACCCATGCTTGCCGTAAAAGGCGACTATGCTTGTCGTAAAAGGGATCAGGTGGTCAGGCACGCTGACTTGGTTGATGCATGTCATCGATCCCAATTGCGTGGTTTGATGCTCATGATATCAATCACTGGATTGTCTGGTCCAGACTCGATTATTAACAGACCACCGTCATATAGCTGGAATATTGCTGAGTGCAGCGTAAAACAACAAACCGACAAAGCAACCAATCATGTTACTCTGAGCAATATTCCAGCAATATCACAGCAGGTGACATCATGAATGGCTCTGTACATATGCGAGAACCTGGGTCTTCAATGTGATGGAAAATGGACCATTTCAATAACGGCATTAAGACACTAGGTAGCAACACTAAACACAATAAATTGTCAATTCTATACATACCTCCTGTGAGTTGACAACAGTTCCTCGTGTTACGTCAGACACAGTCGTCCAGTCAAGTCCCAGACTGTCAGCTACACGCCGATCCACTTCACTCTTACTGGGAATACCTGGGGGAGGGAGTGAGTGAGTGATGAATAGTATGTCAGTTATATCACGGCATGTCAACTTAGCGCTAAGGTGATCGAAAGTCTATGTTAAAAGATGTGAGCTTCGATCACCTTCGCGCTAAGATTGTTTTGTGAAATGACATTTGACATTTTCCACATTGGTGAAACCTACAAACACGGATATGTTGCTGACAAAATGAGTCTGGTATTTGAACCCACGATCTTAGGATGCCTGAGGGATTCCTGACAGTTATTACTAGGAAGGCATTGTTTCTGGACAGTAAGTGCTGAAACTGTCGGCCTACTTACTAAGGGACATAACTCAGGATTTGTCTATTTACAAAGGGACATAACTCTTTACATGATTTGTTCATCAGGACATGAGTTCATCATTTCACTGCGAACAGAAGCACCCATACTGATAGGGTTTCACTGTATTTAAACTGGAAAAATAGGTTCTTCTGTGTATCAATGTACTCAGTCCAACTATTTGTGTATCATTGTACTCAACCCTCACCCATATGTGTATCATTGTATTCATCATACTGAACAGCCTCTGAAACCACTACTGGGAGCTCCTTGCCCGTCAGGGGGTGCACTGCCCGAAGTCTTGTTACCATGGCAACAGCTGGAAGAGATACAAGTGGACATAAAACCATTTAATTTCTTTTACAGAAATAACTTACATACTTCATTCTGAATCAGTGAGCAATATTACAGATGTAGGACACCAATCAGAATCTGTCTGCGAGGTTTCTGCCACAGAACCCAGTGTCAGACAGGTTCCAGAATTCTATACCACATGGTCGTGATGGACTCTGTCAGGTCACAAATTGTAACCATGATATCAGTTCTTATTGCATGCATTGGGTGCTGGGGACCTGTTCAAGCAATGGTATGTTTGACAAATTTGTATTCATGACTCAATTGGATAAAAATCAACTTCTTCTAGTCGCTATACATCTAAAATAAAGCTGATGCTACGTTAAATTTTAACTTGCTTCCTCAAGCTGTTCCACCCCCGCATACAATTGGGGTTTATTCCTGATCACATGATCAACACAGGTTTTAAATGTCTGTCACACTGAATCCAGCAAAGTATACTCACTGTCACACTCCTGCCTTTCACGTTCCTATAAAAGATCAAAATTGTATAGGTGAGGAGACAGCTCTTGCAGGAAGTTTTCAGTTTACAATTTCCTATGCAGATATGACCCAATACGTGACTCTGGGTTTACGCCTTTAGCAATATCGTCCAACAATATCCAACATGTCTCAACAGAACCCAGGTCTTTAGTGTGACAAACGATTGCTTAACCACAAAGCTAAATGTAGCAGGGCATGGAGTCATCCGACAGATGACATCCTCACCTTGTCAGCTTGCTGACGGGGTTAACCTCTTTGGTCATGTGGACAAGGCGTCCGACCTCTGATCAGAAGGTCCGTGGTTCGAATCCCATCACAGGACTCGGAAATTTTATGGCCGCTACATACAGATGAGAAAAAGCTTGATTTGTTGATCATAGCAACTGTGTGATTCATACTTACTTTCGAGCCATCAAACAACATTCACTCACTATGATCAGATTCATTACAATGTGACAAAGGCGTGGTATCTTTACACATTCCAACAGCTCCTGTCTCAAATCAAGACGACCCCCCCCACCCTCCACTACGCCACATGTTACCCAGCGTACCTGGCAGTACTGTGGGCTGTTGAACCTGTGTTGTGGGGAGAGACAGATGTGGGACGTGCCGTACACCAACTCGGGGGAGTCTGTGAACACAGACAAGGGTTCTGGGAGCTCCTCCCCCTCAAGCTGCAACAGAAGGTCAAGGTCACAGATCAGAACAACATTAAAAAATACCTTTCAGATTTCATGCTTGATGGATTAGAACAGTTTAGCTTAGCTAGGTTGAAAATATTTTTTATCTTAAGCTACTTTCTTGGTAACGTTATGTAGCTTCATAATAGGCCAGTTTACTCAACTGTTTGAGAAACTTTTTTCTGATAGGATATCTCTGCATAAGTAAAAAACATGATGTTTGTATGTGTTTGTGAATTTGAGAGCTGTTATGAAGGATAATACCACTCCTGACCTTGAGTTTGAAATCAAACCGACAGCCATTGCACTCTCCGATCCAGTGTCTCTGTAGCTGGACCACATCTTTCCACAGGTCAGAGTTCACTTCCTCCAGGCCGTCCAAAAGACTCTATGCAACAGAACACTGACTCAGATACAATGATGGAGCGAAGAAAACAGTACAGCTTTTCTGGCAACGTCACAGTATGAGACACCTGACATACTCACACTCACACAGGCTTGACTCACTGCACCTGGAAGTCGAGCAGGAGCTCATCATGAGGACCGAACAGATTGAACCTTAAGGCCAATGTTACTTGTTTTACCAAGTTCAAAAGCCAAAATGCCTCAATGTGGGAGGCAAGAAACAATTGTTTGACTCGAGGTGACACAAATTCCACAAAGAGCAGAAGTTTAGGATCCTATTAATAATGTTAGGTATGCGTACCGGGTAATACTGTGTGAACAGTACTCCAGTCAAGTACCTTAGCATAGGCTGTAGTGCGGATGTACCACTGTCTGAGGTATCTCTTCTCCACCTTTGCTCCGGATCGCCATGACAACCCCTCATCACTGATCTGTTCATCTGCCAGCACAGTCTGGTCCACGGGGTCCCAGTTGACTTCAGCCTGAACACATAATACATAGAATACTATATTATACAGAAGTCATCAAAGTCTTCAAACAGTCACAAGTCAGACAAAGAATTATTTAGGCTCTGCAGGTTCAGACGAAGAATCATTTAGGCTCAGCAGGTTCAGATGAAGAATCATTTAGGCTCATCAGGTTCAGATGAAGAATCATTTAGGCTCATCAGGTTCAGATGAAGAATCATTTAGGCTCAGCAGGTTCAGACGAAGAATCATTTAGGCTCAGCAGGTTCAGATGAAGAATCATTTAGGCTCAGCAGCTTTACGGCTGATATTGTCACCATTCAAAAGTTTTAATATTAAAACATGAACAAAAGTAACACATGGACGCTTCCTCACGATGACTTTTCAGGTGTTTGCAAACATCTCATAGCTTCAGCTTGTTCAAAAGCAACTGCCTTTATTTAAATGACAAAAACAGCTTCATACATTTCACCTTATTCATCATTAATGAGTTTTGATCATTGTGACACCGTGGATCTTACTTCTTTCTGATAAACCAACCCAGCTTCAAACATCTTCAGGAATATGTACTGTGTCCATCGATAGTACTGAGGATGACAAGTTGCGAGCTCCTAGAAAAGAATAAGCACATTTGAAAAGAGACTGCATTCCTCAGCCTTGTTCCACATGCAATTTAAGCATCATGACTGTCCTAAATCTAAATAATGTATGTGTGTTACGATAGTCCATGTGCTAAGATCACTTTGTGGAATGGTTTGGTTTGTTTGTTGTTTAATGCCGCACTCAGCAATATTCCAGCTATATGACGGCGGTCTGTAAATAATCGAGTCTGGACCAGTCAGTCTAGTGATTGACATCATGAGCATCGATCTGCGCAAATGCGATGCAATGACATTCATTAACCAAGTCAGCGAGCCTGACCACTCAATCCCATTAGTCGCCTCTTACGACAAGCAGTCGCCTTTTACAGCAAGCATGGATTGCTGGAGACCTATTCTACCCCGGGTCTTCACGGGTAACTAAATATATACATGAAGACTGACACTGTAGTAGAAAGTTATAAACATTAGCACAAGAAGCAACCTTACCCGCTCCCAGTCAAAACTACAGCCCAGCTCGTCCAGCTGTTTCCTCATGCTTTCAATATTGCTGAAATATAGAACACAACGAGATCAGACTGTTAAAAACAATTACAATTATAAAAAGACTTTATTAAATGCTGTATGAAAGCCAAATCATATTCCACAGAATCAGAAAAATAGGAGCAGGGGACTGGTAATTGATTATGGTGAAGTGAGGTGAAATTGGGTTTAACGTTGCGTCCAAGATTATTGCACTTATATAGCGACGTGCATGCACGTGTGTGTGTGTGTGTGTGTGGCTGTTTGTACTAGTCCGGACTGATGCCGATTTATAGTGCTAGCCCACTGAGATACCATGCCGCAGTTTAACATGAATACCCCACTCAGTCACAGTATATTGACTCCGAGCGGACCAGTCCTTGTTTTAGCCCCTTAATGCCGAGCGCCAGACAGGGTAACAACAAGTACCATCTTTTAACGTCTTTTGGTATGACGCGGCCGGGGATCGAACCCCGGACCTTCCACTCTCCGGGCGGATGCTCTACCACTAGACCACGGAGGCGGTCAATTGATTATGGGGAGGGTTGGTGGGGGTGGTGGAGGAGGGAGGTGAGATTGGTCTCAGGACTGTATCTTACGTTGCTGAGCCACCTATTGTATGTGACATTTTTACATGGCACCCCTGCATATCACAATCCACCCCAAATACATGTGACATTTTGTCACGACCCTCCCTATTATAAATAATGTTTCAAATTAATAACTTTTTTTATAGATTTTAAAAATATCATCTACTGGTGGTTGTGAATGTTACCATACATCAAAGCAAAATCAAATCCACACCAAGCTAATAAAAACAAGAAACCCTTAAAATAAGACTGTTTTCCTCACTTTAACATACTTACTGATACTGTGACCATATAGCTGTGAGTGAGTGAGTGAGTGAGTGAGTGAGTGAGTGAGTGAGTGAGTGAGTGAGTGAGTGAGTGAGTGAGTGAGTGAGTGAGTGAGTATGGTTTTATGCCGCTTTTAGCAATATTCCAGCAATAACACGGCGGGGGACACCAGAAATGGGCTTCACACATTGTACCCATGTCGGGAATCGAACCCGGGTTCCATATAGCTTGAACTGATAGATGAACTTGTTCATATATTCCCAGCATCCATGGGTGATGGTAAACTCAGGACTGTGAGGTTATGTCCAAGTAAACAAGAGTTGTTTCCCCTTACCTGTAGGTCCACACATCCGGCCTTTCCCCTCTTTCTATTGCAGCATTCTCAGCAGGCAGACCAAAAGCATCCCACCCCATAGGGTGAATCACCTGAAGCAGTTGACAGGGTTGGTTGGTTGGTTTGTTGTTTAACGCTGCACACAGCAATATTCCAGCTATATGACGGCAATCTCTAAGTAATCGAGTGTGGACCAGACAATCCAGTGATTGACATCATGAGCATCGATCCACGCAATTGGGATACGACGACATGCATCAACCAAGTCAGCGAGTCTGACCACCCGATCCCGTTAGTCGCATCTTACAACAAGCATAGTCGCCTTTTACGGCAAGCATGGGTTGCTGAAGACCTATTCTAAACCGGATCTTCACTGGTCTGTGAAAAGATGTGGCAATGAATGAACGAAAGGTGGGCAGATTGGGCTGGGTTTAAGGATGCTTTGAAGAACATTTCAGTTTTGTCAAGGCATGTTTAGCACGGACAGCTTCATGGGGGCCTCCCCAAATGTGCTCACAGACAAATATTCATTACAGGGGAAAATTTTATATTTTATTTTTTATCCCAGAAAATGGATGCAACTCTGTACATCTAATCAGGTCATCTAAGACAACTGGGTCTGTCATGATTTCCTGGTATATTACAAGGCAGGAATGACCAAGCTGTGTGAGGAGCTGCAATTTGCAGAACAGAGTTGCTTCCCTTAGCATGCTGAGCTCCAAGCTCCTTCCCAGCGTATGACACCTTAGTTATGTTCTCGGTAACATCGCTGCCACCAGTGTGAGTGCGGCCATTACAAGAATCTTGATATTTGCTCTCTTACCCCAAATGTAGTAAATTGCCATCATAGCTCATTTTGAAAAAGTTTACAACTGACCATATATCCCAGATGAATTTAACTTTTTGTTTGTTTGATCATATTGGTTCGAGATTGCAGACAAATGGAAAATCACTTAACTTTCCTATTACATTCTTACTATACCAATTACATGATAGTTGAAATGAAATAGAAATTCAAATTGACAAACAAAGCAAATAATTAAACAGGAGTATGAAAGAGTATTCAGTGTCACGGCAGTCATCACTTGGTCATAAACATATCCGTCAGTCAGCTGTGAGTTCAACTCCAAGCATGGTTGTGGCCACCCATCACAGTGGGGAGTTTTGACTGGTAGCAGTGATAGTATAGAGAGCTCTGGGAATGGGATATCACTGTGAGGAGCTTGGCTTAGCTCTGCTATTTTCCTAAGATCGTTGCTTCGAATACCCAAATCAAACTTATTTGTCAGCACAAACATCATGCTCTTGGGATTTCACCAAAGTATCAAAGCTTTCCTCCACATTTAGCAGACACCATAATATAACTGAATAATGTTTCATTTATCCAACTCACTCACTCCAAGCAACATGTTACATGATGAGTGAGTAAGTGAGTGAGTGAGTGAGTTGGGTTTAACACCGCTTTTAACAGTATTACAGTTATATCGCGGCATGTCAGCTTAATGTGGGAGGAAAGCCCCAAGTGATGCAGGTCTCTGACGTTTATCACTTCGGTGAAACCCACGAGCATGGGTATGGTGCTGACAAACCTAGAAACATAATCGGGGGGGTACAAACCCACAATCATAGGTTTCTGGCGTGTCCGAAGGGACGCAACTCTGCACAGCGAATCGCGGCGCCTTAGACGACTTGGCCACCCGTGCCCCCTGTTACATGATGAATGGATGCATGACAGATAATAGACTTCAGTATAAAACCAATCAAATCAGCATGTTTACAGAGATGATCTAGGTTAAATACTGCCTATCAGATGTTGGGAATAGCAGAGAATACATCATTAGAGTCCCGTGAAGATCCGGGGTAGAATAGTTCTTCAGCAACCCATGCTTTTCCTAAAAGGCGACTAACAGGATCGGGTGGTCAGACTCTCTGACTTGGTTGAAGCATGTCATCGATCCTAATTGCATGGATCGATGCTCATGATATCAATCACTGGATCGTCTGGTCCAGACTTGATTATTGACACACCGCCGTCATATTGCTGGATGTGGCATAAAACAACAAACCAAAAAAACATCATTAAAAGGGAGACTACTCTGTATGACTCACAAAGCAGAGTACCGAAACATGGTGCGAGTTCCAGCCTACCTCCTTCCCTGTGAGCCTGTGGTATCTCGCCATAGCATCACTGATGGTGTACACCCGGACGTGTCCCATGTGCAACTTGCCACTCGGGTATGGAAACATGGACAGGACATAATACTTTGGTCGATCATTCTGAATAAGAAAATAGTGTTTAAACACATTTAACAACATAAATATGTTATGAAAGTAAGACCAAGAATAAATGATATGTAATTATGCCAACATTTAATTGTCTTGTGTTCCCAAATATATACCTTTTCCAAATTACTAAATCTTTAAATAAAATAATAGATGCAATTAAATCTCATTAAAATAAATAACATGGAAATTGAAACTATCAACATGATCAACAACCACACATGATGATGAATAGAAATCTAATATGTTTTTAACAGCAAATATATATGTCTTAACCATGTTAACATATTGCAAATATTTGTAACAACAAATGCATACTTGAAAAGATGTTTTTCATCTCAAACACGCTTCTGTATCATCAGATGACAGGATTCAGGAACATTGTGAAACACTTGTGCCATATAATGAGTTTACCTTTTTCTGATCTTGTTTCAGATGTTTTGATGCATTTTGTTGGTTAAGTATTGGATGCCAGTATGATTCCAGAGATTGACGGACATCTAGATTGAATGCCTTATCCTGTACAGTGAAAAGAAACAACACAAATTCTTTCAAAACCTGCACAAAAGGGGTGAAACGAAACATTGGTGCACCAGTGCATCATATGTTTCCATGCGATGATACGATACGTTTTTTTCCATATCGAAAAATGACATTACACTCGCTAAGATATATTATTTACTGCTTGTTTAATGGCCACCAGCAATTTTGTCAGTCAATGTGTTGTAATTAGCATTCCAAGTTAGCTACTAAAAATAGCCTGAGGACCATGTGTCTACAGCTAGCTTTTCCTTTAGAACTTGCTCTGAAATATTGACAGTCAAGAAGTTTCCACATGATTTGACGTATATATGTGCATCGCAATATGTATTGTAGATAACTACTTATCACGATATGAATGGTATCATGACCTTGCTGTATCTTTTCACCCCTACTGTACATATACTTTATATTATATCCCCTGCTTGTGAGTGAGTGAGTTGGGTTTAACGCCGCTTTGAACATTATTCCAGTTATATCACGGCGTGTCAGCTTAATGTGGGAGGAAAGCCCGAAGTGATGCAGGTCTAAGACGTTTACCACTTCGGTGAAACCCACGAGCACGGGTGTGGTGCTGATTAACCTAGAAACATAATCGGGGCGAACCGTGATTTGAACCCACAATCATAGGTTTCTGGCGTGCCCAAGGGACGCAACTCTGCACAGCGAATCGCGGCGCCTTAGACGACTGGGCCACCTGAACCCCCCTCCCCTGCTTGTAAACTTGTAAATGGGTAAGTGGTCAGGTTTTATACTCCAGTTTGTGGACTATATACAAGTTTTCTGGTCACAAGTTTGTAGAGTGGGGTAACCATGGTAACAGGAAGCATTAATTATGTATTCGTTATTTCATCATAAGCAAAGTCTGTTGGTAAAGGGTGTAAAATAATTTGGTCACACTGATAATGATGATCCTGACAATAGTCTCAAATAGAAATAGATACCCACCCATCGTCCTGTTTTACTGAAGATGTAGCGACAAGAGTTGACATTGTTGACCTTCGATCTCAAATATTTTAAAGCACTCCATGTCAGTGTCTTAGAAGTCATCATCTTGTTTACCTGAATATTTAAAGAAAAATTGTATCAGTGAAATTTTATGTGGCACATTTGGGAGAAGTGCACTTTACTGGGCGTACTTTTTCGGATTTCATAGCATGATGAGAGGCAATAGACCATCTTCATTTAAATTTGCTCAACATTTCGGATTGATATTTATATCTTCTAATACTAGCAAAAGTAAAAATGAGTCATGATCACATGTGCTAATTGGTTTGGTTTCATGTCATTTCGTATCCCGGTAGATTCATATCTCGGCACTTTTGATACCTCTACTTCCTTTCGCATCTCATCAGTTTCCTATACATGTACCTTCATCAGTTTTATACTCAGTTATTTGTTGAATGCATTGTAACTTGTGTTTGAGTCATTGTTATACAAACACAAATTTGCTTGTCACTTCGACCATCACACACTTTGTGACACAAACAAATTAGTTGACTGTTGACAAAGTTCAACATGCAAATGCCTGCAGTAGTTCACTTCGGTAAGTTTTTGTATTTCAATATGTGCTGGTAATATTTCAGCATACATATGATATCTTCAACAGTTAATCTAAGCTTTTTCTTATCCTAAACATAAGTATATTTTATAAAGTAATAAGCAAAAGTTAAAAAACATGTCTTCAAAGAAACTGACTGCAAAGGTCATTGTTGTTAAATGTTTATTTAATTTAACATTTATTGACATCAGTATGAAGAAGGGATGCGAAACTGCCGAGATATGAAAAGAACCAAAGGTGATGAAACTGCCGAGATACGAATCTACCAAGAAATGAAATAACCTGTTTCCTTTGGTCCTAAGCGATAACTAATTGCTTGCCAGCAGTTGTATTCTAAAGTGCACTTAGCTCTCGCAGCATGCACTGAATTTATTAGTACTTAATTTGGAAAGCACCTTGAACCTTTATGAATTTTCAGTGCATTATAAATGATACAAGTTTCGCTATCAGCTGTGGTAAACTGTAGACTGTGTAGTCTTGCCTATTTTTCTAATAAATGTTATATCGGATCCCCACATCACACGTTTTTGAGCCTCACCTTTTTTTGAGCCCCTTAACAATATATAACCATGCGCTTTATGATGTGTTTTGTTTGTTTGTAGTTTAACGCTGCACTCAGCAATATTCCAGGTAAATGATGGCGGTCTGTACATAATTGAGTCTGGACCAGACAATCCAGTGATTGACATCATGAGCATCGATCCACTCAATTGGGTTATGATGACATGCATCAACCAAGCCAGCAAGCCTGACCACCAGATCCTCTTAGTCGCTTTATGATGTGATCAAAGTAGATGCTTCAAAGGCCACTGAAGACATCAAAGTGTTCGCCATTATCGCTATAAACTTCACAAGACATGATCATTTAACCATCCAAGTGTTAAAAGAAATACATTTTCTCAAGGGTAAGAATATAAGTGTATTAATAAAAAGATTAATTGACACAGTTGATTCTTAGGAGCTCGAAAACCCATAAACTTATATGAAGACCTTTATTACACACCTATATATAGACAGGGACCAGACAACCTCTGCTCTTTGGTGTGCTTCACCCATACATGCACAAAATGAGGAGAATTACATGACAAATACAAAACAATTGGATTAAAAACTATCTGTCAAATCTGCATGCCGAACAAGATGGGCGCCGCCATTTTGGTTAGTTTCAAAGTGGGGCGTGGAATCTATGGATAAGGTATGAGTTGATTTTGTTTTTGTCTTGCCGCAAATTAACTTGAATAGAAATTCCATTATCGCGGTCAGCATGTTCTAAGTAATTGGAGTCATTAAATAACCCACGGTTATTTTCAATTCAATAATATGAAGTTTGTTCCTGCATTATTCCACAGTAAAGTTTAGCTTTTGTAATAAATTCATACTGGGCTCCTTCTATTGATGCAGAATAGGTATCGGTGAGCGCTGTGTGTGCACGTAACAGAACCAGACTAACTGTTCCCGCGAAAGGTCAAGATCATCGAGTGAACAGGAAGTGATGGACCGTAGGCGTGATCTTGTCATGTAAACAATAACTTTCAGTAGTGTCACATGTTGGCACCGCCATAACCCTTTTCTGAATGTGTACACAGCCGATTGTAGATCTATGTATGTATGTATGTCACTGTCAGTTGTTCTAAAAGGCTGATTATCAGGTCGTGTAGCCAACTCGATATCCAGTTGACGGCAATGTAGGCTGTTAATTACTCTTTAATCAGCTGCTAATGTTATTGTCATATTATATTTGAAAGATCATAAGATGCTCTCATTCGTCTGAAATCCCATTTTGCTAAAATAGAGAAATGGTCATATCAGGTACGCTTGCCATCAGAGATTTCTACAACTAATGTAGGTTTCATTTGATGTTAAGCACATCACCCTAATCGCTCATGAATCCAAGCTTCTGGATGTGACATTTATCCCCTAGGCATATAATGCGGAGCGTAACTCAAAAACTGTAAAATACTTTCTTACAAAACTTTGCATGTCTACCAGGTACATTCTGAACTGGTGCCTTTTGCTATTTAGGAATATTATAAATTTGTATTTTTTATGTTTCCATGGCAACAAGTGGATTCAAGGTTTCATATAGGGTGGGTTCACTTATGGAGTACAACAAAGAATCTGTTAAATATTTCCTTGCATAACTTTGCATGTCTACATATAAAGTACATACTGAACTGGTGCCATTTGACATTAAGGAGTTTTAGAAATGTTTATAAAGAATTTCCATTGCAGCTTTTTTGACATGGGCTGAGAGAAATGTTGGGTCAGTTACCTGGTTTGGGACCATAACGTGTTAAAATGGGCGGGGGATATAGATGACTTCGTTGACTATACGCTTGTTTAGTTATTGTTTCTTGTAATTTGTCATTTGTTTGCATAAAAAAACCCACAGAAACACACGTTTTACTTTCCATTTCACATGGATGCGACCATGGTGGACCTTTTGTTGGTAAACAATGTATGCTTCTTAAAGAACATTCAACTCTTGACTCATTACATACAGATTTGCACATTTACTTGTGGTTACTTTACAGACAGCTGCCGGGGGGATATGTCATCTTTCTGATGACTCTTTTCACATGTTCTCGTCCAAATGTTCATACTACAGATACTGAGGGGGCAGCATACCGTATTCGCCGTAACAACCGCCCAGGGCGCTCTCAAAATTAGAAATAGTGGGTTCTTATTAGAATATTAATTTGGTGGAAAAACCAGAGTTGAAAGATAAATTTCGTGGTTTATGCTGACGGCCTGAACTGTTTATATACGACAGATATATTTTTCCAGAATTTAATTGCCCATAATTAAGGGTGCATATAACACACAAGTGCGTATTATACACGAATAAATAAGTCTTGTGTACTTTGATCAATCGGAAGGGGTGCTAATTAGGATTGTTCACTTGCCAATATATTAGTAAATATCGCCGTTGGCGCTTATTAGAGCGGGGCGCTTATTACGTCGAATACGGTATATGTTTTATGTTTTCCTTTGTATCGTTTCTTGGGACCAACCTGTATCAATTAACGTGGATAGTCATGTTGCAAATGTCTTTGTTGCTTAAATTACAATCACTCTTGACAGTTCCAGTACTTGATATGGAGATATGACCGTGGAATACTGAGGTGACAGTTCCAATATGTGGTACCTGGTAGCTGCCGATAACCCAGGTAGGTCAACATTTAGAATGAGATTTATTCAGGAATTGAAAAGATATATTTCTCATAGCCTTGATTGTAGTGATGGGTATTGGCCTTTCTTTTGGATTGCCATATTTTTTATGAATCTGAACAAATATAATCCAACAACTTGCATGGTCTAAATGGACCCATACATCAGACTTCCCCAGCACATTTTTGACAACTTCATAGTCGTCAGCCATTTTGTTGGATGTTGCAATGTTCACATGTGCAAGCAGTAAACAGTAGGGCTGTAACGATTCTCCGATACCTACAATTTCATTGATACTGATACTGATACTGATACTAAGGTACACATGTCAGTTTGTGAAATTGCGATATGCTATAAATAGAACAAGAACTTATAGAGTTAGGTCCCGTAATGGCAGAAGTAGCATATAGCGCCACCTGTAAGCATGGCAGAACAAGGGGATGATACCACTGAGGACGCGACAACTAACTATTACGTTTAACAACCATCCCTTCATTTAAAACTGTTTTGTTATTCTTTCTTAAAGTTTTTGAGATAATAATATATAAATGTATGAAGCAAGGGATTTTAGAGCTGTATTTCAGTGATTTCTTCATTTCTTACGATTTTGTTGTGGTATATTGTGATACAAGTAGTATTGTCAGTCCATTTCGTGATATGAATCAGGCACACCAGGCTCTGTTATTCAGGAAGCTAGTCACAAATGGTTTTGCTTTTTCAATCACAGGAATAAGTTGCTAATTTCTTAATTTCATAATTTCAATTTGACTGGTCACTTTTGTAAGCTTTGTCTACAAGATGAAAATATGCATGCTTTGGAAAAAAGCAATATACCAGTTTTCAAATACATATTAATAAGTATTTCAAGTCCTGATATAAAGCACCTCTATTGATCTTATATTCCCATGATTAACCTATATGGCTGGTCTGGTGGGAGCTCGGCAAGTCTACCCATGCTAAAGTCTGCACAATATGTAACATGCACAAGTGTAGTTAGGAAAAAACGTAATTTTTTTTCCAGATCTGAAGTATGTGTTGCTGGTTGGCCGTGAGCACACAGTGGGGCGTAAAGACTGTGATATTCTCCTGACAACTGATCCCACCGTCAGCAGAAAACATTCAGTGCTGCAGCTGACCCATGCAGAGTCAAATCTGGTACTTCAACCATTCCTACATTTTGTTAGAACAGCTGTAGTAAGGGTACTGGTCAGCATTCAGAGTACTAACTTTTCTAAGATTTACTTTTCAAATTTGTATTTTACTATATATATATGTGTACATGGTATAAGGAAATCACTCACTTCGTAACATATTTGCGGAAGAATAACATTAACAGTGTGTTACTTTTTTAAACGCTTCAACCTCATATGGATAAAACATCTTTTATGATACATCATAATTCCTGTGCTAATGAGTTAGGAAATGGTTAAAGACTTGCACCTCTCTGTTTTCCCCAATTACAAACATGCTGAGATATTCCACAGCCAAAAACTCATTCATCTTCAGTTGTCTGCGGACATACTTAAAATTTAGCAAATATTTAATAAATTTGGATGAAATGTTCATTACTAGTACTAAATATAGCTTTGAAAAAATCATCGCGTCTATGACCAATCTCATTAAAATCAGATCTTAGTTTTTGCTACCGCTAACCAAACATCCGGGTCACGTCAGAACGACCTTTCGCGAACATTGACCAACCAATGAAATGACTGACCAGAAATCGACATTTGCCAACCAGAAGGCAGCTATCTCGAGCTTTACGGCACTAGTTTCAAACTGGCGACTACGCTTCGAAACATAATTTTAAAACTGACCAAAACAGCATTGGTCTTATAGATGGCCTAGATTGTATGGATATAATCATAAAACCCGTAACTGTCGTTGGGAATACCCTCTGTTTAATAATTTGAGGTTGCATGACTAGAAAACACATTCCGACTGTCAGGATCTGGTAAGCGACGCTCTGATTGGTTGGATGAAAGGTCGTGCTGACGTGACCCGTAATGGGATGTCCTCAGATCTTTGTTTAGCGAGAACTAAGATCTGATTTTAATGAGATTGGTCTATGACCAATCCAACTGGCGACAGTGTACTGTTTACTTCCTGATTTCGATCACACTTTATGTACACTCTCTGTTTTTTTACCCGGAGTACCATGTAGCCAGCTGCCAAAAGGAAATTGATATGCAAACACTTAGCTTTTCTAACCGTTATGAGACAGAACATGTACATGGAACTGGTGACAAAAACAACGAAGTAGATAGTTTTTACTCAGCCCCTAAGGCTTTGATTTACCACTGAGCAAGGGTTGACTGTGTGTGTGTCGTGCAGAGCCACCCCCAGAAGTCTGCCCTGGTCACCCTGAAGGACGTGTCAAAGTTCGGGACGTGGGTGAACAAGAAGCGGATATCGGGAGAAGTTCCGATCAAGGATGGAGATGAGGTGGCATTTGGCTCTCCCAAGTCAGTCTTCCTGTGAGTTAGTCCTGAATATGACTACAGTAAACTACAGTAATAACGAATCAAAGGAACCACTAATTTTAGTTAATTATGACCCGAGTTCGTTATGAGCATGTATACAGCAAATGTCTGAGACCAAAAACCAGTTCATTATATCCGTCGTTTCATTATAAGCACGTTCATTATAAACATAGTTTACTTACTTCCTTATTTTGAAAGACAGGTGTGTCATTGTACGCTTACCTCACGTATCAGTACATGTCGTGGTAATTGAGTCACGCTAACATGTATTGCAATACATAATTTGTGCTGAGTTTGCATGAAATCTTCCTGTTCCATGGGGCCCAGCTGGACACGAGGCTGTTCCTATCAACCAGTTGTGTTTAACTAGCAGGGCTTGTAAACATAGGCTTGTTTCGATGGTATCGTGCAGATAGATTAAGCATACCGGGGTATTGCTTTTTTAAAATCGATAGAACCTTCAGCACTGGTAAGCATGAATCGATGCATTGGTAGGTGTTTTGTGTGTATCGTCAAGTGTAAATTTACAATGCATAGAAACATTGGGGAATCATGTCATTCCTATTTAGAAGCAGTTACTTGCATTTTTTGTGTCCTGCATTGGACGTAGCGATAAATCACTGCTAATGAAACATTCCCTTCTTAGTTAAATGTTGAGAGCAAGTCTTAAATTTACATCCGAACTACATGTATGAGAGAAAGTCTGCTCCGAGCCAAACATTGTTGAAGTTGAACAGCAGTATAATCTAGAATGTAGACATTTAAGAGTATATATTTCAGGAACACTTATTTTCTTTTGTCTGAGGGAAGGTGTTTTCTTACAGTGTTGTCAACGAGCCCTTCATCATCACAACCTCCTGCCTGGACGTAGCTTCGAAGAAATCCGCTAAAGCAGTAGTACGAACTTTTGGCGGCCATGTTGTGAGCGAATGGACGAAAAACTGTTCGCTGCTGGTGATGAACAGTATTAGCGTCACCATAAAGGTCGGTTGTCTTCCCTGTGTGATGCAGTGACTCTATACTACACTTTTTACATGGATATTTTTATCTTTCTATGATACACAAAACTGATTCACATAATATGTCAAGTGTTTATTGAAGTATATCTGCCACATCCAATCAAAAGTTAAGTTGTTTTTTGTTTAACACCGCACTCAGCAGTATATATATAACAGCAACATGTAAATAATCAAGTCTAGGTCGAACTAAAAAGTGGTTGAAATGAGCATGCCTGACGACCCAGATAACAGATAATGCTGTTAGTGAAACTCCGGAACAAACCACCTTCACCCCATCCTTGTTTTAGAAGGTGGACAAAATTTAGTTGTCGATTTTAGGTGTTGTGTATGAATATAGCTGATGGACTAACTGAAAAAAACCCCATTCATTTGTCATCTTACTCCAAGTTCATGATCATGAATTGTTACATTTGACCACCGTTTTTACTTTTCCAGATTTGATTGCTAACTGGAATTGGTGATTACAGCACAGGCGAATGTTCTGTGCTAAATCACTTAATAAAGACACATTTTCTGATACAGTCTCTGAAATAAGCCTGATTTGTCATCTACAAAGATCCAATGTAAAAATACTGTTCTGTTTTCAGGTGATTTGTGCAATGATTACCCAGAAGTCCATAGTGCTCCCGTCATATTTGGAAAATCTTTTGGAACATCTCAAAGGAGAAGTCGAGAAGCCTGACCCAGAAGTGTAGGTTGCTACAAGGAGCTGTTCTCTCCTACATTACTGTTACTGTATGTTTGTTCGGGATGATGATCTGATGATATGATATCTCCGATTACTCATACTACATGATGATTAGGATTGATAAAATGTAATGTTGGCGTTATAAATAATTTTGACAGCATCAGATAGCCTTTCTAGGCATTTAGAAACAGTATGCGTAAAAACAAAGTTACATGGCTGTCGACATATTGACAGTCAAGTCTCGTTAATCCGACACTCGTTAATCCAACAATCGGCTTTATCCGACCCTAATGTTTGGAACCGATTAAATCAGTGCTATTTAGACCCGTTAATCTGACAGTCTCGCACTCTGACTCCGACACATCTAATTTGCAACGATTTACCGAAATCACTTTATTAATCCGAGACAGTCATAAGCAGACTCCGTGGTCATCTGCCCGCGAGTACACAGCCCGTGTTTTGATTCAAGATGAGTCAGCTGGTAGCTGCATATTACAATGGCTGCAGAGATAAACTTGCTTAACAATAAAAAATTAATGAACAATTAGTGTTTGTATCGTTATCTATCGTGTAGTTGTCCGATTTTTGATCATACTCGTTAATCCGACATAATCATATGCAACCAATCATGTCGGATTAAAGGGACTTGACTGTATTTCATGGACAGGCACTAAACGTTTCAGTGTATCAGTTGCTACCTGCTCTGTACCTCATTCATCTGATTCTGTGCACTTGGTTTTAAAGCAGAGTTGATGTGTCTGATATTTCGGGGGGCATAGGTATACATTAAAGTGCTGGGTTTGAATCTCAAGATTCGCCCCCACTATTATCCTTGGTCTATCAGCTCTATGAGCTCGTGAATTTGAAGTGCTGCAACTTTCTGTGCAGAGTTGCGTCCCTTAGGCCTGCCTGAAACCTAGGATCATAGGCGTGAATCCCAGAGTCGCCCCGATTATGTTTCTTGGTGCAGCACCATATCCATTTTTGTGGGTGTCACCCGAATGCTAAAAGTCTAAGACATGTATCAGGTGAGGTGAGGTGAAATGGGGTTTAACGTCCCGTCCAGGATTATTGCACTTATATAGCGACGTACATGTATGTGTTTGTGTTTGTGTGGCTGCTTGTACTAGTCCGAACTGATGCCGATTTATAGTGCTAGCTCACTGAGATACCATGCCACAGTTTAACATGAATACCCCACTCAGACACAGTATACTGACTCCGAGCCGACCAGTCCTTGTTTTAGCCCCTTAATGCCGAGCGCCAGACAGGGTAACAACAAGTACCATCTTTTAACGTCTTTTGGTCTGACACGGCCGGGGATTGAACCCCGGACCTTCCGCTTTCCGGGCGGACGCTCTACCACAAGACCACGGAGGCGGTCAAGACATGTATCACTTCGTGCTGTCTTCAAACACTTTACTGAAAGGTTGTGATATATAATCACAAAGCCTGATTTGACCTAACTCAGTCTCTCTAACATTTTCTTTCGTCTTTCATTGCACTAATCCTTCTTGTGACCAGGTATCTGCCGACAGTGTCTGAGACCCAAGTCAACCCAGAAGAGGTGTCCTTTAAACCCAACCCAAACAGGGCCTCAGTGTTTGAAGGGATGAAGTTCATATTTCTAAGTCAAAGACAGGTGAGACAGACTTATGGCAGTTCAGTCAGGATCATGTTTCAAGAGTCTGCCGAGTGCAAATTAAGCTTCATTTGACTTGAAACTACCACAAGAGTTACCTGCCCTTACTGTGTACAAAATCAAGGGGCATTTGTGACAAACTCGTGTTATTCCGGGACAAGCCCAAAATATGGCCATTTTTGCAACCAGATTCCGTCTTAGCGCTAACGGACATACCTAAAACAATTGTTAACTCGTTGCGTAATGGTTCACATATATTTCCCCATATATTATATATATTTCAGATACAATTTAAAGCACATCGGGGCGTGCAGAATTATACAGTATGATTGAACACATTTAACTGTGTCTTGGGTATATTTTTAGATGCAAGACATATGTAAAATCGAAAATTATTTCTGAGGGATTTTTTGACGAAGAACTTAAAATCATCTGCGCATTCTGATTGGTTTGTCGTATTTTCGCACATTACATTCATTGATAGGGGGACAGGTCTTCTTGCAGGTTACGGAAATGGGCGAATGGTGACGAATGATCAAGGGGAGGTGGTGGTGGTGACATCTGGATGAGAAATGATGCATCTTGAAAAAGAAACATTTATGTGTTTGACGAAATATTTGATAAAGATGGTTATCAGTATCTGAATGACTCTGTAGGATTTGTTTTAATTTTGTTTTTTATTTTGTTATGATGTGCAAAGGACATGAACCACCCATGGTGTTGTGTTTTTCACTTAAAATAAGATTGATTCAAAACGTTTTGTTTCAAATAAACATGTTTTTACATGTTTTTTAAAGCTGTTGTAGCCACTTTTGTCCGTCCATTTTTAATGGAATATGCGATATATAGTTGTTTTTAGATATGACTATATACATGCCTGTATTACAAAAACAGGAGAAATAAATAAAAAATATATACCAAAATGAATATATAGTGCATGGTTTCAATTTTTCAGCTCTAATTTGTATATTAATTTGAACATGTTGAATTCTCACTTTGAAATCTCAAAACATTTGTTGATGTAATGAGACATTTTTACTGGTTCAACAATCTGGACATTATTTTGCAAGAAAATATGGAATCCTTAAAGACTGTTTTATGGAAGAATTGACCGCTCATTTGATTTCTCCCAATAGACATACTTTGAGATTAACGCTAGTCTGCAAGCCCGAGACAACTAAATTGTGCTGAGGACAAGTAAATCTATTATTGGTAGTCCTCATTGACTTGTTGAACTTGAGGGCTATGATTCTGAAATTGTTTTCAATACTTCAATTTTGCTACAAATTGGAACTGAAAAAAACTCAGAAAATGTAAACATAGGAAACGTTAAGTAGACTAGCTACAAACTGAGTTCCAGAGAAATAAGGTTTACCATATTTTCTTGAGACGCACCCATGTATAATATGCACCCCTCTAGCGGATTCAGTATTTTGGAAAAAAAATTGAATGTCAAGCGCAGAAAAAAATTACACCGTAGATCTACCCCTTCAGAGAATTCCAGTAAACGAACGGGTGATGAGAAACTTGGTCAGTACAAATTCGAAATTTGAGATAAAAAAATCACCAGACATGTTTATTTACCGTTTAAATTGTATTTTTCGTTCTGCTAGGCATTGTTTTACATCCAGGGATTAAGATTACCTTGTGTATTTTCTCGTAAACTAAGCCAGACAGTGTAATTACATGATTAATTTGCATACTTCAGTATGGACTTGTTGACATGGTATTTCCGGTGTTACGTGCTCACGGTAATATCTTTCCATGGGGAAAAAAACATCAAAACGCATTATTTCGTGTATAATGCGCACCCCCTTCTACACAGCTGTTTTTTTGGAAAAAAAGTGCGCACTATACTCAAGAAAATACGGTACACTAGTACACTGTGGTGAATTTGTGCAGATGTGATTGCATGAAGCTGTAATCGTTTTGTGTGTTGGTAGTTCAAGAAGATGAACCTAGCGGTGGAGTTGGCGGGCGGAATGCCGATACTGATGGAGGAGGGAAGTGACGACAATGATGACCGAGTACTGGTTGAGAGTGGAACTGTTGTCATGAACTGTGGCGCTGAAGACCTGAAGACTCTGACGCCGGCGGGGCAGGAGTGGGTTGCCCATGTCAACAAGTACCTCAAGCGGTGAGGGAGTGGGAGTAAATTAGTTGCCTCGTTGACACCAGTGCTCCGGCTGGTTATTTGTAATATTTTTTATCCCCCGCCCAAAGAAGTTGGCGGGGGATATAGAAATGGGCTCCGTCCGTCCGTCACGTTTCGTTTCCGGAGCATAACTCATAAACCGTTCAATATTTTTTCATGAAAATTTGCAGGTTTGTCAGGTACATGCTGAACTGGTGCCTTTTGCTATTTAGAAATTTTAGACATTTTTATTTTTTATGTTTCCATTGCAACAAGATGGACTTAGGTTCCAAACTATTCTTTCTTTTACAATTCCATGACAAGTTCCACCTCAGTTAAAAAAGGTTAGGGTTTGTTTAGATTAAATTATGTCATAAATTCTGCAACAGGGGCGGGGGATATAGCCACGTTAGTGGCAAACTCTTGTTATTACCATGCAAGGCGAGAATTGTTTTTGTATTGGTTAATAGATTTATGACCCTAAAAAATGAAGAAATTTGAAAAGGATTAAAACTTTAGAAGCACTTACTTGTTCATCACACATAGATAATTATGCATAAGCAGCGATAGAAATTGGCTCTCGTCCTATGGTCCTTTGCCAAACAACCCAATAGTTAAGGTATCATAAGGACAAGTAGAAATTTTCCATTTTTAAGTGTTTTGTTATATATCATTATAAGAACTTGTGGACTGAAGTGTTACTCTCTATTGCTGCATACGGACACACAGCAAGATAGATGAGGTCAGTTTCAGTCATACTGCTCACAGGCAGCACATTCAATATGTTTTTGAAGAGCAATAAACAAAACGAAAAGATCCATGAACTCAAAATTCTATGTTTCAGAAAGAAGAAGAATGTGATCCAGGATGCAGAGATCGGATATGCTGTACTGTACTGTTCCACAGACAAGCACTGTAACCCTGATATAGATAAAGGTAGATCGGCTGTACTGTACTGTACTGTACTGCTCCACAGACAAACACTGTAACCCTGATATAGATAAAGGTAGATCATCTGTACTGTACTGTACTGCTCCATAGACAAACACTGTAACCCTGATATAGATAAAGGTAGATCGTCTGTACTGTACTGTACTGTACTGCTCCACCGACAAACACTGTAACCCTGATATAGATAAAGGTAGATCGTCTGTACTGTACTGTACTGTACTGCTCCACAGACAAACACTGTAACCCTGATATAGATAAAGGTAGATCGTCTGTACTGTACTGTACTGTACTGCTCCACCGACAAACACTGTAACCCTGATATAGATAAAGGTAGATCGTCTGTACTGTACTGTACTGTACTGCTCCACAGACAAACACTGTAACCCTGATATAGATAAAGGTAGATCATCTGTACTGTACTGTACTGCTCCATAGACAAACACTGTAACCCTGATATAGATAAAGGTAGATCGTCTGTACTGTACAGTACTGTACTGCTCCACCGACAGTACTGCTCCACAGACAAACACTGTAACCCTGATATAGATAAAGGTAGATCGGCTGTACTGTACTGTACTGCTCCAGAGACAAACACTGTAACCCTAATATAGATAAAGGTAGATCGTCTGTACTGTACTGTACTGCTCCACCGACAAACACTGTAACCCTGATATAGATAAAGGTAGATCGTCTGTACTGTACTGTACTGCTCCACCGACAAACACTGTAACTCTGATATAGATAAAGGTAGATCGTCTGTACTGTACTGTACTGCTCCACCGACAAACACTGTAACCCTGATATAGATAAAGGTAGATCGTCTGTACTGTACTGTACTGCTCCACCGACAAACACTGTAACCCTGATATAGATAAAGGTAGATCGTCTGTACTGTACTGTACTGCTCCACCGACAAACACTGTAACCCTGATATAGATAAAGGTAGATCGTCTGTACTGTACTGTACTGCTCCACAGACAAACACTGTAACCCTGATATAGATAAAGGTAGATCGTCTGTACTGTACTGTACTGCTCCACCGACAAACACTGTAACCCTGATATAGATAAAGGTAGATCGTCTGTACTGTAACTTCCGTATTTTCTTGAGTATACTGCACACTTTTTTTGCAAAAAGCACAGCTGTATAGAAGGGGGTGTGCATTGTACACGCCATAATGAGTTTTGATGTTTTTGTAATTACACTGACTGGCTATAAAAAGTGTTCTTTGTATATCTGGACTTATGTTTGTAACATATTTCATTACTTCTATTAAAAATTCCTTTTAAAATTGTTTTAATTAATTACGGCGAAATCATGTGTGGAGCGATCGGAAGATCGCACAACTCACCAATATAAACAGCAACCATGGTCGGATTACCACTATTGATGCCTTGAAACTAACTTTAGTTGACAGAGAATGGATACATACATCATAAATGCCAAAGACGTTGTAGTTTGACGATTCTATGTCAACATGTAGTTCTTGCGATCACGTGCACGCGAGCCAGGACGGTGACTGGTCAAACTGGTTCCATGGGAAAAAAATAACCAACAATAGCGATCAACTGCCATGCTTAGGGTTATTATTATTTTAAATGTATTTAGTAAAAGCTGCAACTAAATTAACAAGATATTTTAATATATTATTCCTGATAACCAAAAAAATAGTTTCAGATACATTTTTGCCGATCCTTGCATTAAAATCCTGTAAAGTTATATAATTGGGTGTGTCTTGACCGAATCACCGGTAGATTCCAAGAAAACATGTGTACAGCTGATTGCTGTTTCCGGCTTAGTTTACAAGAAAATACACAAGGTAATGCCTAGCAGAACAAAAAATAGAACTTAAATGGTAAATCAACATGTCAGGTGATTTTTTATCTCAAATTTCAAATTTGTACTGACCAAGTTTCTCATCACCCGTTCATCACCAGCACCATATCTGTGCTCGTGGGTTTCACCGAAGTGGTAAACGTCTGAGACCTGCATCACTTCGGGCTTTCCTCCCACATTAAGCTGACACGCCGCGATATAACTGGAATACTGTTAAAAGCGGCGTTAAACCCAACTCACTCACTCACTCACTCAAGAAAATAGGGTAAGAAAATATTGACTCAATGGCCCACTTGCACAAAGTTATCTTAGCGGTAAGATGATCGTAACTCCCATACTTTAACATAGGCTTACGATAGTCTTAGCGCTAAGATCGCTTTGTGCAAGTGCGACCAGTTCCTGGTTAAACCATCTCAACTCTGCTGGAATTTGCCCATTGTCATCCCAAGACATTGAGATATCTTGCAATATCTTATCAATGATATGTGACCTTTAAAGCCTGGCGACTGTTTTATCATGCTAATCACATGTCATGGGTCAAGGTCATCCTGATGGTCACGCATATGATTGATAAATATTGATTCTTGTACCTGTTTCTTGTGTCAACATTTGCACAGAAATATTGCTCATTTTTAGGGGTCATACTGAATGATAAATTGTGACGTCTCTGTTGTTGAATGACATCAGTTTGGATCAGGGATGAATGTTCAATGGTAGGAGAGAACAAGAAACATTCATCACATTATGGTCTTACTGCTGCTTGTTAGCTCACCTGGCTTTTGACATATGTATGTTTAGCATGGTCAGTTATACATTTATGCTTCTCCTTGTCATGACTTTTTTTGTTCAAATCCTTTTGAAAGTATGTGAATATCAATGCTGACAGCAACTTTTGTTAAGTGGCTGTCTTTGTTGACACTTTAACGAATTAATTACATATCCAGGAGACAATCTTCTTGAGGCAACGGAGGTAACTGATTATGAATAGTTCAGTTCCCAGAGGAGTCTATGCATAGTCCAATCAAAATTGCGTATCCAGTTCGTATACTGTTGGGCAGGATTTGCAAAGCAATTGATTGTAACGTCGACTGGGCATCGACAGTATTTTTCAAATGTTTTCATGTTTTAAATCAAGGTGCTCAAGTAATTTAATGCACTTTGTAAGGTTGGACCCGTTTTATAATAATATAGATCTTGATTATTGATCAGATCGTCTTGACTGGGTGCCACCATTTTGTTTGAAGCAAATTCAAGTTATATGATAGGTGGAATCTGATTAGTCAACAGGAAGAACAAAGAAGGGAGGTAACTCGAAATAGCCATTGGTGGCAACAATCAAGCCACGAAATTCCAGGCTAGTTTGGCAAGGAGGGGATCTAGACTTTTACAGTCAGTTAACTCCCTTGCCATGGGAAGATGTCAGGTGTGCTGAACTGCCTTGGCATTGTGCTGTGAAAAAAATAGATATTAAAAGTTGATGTATATTTCTTCCAGCCCAGCAGCTGTTTCAGAATCTCCCATCACAGTCACTGTCTCAGTGTGTAGCAGAACAAACAATGCCAGATGTCCTGGCGGCCAACACAGAAGTCTCACCAGGGTACAGCAGATTTGTAGACATTTTATCGAGCTATGGAAAACAACTTCTAATTCTCAATCACTGTTTCATCAAGGGGAAAAATATGTTGTTGTTTTTTCAGACTTAAAATCAAAAGTTTGACTTTGCATGTCTTGGAGCATTTCTTTTCGCATTTGGACCCGTGAAGATTCCGGGGTAGAATAGGTCTTCAGCAACCCATGCTTGCCGTAAAAGGTGACTATGCTTGTCGTAAAAGGCGACTAACGGGATCGGGTGGTCAGGCTAGCTGACTTGGTTGATGCATGTCATCTATCCCAATTGCGTGGATCGATGCTCATGACATTAATCACTGGATTGTCTGGTCCAAACTCGATTATTTAGAGACCGCCGTCATATAGGTGTAATATTGCTGAGTGCGGCGTTAAACAACAAATCATCATCCATCTTTTCGCATTTGAAAATAATGGGGGCCTTACTGCATCTATTCTTCAAAAGAAATACATTGCTGTTTGGTACCCTTCCATGTGTTGACTGTGCTTGTTGTAAGAGTTGACTGAAGTGAGTGGTTAAGAATAATACAAGGTTCATTGCATGTTGGGGCACGGGTGGCCAAGTCATCTAAGGTGTCGCAGTTCGCTGTGCAGAGTTGCATCCCTTGGGCACACCAGAAACCTATGATCGTGGTTTTAGTCTCAGTTCACCCCGATTATGTTCAAGGTTTGTCAGCTCAAAACCCCTGCTCGTAGATTTCACCGAAGTCGTAAACCTCTGCAACCTGCATCACTTTGGGCTTTCCTCCTACAGTAAGCTGACATGCCGTGATATAACTCGAATACTGTTCAAAGCTGTGTTAAACACAACTCACTCACTCACTCTCAGACTTAGTCTCTGACTCACTTGCTCGCTGCATGTCATTGTGACCTGATAGCAAGGGATGGTGCTCTTAATATCAACTGCTGGTTTATCCGGCCCAGACTTACTTTACCAACGTGACATGGCCCAAAGTTTGCTTACTGTGGCGTAAAAACAACAAATAGACGTGTTTAACAGATCTGGAAAGCCTTTTATGAGTCTGGGTGGTTTGATTTAGGTCAAAAAGTTATCTCCATATTTTATAAATTAATATCAAGTAATGATATACCTTTTTACTGAAGGTGAGGTAAGTCAAAATCTTTGTAAGACTTGCTGAATGTATTTAGTATTTCACATGTCTTTTTGTTTCAGTTTGACTTGTTTTGTCTTAATTTTACTGTAACCAATTGTTAACATATTTTGGTGACTACTATTTAGGTTTTTGTAAGATACAGGTCTTTATTGATTATCCCTGTCTTTTGCAGGAGAAGACGAGGTAAGGCAGGAGAACTTGCTGCTGGCAAATCTGTGGTTGATGAGAGCGTCTTACATGCACAGGTGTGTTACTGTTTTATTGGATTGTGGCATAAAATAACCTTCACTCATGACGTCCTCAAGTGCTTGGCCCATGTGGATTCTGGGTTAGAGAAAGTCCCCAGCAACCTATGCTGGTCATCTGTGGGACTAGATGGATCGGGTGATCATACTCAGTGACTTGATTGTATGGTTGATTGCATGTCATTGTACACCTACGATGTGGATGTGTGCTCATAGTATCAGTCACTGGTTTGTCTTGTGCAGACTCTTCATTTAAAGGCCACTATGCTTGTCGTAAGAGGCGACTAACAGGATCGGGTGGTCATGCATGTCATCGAATCCCAATTGCGTGGATCGATGCTCATGATGTTAGTCACTGGATTGTCTGGTCCTGACTCGATTATTTACGGGCCGCCATCATATAGCTGGATTATTGCTGAGTGCGGCATTAAACAACAAATAAACAGGAAAAAACATGTCAATGTCAAGAAGCTAAAATGTTGGAGAGTTTAGCTTCTAACAACAAGCAAATCAAGTGGTTGGACTCCTTACCTGTCAATAGTGTATAACATGTTCAGAAAATGTGTGATGTTTCAATATGTGAAGATGAGCAAAGAACTATTTGAAATGTTACAAAGTAATGCATTTTAACACCAGTTTACAGTTTTGCTAGAGTCATGATGTTACCATGTCGTACTTTCCAGGCTGTGAAGGTGAAGCGAGAGGAAGACGGCCATACTGCAGCCACACCCACCAAGAGAAAGAGGTGAGTCGATCCTGTAGAACATTCATGTCTCTTGTTAGATAGTCTGCTTTGGTTTTATCGATAACCAAACCAGACATGAAATAAAAAATTAACCTTGTTGTTTCCACCATTTAGTGGCTACATAGGATTTCGAAGTCTGTTCCTGTTAATTTAACAGACTTAGTAGAATGAATACTGCATGCTGACAGATGACCATCCACACCCTCTTGTATGACAAAAGTTCTATAAATGTCTGTTGATTATAGGAAGGGTTTCAGGTGTCCCAGTTAGGTAAGGTGCTACAGTTTGCTGTGCAGAGTTGTGTCCCTTAGGCATGCCAGAAACACACGATCATGGTTTAGAATCCAAGTTCACCCTGATTATGTTTCTAAGTTTGTCTGCATCATACCCATGCTCGTGGTTTTTACCCAAATAGTAAATATCTGAGACCTTCATCACTTAAAACCCTCATGACAGGCTGTGGAATAACGGAAACACTGCACAAGGCAGCTTTAAGCCAAACTCACTAACAATGAAACCACACCCTCTCTCATGACAGGATGGCCTAGTGGGCAAAGCATATTTTTGTGTTAAGCCAGGGTTCAATTCCCCACCAGGTGTGCTATTGTTAAGACGTTCTTAAAAAAGCTTCAGCCATACTCACTTACTACGAGCATGAAGAAAAGTTCTGATGAGGTCTCTTCTGATAATTCCAGGACAGAGGAGGCGAAGGAGGAAACACAGACAGAAGCACGTGAATCTAAGAGAATCAAACAGGAAGTGGTGACACCTGCAAAGTCTCAGACCCAAGGAAGGTCAAGGTTAGAAGTGTCTCCAAAGCCAGACCCAGATGTCCAGGTAACCAGGCAACCAAAGCAGAACCCTTCCCCCGAACCGAAACAGGAATCAGTCGCAAAGGGCCGAGGAAGGAGGAGCCCATCACCGGCTGCTGTGAAGACTGCACCAAGAGCAAGAAGCCGCTCTCCATCCCCTTCTCCGAGTCGAAGGTCAGCTAGAGGGAAGAATGTATCCCCTGCAAGGGAGGTAATCAAAGATGAGGACATGTTGCCATCGAATCCTATTTCTGGTAAAGGAAGAAAGTCTGTATCTCCCAAGCCTGCAAAATCCCAGAGAGTGAAAGATGAACTGTTTGAAGAACTTGATGATGATTTTGATATGAGTGTTAAGACGCCAACTGGGAGTCGGATTTCGGGGAGAAAATCACAACATTCTCATGTTTTGAATGATGAAGATGTTGAAGTTCAGTCAGGTTCAAGTAAGACATTCAAAAAGGTTAAGAAAGAACAAGAAAGTGAAGTGTCAAAAGTCATGCCTAAAACCTCTCCACCTTCTAAAGCCAATAAACGTGTCCTGCTTGATGACAGTGATGAAGATGACCTTGGTCTGTGGCAAGGCAGGAGGCAAGGTCAGAAGCAGACGTCAAGGGGAGATGACTCCGATGACTTGATGGATATTTTGTCTTCAAAACATAAGAAACACAAAGCAAATACAAGTGGAACAAGAGTCAGTGATGAAGACAATTTGTTTGATGATATTCCATCTTCAAGAACAAATGCAGCCCAGTCTGAAGCAGCCAGACAAGGGAAGGTGGCCAAACATGATGGTTGGGGGGCCAGACAGAAGTCACCCTCCCCAAGTCCCACCAGACGTGTCAAAAGGGATGTCAAAGAAGATAGCGAGGAGGAAACGATAACAGAACAGACCCGGGTCAAGACGGTGTCCAGGAGGCAGAACAGAGATGCCAGGTCCAGAGTGGATGTGCTGGAAGTGCCAGAGGAAGAGCCAGTCACAGCTGCGGAGGTTGGTGTCTTCAGCTTTACATGATGTAGGACTGGGTATCGGTTATGGGAACTTGTGCTGTGCAGGTGAAGTGAGGTTATGTGGGTTATATGGGGCTGACGTCGCTTTCAAGATTATTTCACTTGTATAGCGACAGTGTGTGGGGGGGAGGGTGTGGGTGTGGATGGGTGTGTGAGTGTGATTGGGTCCATTTAGACACAGTATACTGACTCTAAGCCCACCCACCTTTGTGATATCCCCTTTCTGCCAAGCACCACGCAGGGTAACAAGAAATACCATATTTTATGTCTTTTTGGTAGGACATGTCCGGGAACTGAGCAACCAACCTTTTGCTTGTGTTTTACATGATTTAGGATGGGTATAGGTTGGGTGTTCTTAGGACTAGGCAGGGTTTTACTGAAACAAGTAATTGTGCCCTGTGCTCATAAAAATATTTCTGCATGTAGGTTAAAGGTACCAGGCTGATCTCCATTGCTGTAGTGAAGGGTAGTGCAATCTGTATATCATTGAGCACACTTTCTCTGCATGTTGTACCAACATTTGTGGATATCTTGTCCATACTAGTTTAATGTTAAAATACTGCCGAAGATACTTACAGAGTGATACCGATTCTATCTCACTGTAGGGGGGCACGGGTGGCCCAGTTGTCTAAGGCGCCACAATTCGCTGTGCAGAGTTGCGTCCCTTGGGCACGCCAGAAACCTATGATTGTGGGTTCGAATCCCGGTTCGCCCGGATTATGTTTCTAGGTTTGTCAGCACCATACCCGTGCTCGTGGGTTTCACCGAAGTGGTAAACGTCTGAGACCTGCATCACTTCTGGCTTTCCTCCCACATTAAGCTGACACGCCGTGATATAACTGTAATACTGTTAAAAGCGGCGTTAAGTCCAACTCACTCACTCACTATCTCACTGTAGCGTAATGTCTGAGATAGGCACTGTGCCTAAAAACAATAATCCTCGACTTTTGTAAGTTCCAACTTGGGCCGACCGTACAGCCCTGTTGGGTACCCACACAGCAACTCTGGAAGACAGAGATCCAGTCGTGTGCAAGACTGTAGTTTTTAATACATATTTCGTAAAATACCTAAAATGTTTGGATGAATTCTATATTTTATGATGCAATGCCATAGAAGTGGATGTTTAATACTATCAAAAACTTTGGCAAAGTCAATAAAAAAACAATAGAATCTTCCATCTGGAGATACATATTTCCTGGTCATATCTTGCAGTGTGAACTGTTGAATAACCTTCTGCAACTCAGCTTGACTTTCACACATAATGTGACCGCCTCCGTGGTCTAGTGGTAGAGCGTCCTCCCGGAGAGAGGAAGGTCGGGGGTTCAATCCCCGGCTGCGTCATACCAAAAGATGTTAAGAGATGGTACTTGTTGTTACCCTGTCTGGCGCTCGGCATTAAGGGGCTTAAACAAGGACTGGTCAGCTCGGAGTCAGTATACTGTGTCTGAGTTGGGTATTCATGTTAAACTGTGGCATGGTATCTCAGTGAGCTAGCACTATAAATCGGCATCAGTCCGGACTAGTACAAGCAAACACACACACGTACATGCATGTTGCTATATAAGTGCAATAATCTTGGACACGACGTTAAACCCCATTTCACCTCACCTCACCTCACCTCACAGATAATGTTATTATCAGATGACTATTTTTGAAGTTGTTCATTTATATTTTAGTAAATACTTTCACAGGCTCTGGTAATAATGTAAGCCCTTCTTTTGAAGTGGACATACAATTGCTGTGCAGTGTTTTCCAGAAAAGTTTGCTGTTTTCAATCTTTGCTTTAATAAGTTAATAAATATTTGAGCTATGACTTAAATTTAATGTTTAAGCAATGGATGGGATTCCATCACATTCTGGCGCCTTATTATCTCCATCTTGAGCTGATCAGGCAAATCTCATCTTCCTGAGGCAAGGGAGTTAACTGACTTTAAAAGTCCAGTTTCCACTCTTGTTGTTTATGACCCGGATGATGATATCATTATGGGATTTTGATTGGACTATGTGTAGACTCGTTTGTCCAGCCAAAATACAACCTCATAATTCCAGCCTAGTTTTGCAAGGGTGGAAACTGGACTTTTAAAGTCAGGTAATTCCCTTGCCTCAGGAAGATGACAAATCTTGATAATATTCATTACAGTGAGGCTCATGCTCTGATAAAACAATGGTAACTTCATCTGCTATTGAGGAAGTGACTTCTCACGCACTTAGCAAACTAAGATACAACTACCACTAATTTCCACTTATCTTGTTACAAGAGGAAGGCTTCCTTGTGCATTATGTTGTGGGAGATTTATATATTTCCGCAATTTGTCAGTAATGTCTTTTATCATGTTTATACAATAACATTTGTCTCTAATGGTTTGGTCGTTAACTTCTTTCTTCCTATGACATGTTGATTTGAATATAGAACGTGAAAGTCACCTGTTGTGTGATGGTGTGGCTGTACTCCAAAGCAGGGGTCGATTAAGCTGCTGGCCCGTTGCCCGTGGCCAGTTAAAATTTCAAAGGGCTTGTTGAACGTAAAGTAGGCCTGTCTGGCTGGTCAAAATTTCACCTCTTCTCCTTGCATGTTCAATTTTTGTATATTTTTGTAATTATTTTAAATATTTAGAGCGGGATAAGGTTGTGTGAATGGTTAACTCAAAAACATATATATGTGTTTGATCATCTCTGTAGAATGACAACCAGCCGCCATTTCGTAATGTTGCGTACAACATCTTTCTTTCCTCATAAATCACCCCGAAATGAGGCAAATGGAAGCCAAGATTTAATCTCAGAGTGCAGGAAACAGCATTTCAGGGGTGAGGAGTTCTAAAATTTTCAGAGCCCTCCTAGGTGGCTACGTGACCTTAGGTTTGGTCACTTCGCAGCATCCACCATTTTGTTGTAGGCCAATTAGTTTGAAGAAGGGACGGTAAATTTTAAAAGGACCTAGCCCTGATGGCTACATACAAATTTGTTGTTAAATCTACCCCTGCCAAATTATTTAAAAAGCAAAGTCAAATGTTATAAGTCACTGTGGCCAAAGTATGAACATGATCTGTGTCATCAGTCACGAGTATCTGAAGGTTATTGTTGGCTTGGCATGTTGAAGGACGGGTTCAATTCTCCATATGGGTTCAATTCTCCATATGGGTTCAATTCTCCATATGGGTTCAATTCTCCGTATTGGTTCAATTCTCCATATGGGTTCAATTCTCCATATGGGTTCAATTCTCCATATAGGTTCAATTCTCCATATAGGTTCAATTCTCCATATGGGTTCAATTCTCCATATAGGTTCAATTCTCCATATGGGTTCAATTCTCCATATGGGTTCAATTCTCCATATAGGTTCAATTCTCCATATAGGTTCAATTCTCCATATGGGTTCAATTCTCCATATGGGTTCAATTCTCCATATAGGTTCAATTCTCCATATAGGTTCAATTCTCCATATAGGTTCAATTCTCCATATGGGTTCAATTCTCCATATGGGTTCAATTCTCCGTATGGGTTCAATTCTCCATATGGGTTCAATTCTCCATATGGGTTCAATTCTCCGTATTGGTTCAATTCTCCATATGGGTTCAATTCTCCATATAGGTTCAATTCTCCATATGGGTTCAATTCTCCATATTGGTACAATGTTCGAAGCAAGATAGGGCTGCATTATTGCTAAAATCAGTGCGAAACCGCACTCTCCTATGAGTATGTGATAACATCACGTGTGTCACTGCCACAGTGGAATAGTACATTACTTCGTGATGTTCATTGTTACAGGCCAGAGACAGTACCAGGAATGGAGGTAACCATGACAACAGGACAGTCCCTACAGGGTTCCTGACGACCAGGCTGCCCATCAAGGTAGTGCACTATTTCTTCTTCTGCCAGCTCTGTTTACCAAATTCAGATAAGTCCTATAATATCTCCTTAATGCTGAGCACCAGCCAGGGTAACAAGCACCATCTTTTACTTCTTTTGGTATGATGCGTCTGGGATTGAATCGTCATCTGACACTCCATCTACTAGGTCAGGGATGCAGTTATCGTGGACTTCATGTGACTGGTATTGCATCACTTTCAGTTTCCGCCATTAATTAGACAATCTCCCTATTAATATGCTGTGTTGATATTTCCTGACAAATATCCCGTATTAGGAATAAAGACTAACCTCTTTTTTTTCTGTTGCCATGGTTTCAGGAGCAGACAGTGAAAAGAGATGATTTCATCAAAGAGGAAGATATCCCCACTGCTGTCATGGTTACACAGTTTGTTAATCTGGTTACCAGGCATCCTAAACCCCCGGCCAAGAAGTCAGGGAAGAAAGATATTCCTGATGGATATGCTGAATGGAATGGCAAACTTGTGAAGAACTTCAAGAGGTTTAGGAAGGTAATAACATACATTATGACAAGCCCAGGAATTTATGAAAATAATAACTTCTGAACTAAAATGGATGTTTATAAAGCACAAAGCCCAGTGCCCCATTCCACAAAGACAATCATAAGCTTATGTTAATGTATGGGAGTTATGATCACCTAAGATCGCTTTGGGGAATGTTAGCTTGGTGTTTTGTTTAATTGTTTGATTGTGAGTTGTTATTCCGACTGTGTTAGATGTTCCTCATGATATCGATCACTGGCTTGTCTGGACCAGACTCAATAATTATTTGACTGCCATCATGTAGTAGGAAAATTACTGACTGTAGCTTTAGAAATATTCACTCACTCACTCTCTGTATTTAGCAACAAAATGTTAGACAGCTTTGCTATCTAAGGCTTAGAAAAATAAAGTTGGTTATCAGGCAATGACTTTTGAAAATATAGTGCAGGCGGGCAGTGCTGTTTTTTTCTTTTTTGCTTGTTCAAACAAGTATGTAACCAGATAAGCAGTTGTGTACCATCAACCTGGGAAAGGGCCTCCCAACATAAACAAGCATATAAAATCCTATTGCCACCATTACCATAACACGAGATGCACCGTAAGGCAGGGAAGTAACTGTGTGCTATATTGGATCGCATTGTTTTTAAGTATTAGGCTTTTTTTATCCCCTGCCCCAACGAAGTTGACGGGGGATATTGAAATGTGTTCCGTCCATCCGTGCGGAGGTGTACGTGTGTGCGTGCGTCCCGAAATCGTTTCCGGAGCGTAACTCAAAAACTGTCAAAGACTTTCTTTAAAAACTGTGCATGCATGTCTACAAGCCACATACTGAACTGGTGCCTTTTGCTATTTAGGAATTTTATAATTTTTAATTTTTTATGTTTCCATGGCAACATGTTTGACTTAGGTTCTATAGGGTAGAGTTTGTTTCTGGAGCATAACTCAAAACCCATTCAATACTTTCTAACAAAACTTTGCATGTTTACCAGACACATACTGAACTGGTGCCTTTTGCTATTTAGGAATTTTAGAATTTTTTATGTTTCCATGGCAACACGTTGGACTTAGGTTCTATAGGGTAGAGTTTGTTTCTGGAGCATAACTCAAAACCCATTCAATACTTTCTAACAAAACTTTGCATGTCTACTAGGCACATACTGAACTGGTGCCTTTTGCTATTTAGGAATTTTAGAAATTTTTATTTTTTACGTTTCCATGGCAACAAGTCTGGAGCGTAACTCAAAAAATACTTTCTTACAAAACTTTGCATGTCCACCAGGCACATACTTAACTGGTGCCATTTGATATTAAGGAGTTTTAGAAATGTTTATTTTAGAATTTCCATTGAAGCTATTTTGACATGGGCTAAGAGAAATGTTGGGTCAGTTACCTTGTTTTGGACCATAACGTGTTAAAATGGGTGGGGGATATAGATGACTTTGTTGACTATACGCTTGTTATGTTTTGTTTTGCAAATGGAACTATAAATGAAATGCGCAACAGTATTTGTGATGAAGCAGGCGGTGCCCGAGAACCAAGACTATTATTTGTTTTAGTCTAAACACTTCATGAAACTCACAAGAACGCCATGAACATTACCTATAAATCCAGTAGGCTAGCCAAAACATACTTGACTCATCACAAACAACCAAACCTTTAATTTGGTCTTTGTACAGGAAATACTTTTTATGTCCAGCTAGAGCAACTGCTGTGTAAGAAAAATGCTGCTCCATATCATCACATGACAGATATTTAGCTGTACTGTGACTGATGTTGGCAGATATTTAGCTGTACTGTGACTGATGTTGACAGATATTTAGCTGTACTGTGACTGATGTTGACAGATATTTAGCAGTACTGTGACTGATGTTGACAGATATTTAGCTGTACTGTGACTGATGTTGACAGATATTTAGCAGTACTGTGACTGATGTTGACAGATATTTAGCAGTACTGTGACTGATGTTGACAGATATTTAGCTGTACTGTGACTGATGTTGACAGATATTTAGCAGTACTGTGACTGATGTTGACAGATATTTAGCTGTACTGTGACTAATGTTGACAGATATTTAGCTGTACTGTGACTAATGTTGACAGATATTTAGCTTTACTGTGACTGATGTTGACAGATATTTAGCTGTACTGTGACTGATGTTGACAGATATTTAGCAGTACTGTGACTGATGTTGACAGATATTTAGCTGTACTGTGACTGATGTTGACAGATATTTAGCTGTACTGTGACTGATGTTGTCAAGCTTTCTTTTCAGTCCAGCCATGCAGGAGCCAACTTTCTTCCTCGTATCATCGGCGGCAGCGACCTCGTAGAACACATGGGAAGTCAGCGCCGTGAGATGGATGACTGGTTCCGAGATGCAAGACAGGTGTGTATCATTGTGTTATTAGGGGAAACAAGTGGTCCAGTTGTCTAAGGTGCGGTAATTTGGTGTCCCTTTGCCTTTGGCATGTCAGAAACCTAGGCTCAAGGGATTATGATAATTTCTATGTGTTCTGCATTTCACTGAAGGGGTAAACGTCTAAGGCCTGCGTAAGTCTGACCCCACATCAACCAAACATGCTGGAAATACTGCTAATACAGTATTAAGCCAAACCCTCACATTCCTCACATCAAACTGACACACCATGATATAACAAGTACTGTTCAAAGTAGAAATTAACCCAACTCACTCACTTACTACGTTATTAACCGGGCATTTAAAGTTTAGTCAGCACTGAATTTTGGAACAAATTGGCAACAATACTGTTAAATATGTTACAATTATTTGTTCTCTCTTGTAATGTATGATGAGATAATGTAGCAACAGATTAATTAGTAGTTTGATTGGTAGATAATATAAACACCGAAATTGAATATTTTAGTTTAATATGAGGTTGTAGGTATAAATGGCACCCGATCAGATCTTGGGTAGAATAGGTCTTCAGCAACCCATGCTTGGCGTAAAAGGTGACTATGATTGTCGTACAAGGTGACTATCGGGATTGGGTGGTCAGGCTCGTTGACTTGGTGTATGCATGTCATCGATCCCATTTGCATGGTTTGATGATCACGATGTCAATCACTGGATTGCCTGGCCCAGACTTGATTATTTACATGTAGCTGGAATATTGCTGACTGCAGCATTAAACAACAAACACACTTCTATTTGTAAACGTATAACAAATATTGAAGGTATTAGTGTGTTGTTCAGTGTTGACAGTCCCGACGTAAAGATATCTCAATTTTTAAATAGTCTAGTTTATCAGCATGAACATGATTAAGTAGTTGAAGGGTCAAATGACTAAGTAAGAATTAGTCCAGGACTGTTGTCAAACTTTGTAGATGAATTGGAACCATGGTTTGGAGACACACCACTGTAAACACACAAGTTTGATAGACGCATCTGTCAATACTTGTTCTTATCGCTTTATGGCTGAAATAATGCTGATGTGACGTTAAATTTTAACTCCCTTACCTACTCACTGTAGGTCCATGGTCACATAATAATGGTTATCTAGGATTAATTACGAGAAGATTTGTAGACCATGACATCTCACTATTAGTTAGGTGAGGTGAAATGGGGTTTAAGGTCGCTTTCAAGATTGCTCTGTGCGTGAGTATACTAATGCCGATTTTATAGTGCTAACCCACTGAGATACCATGCTGCAGTTTTAACATGACTATCCCAATCAGACGCAGTATACTGACTCTGAGCCGACCAGTCCTTGTTTTAGCCCCTTAATGCCAAGTGCCAGACAGACAAGTACCATCTTTAAACGTCATTTGGTACGATGCGTCGGGGGATCCGCTGACCACTAGATGCTCTACCACTTGACCACGGAGGTGGTCTCTTGGCAGATGCTCTATCCACTTGACCACTGAGGCGTTCCTAGTATTAAGTCAGCCATCACATGGTTATAACAACACCAAATGTTGAGCCTGACTTATGTCATTAAATATTTTCCAGATGTATTTATCCTATGTTTACTGTTTGGTTTCCTTTTTTCACAGGCCGAGAGTCAGGAGAATGAACGTGAACGAGAAGCTGAAGACCTATTTAAGTGAGCACAGACGTTTTTTGTTTTGTTTAATGCTGCAACATTCCAGCAAAATGATTGCAGTCTGTAAGTAATCAAGTCCGGACCAGACAATCCAGTGATTGACATCATGAGCATCGGTCTATGCAATTGGGATACAATCACATATGCATCAACCATGTCAGCAAGCCTGACCACCCATTGTTAAGTAGGAATATAGGTCCCCAGCAACCAATGCTGGTCGTAAGAGGTGACCAATAGATAGGGTGATCAGGCTCAGTGATTTGGTTGATTGTGTGTCATTGTACCCTGACGATGTGGATCCTTTGTTTACAATATCAATCACTGGATTTTCTGGTCCAGATTTGAATATGTACAGACTGCCGTCATATAACTGGGATATTGCTGAGAGCGTCGCTAAGAACATGAAAATATTTGATTGGTTCCTCTGTAGTCTTATGAACATTAACCAGCTGTGGTGTTTGCATCCCCCTCATTCATTCATTTACAATCAGTTGTCCCGACTTGGGGCTACAGATAGACAAATTGGAAAAGTTTGTGAAAGTTTTGGATGTAATACCTACAAGGCACTACATCTCTGAATGGCTACAGATCAAAAAAAATTTTTTATTAAGGCTGAAATAAATAAAAAGAAGTGGTTCTCAGGCAATGAATTTTGAAAATATAGTGCGGGCGGGCGGTGTCTTTTTTTTTTGGGTTGTTCAAACTAGTATGTAACCAATAAACAGTTGTGTAATCAATAAACAATTGTGTATAATCAACCTGTATTCCTTGATGAGTAAAATACTGGAATACAGTATTTGACTACCGTTGGACTTGAAATATTTAAGGATTTTTTTTAAAATGTTAAAAATGGAAATAAAAATGAAACGTGCGGCGAATTTGAATATATACCTTATTTCACCAATAGCCATTTCATTGGACCCAGGGTTTCACTTTTTAAGTGGAATTGTTATTCCTTGTTGCAATGGCTTCAATGTCTGACAGATAGATCACATAAATATTGGACGCATGTGATGGTAGTGAAAATTCAAACATTTATGTATTGTTTCTTTCAGTTGGGAACCCACCAGTCGCAACAAGAGGTCAAGGTAGCTGGCGAACAACGTTGTGTATATATATATATATATGCATATTCAATAAATGATGTTCCCTTCACTCCTCTTACTTTGTTTTTTTATCCTGCAGGGATTCTGGCTAATTAACCAGTGTGAAACCAACTACCAACAAAGAAATGGTATACGATTAACAATTGTATTATAAAAGGAACGAGGGTTACAAATCAATACAAATTACTGCAAAGTTATTACAATGGCAGTACTCAGTAGAGTGTCAATGCAAAAGATTCCGTGGAAGTGCAATTACAGTGGCAGCATGAAATACAATAACAGTGGTAATAGCAATAAAGTCAGGGATAATGAAATTCACTTAGCAGCAACAGTGGTCAAGCTTCCAAAATAGGTTAAGGCTTGATATCCAGGGTGAAAACAATGATCTTCACACACTTGCTGGTCTTGATGTAATGTGAGATGAGAGAGACACGCTGATGGCCGCTTATATCGTCTAAACATCATCCACTTGGTGAATGGAAATTGGAGCATTTTAAATTCACATATTATTATTATTATTAAATACCTTCTACAAGATTCCAGAATACACTCAACTCCAAAAGCATCTAAATATAGCAACTTTCACACCACTGCTAACATTAGATAGCACTAACCATTGACCTGACAACTAACAATTGTCAAAACAATTCTATTAACTAATTCTACTGCATCTCAAAACTTTAAACTTTTAATACAATTACAATGTTGTTTAACAATAAATTACACTTACATATACCAGTTTAAGGTAAATATGTTTACAAATGCGTGAATAAATCAATATTGCAAGGAAATGGTCCATTTCTTCCTGTTTACTCATGTTAACCCATAGAAAGGAAGTACCTCTATGTCTCATTATTTAAAGAAATGCACATACTACATGCACCCAACCACACACACACACCTGTGGGATCCTTGGTCTGAACAGACACCCCCCCTCTATGCTTCTTGTAGACAAAGGGGAATGGGTGGTCAGGCTCTGTAACATGGCACTATGGTCGGGTGGGTCCTGAGTAGGACCCGGGTACCCACAGTACTACCCGGACAAGTGGTTAGTCATGTGATATATTGTTTAATGACAAAAACTCGCTAAAGCTCAGTGGTAACACTACAAGTCACTAATGTTAGCATTTCTTTCTGAAGATGCACACATTCCTTTTGACTTGTATATGTTTGAGTAAAGATAAAGCTTCAGTCAACTTCAGTGTACACATGATTTGATGGTTTCATACATGTATCTAAAAAAAGTTTTTGCCAGGGCTACAGTTAAACTATTCCCAATTAGACATTGTGTTTTTCCAACTCTTGAGACCTACAGCGGGTACCCGGGTAGGGTCGGGTAATAGGATGTTGGGTACCCGGGTAGTAAATTTGGACTCGTCCCATCCCTAGTGCCAGCATACCCTTACAACAAACATGGGACGTTGATCCAGTACTGTTTTCCCTGGTCTACAGAACCATGTGCTATAGCTAGAATGTTGCGGACAGTGAAATACAACTACAATCGCACCAAGCAGCACAATTTTCACTCATTGTGCTTTACTTTCTCCAACTTTTATGGGGTTACTTTGAAAAATGTTGTGTGTTTTTTTCATTTTTACAAACCTTTTTTTAATGTATTTGTAAACCAAAAAAAAAAAAAATGCCTTATGGGTATTTAATCTTGTTTCCCCAACTCTAAGAACTGTATGGATTCTGAAATATTAATTGACCCTCCTATAGAGGGGGCTGATATAGATCAGGTGGTCAGACTCGGTGACTTTGATTGGCTGTCCTCATACGCTGATGGCATGGATCCAGCTCATTTTATAATAACTGGTTTGTGTGGTGCAGATTATTTAGCCGGCGATAGATAATTATAAGTCGTTAAGAATATAGTATAACAAAGTCATGGCCAGGATTGATATAGCCTGAGACTTCTAATTGTGCTGAGGACAAGTTAAAATCCAGAGATAGTAGTTCTCATTGACTAGTAGCTATAATTCGGAACCTGTCTTCAATGCTTCAATTTTGCTGAAAGGTGGTACTGAATGAAACTGACAGAAGATGTAAACATTAGGAACATATTTGTCAGGTTCAAGCAGGACGATCTACAATTAAACAGATAATTAGTGAAATATGGTGAAAATTCATCTTTTCTTGAAACCACACCCGCGATTGTTTATGTCAACATGACCGACTAATCGGATTAACCGGATTAAGGCTTGAAAAGGTAAGAAATTATGGCTAATCCTTGCCCAAAGCATGCTAACCCTAAGGACCGAAAAGGGGTGTTGGATCGTAAAGACGTGTAAGTTTCCATAAGACCGAGAACGGGTGTTGGATCGTAAAGACGTGTAAGTTTCCCTAAGACCGAAAAAGGGGTGTTAGATCGTAAAGACGTGTAAGTTTCCCGAAGACCGAGAACGGGTATTCGATCGTGAAGCGAGAGTCACCGGAGCGTGAGGCACAGTAACGGTATAGCGAGACAGCAGTGGCATTATAGCGAGGTAACTGAGCGGATGGTAGAGCTCGGGCTGCACCCAGTAAACTGCATTGTTGCCAAAAAGAATGTCTAAGAATGTCAAGAGACAAAGTCCTCGCAGAGAATGACAGTATTAAATGTTTTTGATACGATGTAAAACATTCTTCACTCTCGCATTGATCAATATACGCAAACTCCGAGAAGCTCGCGGCATTATACGTTCACGTTCGCGTTCCAAAACGTGTTTGACCTGTTAGATAAACATATGAAAAGTACAAGGCCAGTTTCAAGTCTTCATTCAATAATATCTAGATTCTCAAACAGTATATGTAAGTTATATAAATATTATGTAACCACAACAGTAGCTGTGACCATTCGATCACATGAAGAACACGAGTGTGAAAATCTATTTTTAGCGAGCCACACACCATTTTTCTTATCCAATCATATTTGTGCTATGTAGGGCACCTACTTTCCGTCCAATAAAGGTTTCCGTAACAAATATTGACGCCTCAGTAATGGTGGACACGGAGAAGATGGGAAGCCGTTTTCTGCTTCTGTTTGTGATAATATGTCAATTAACGACATTATTAGAAGCTAGATATCCGGTTGTACTAGGTACGTATCGCGTGTTTATACTGATGTGTTGTTATCTGAGACATGTACTAAGCTTCGAACACATTTATTGATAAAACCATAGTAACTGAAAATCACCAGTTGGCCAACTCACGATCTCGATCGAAGCATGCCAATGTCAATGACATGAAACGTGGTGTTTCACTGACTGGATCATCACTGATTCAGATATATCTTTAGGAAAAGTGACAGTACATTGTACAATTAAATCGTATAAATTTGTTCGATATGTCATCTGGTCACTCTTTTCTGTGTTGTGTTCGTCCCCTATTTTCATTTTGTACTAAAATGCCCTATTTTACAAGAAATGTTTTTGGGGAAAGCCGTTTACCGGATACATCTACTTTGATTTGAATGTTATGTGACGCTGGCTTACGCTTCACTGATCTGAAAGCCTCGTCGGTCCGTATCTGCAGTGTCTGTAGGCGTTACTTATGTAATGGTAAGGGGAGATTATCCTAACACTAGCCTTAGATTGTAAACCCTTCACAATCGTTAGGGCAGAGACCATATACCGGTATGTGGTCTCTGGATGGGGTAAGGCACCCCTTTCCACTTTAGTTGGGACTTGGGATAAGGGTTAGCCTATATCTCGCCATTCACCTTATTTTATGAATGATGGTCATCCATCGGATGTAAAGGTAATGTTTTTCAGTTTATTTTTTTATTGGTGAAAGAATGAAAGTACACATGATTGTTTACATTGTAGGTGCTGATCAGTAGCATTGAAGATTTGCTCTTATGATAAATAAAAAGAAGAGGTGAATCACAGTACTGTGTAGCCTTAGCCTACTGCAATACAGGGTCATAAAAAATAACTAGTCCTGCAAGGTCTATTGGCTGAATCCACCACTTATGAATACATTCGAGCTCCTAAAAAGTATTTCTGATTGTGTCTTATAACAATCCCATGACACTAAAATTAAGTCTTACCTTTCGGGACATTTATTTCTGTGAACAATTGGATGGTCAAATGACCATGTCTTGTTCATTTTTTTTAGTGATAATGCCTTGCCAGACAAGACGACTCGATCAGGCGCCATCTTGTTACTGTCACATGATTTCGAGCCCCACCATAGCAGTGAAGTTAAAAATAGATGTACAACATGATCAGTCACATCACATCACATTACAGACAGGAAGTTTGCATACAGCATCAGATACAATTTCGGTGCATACAATTGTTTGATTCTGATGCAAAATTATCATCAAATGAAGTTGGAATAAAATGTGCATTAGTGAAAAAGTAAGTTTTGAGATTTGTTTTCATTACTTATTGAATTTCTTACCTCGTGCAGCTAAATTTGTAACATAACTTCAGCGGCAAGTAGCAAACACTTGGATATCTTCAGTGGACTTTGAAGTGTCTAACTTCATTACGTTATCAGGCATGTTGTTACATATTGTTTAGGGCTCGAAAAGAGGTGAGGCTCAAAAACGTGTGACGTGTGGATAATACAGTGTGTATATACATGTATTAGACTGCAGGCACTTGTATAGTGTTAGACAGTAGGGTTGGTGTATTGGCACATAAATTGTATTGCAATATATATCACGATACAGAGAGTTGTATTGTGATACATATTTCAATACGTATGTAATTTCTTCATTCAATAATCTCGTCTTCAGATTGCAAGATGGGTAGTATAGACAAACATGATAAACGTGACTATCGTATTCGACGTAATAAGCGCCCCGCTCTAATAAGCGCCCATGGCGATATTTGCTAATATTATTGGCTAGCGAACAATCCCAATTGGCACCCCTTCCGATTGATCAATGTACACAAGACTTATGCACCCTTAGTTATGGGCAATTTAATTCTGGGAAAATATATCTGTCATACATAAACATTTCAGGCCATCAGCATAAACCATGAAATTTATCTTTCAACTCTGTTTTTTTTTCACCAAAATAATATTTTGATAACAGCCCCCTATTTCTAATTTTGAGAGCGCCCTGGGCGCTTATTACGTCGAATACGGTATGTATTACATCATCAATGTGGAATGTTAATGTAAACAGCATGAAACATGTGCTGTTTCCTAGGTTTAGATAGGAACCCAGTCCATCCAAATTCCTCAAGTTAGTAGATATAATTTATAGAATTGTGGATTTATTCTTCTGTGACTGTATCGAAAAATATCAATACTCAAGGGTTGTATTGCCGTATTGCAGTAGACCAGTATTAATGCACACCCCTATTTGACTGGGCCACTTGCTCATTAGTCCCGACCCGTGAAGATCCGGGATAGAATAGGTATTCAGCTACCCATGCTTGCCGTAAAAGGTGACTATGCTTGCCATAAGAGGCCACTCACTATGTGTCAGGTGGTCAGGCTCGCTGACTTGGTTGATGCATGTCATCGTTTCTCAATTGTGTAGATCGATGCTCATGATGGATTGTCTGGTCCAGACTTGGATTATGTACAGACTGTGGTCACATAGCAGGAATATTGCTGGGTGTGGCATTAAACATGTTAAGGGACAATATTTTTTTTTTTTTTTTTCCAGTTCCTGGTGATGGTGGAAGTCAGTTTATGGCCAAGCTGAACAAATCAACAGGACCACATGAATTCTGCCAACAGAAGACATCATATTACTTTAACTTGTGGCTCAACTTGGAGGAATTGGCCCCATATGTCATAGATTGTTTTGTCGATAATATGAAGTGAGTAGATTTTTAATGACATCGTTTGTTGAAAAGATAGAATCATTTATGAATAGTAATTTACTACTCAAAAGAAGTTAAGGACCACTTAATTGTCCTTGGATTATCATGATTATTATATATTATTTATGTTATTGTTTGATGATTTGATTGGTCAATATTTACGTAAATAACTTTAAGGTTCAGTAACAATTGGAATCTTGTCTGCTGTCTGTATTTAAACTGCTGCCTCATGTCTTAGAGTTGAACATTGTGAACATACAATTTCGTGTCAATTGGCGTTAGAAATTGGCCCTAGTTCTGTAGTCCTTGCCAAACTGCTTAATAGTTAAGGTATCCTAAGGGCTAGTAGAAATTTTGCATTTTCAAGGATTTTACTATATGTTATCATTATAAGGTTTAGTGGACTAAAACTGTTTGTTTCTATTCCTGTCAATGGTATTCCATAATACATCATTACATGTGCAAATGTCAGCACCCTAACTGAGTGTGTGCTACATTACGTCTTCCAAATTTGGGGTGCGACTTGAAGACTCACTTTAAGATGCTTAAAATATGTTTGGTACGTATTGCAAATGAAGTAGGACTGTTGCAAAGTGTTTTCACAAACATTGTGGTAAATATACCTGTGTACCATGACACAACTTGTTCTACCTGAAAGTTTCCATTCTAATTTGCTTTCTGTGTTAATCACTGCATACAGACAATATTCTTTGATTATTTTGAGTTGTGTGTTTTTGTAATATGTGAATTTCTCTAATTGAATGTTTTTGCTTTGCTTCTAGAAGCAGTATTGTTTCTCCCCAGTCCTTTGCCCAAACATCTGCTTGAATATACATATTAGCAGAACAGTCACCTTAACTATTTTAGCCAGACTTTGACACTTTACAAATACCTGGTGCGATGTAATTGCAACTGTAATCATGCTAATGAATGATGTCAACAGGGTAACTAGCAATCATGGATCATGAGTTTTGTACCAAAAACAACTGAGATTCAACGCTGTCTTTTTTGCATCCTCTATTGTCCAGGGCATGATATTTCCACCCTGTTATAATAAACTCCCTGGATTCATTTACTATCGTGGTTTCGAGCTCGATTAAATGACACAGCACTACAAATAGCCATCATTTCAAATAGCTCTCATGAGTGAGAAGTTCCGAGCTACGTTAGTGATTATACTCTGCTGGCAAAAAGTTTCAGTCATAACAGAATGGTGATATGATACACTGGGTGGTTGAGGATGACGTTTAGACTACTTGATCTTTCCCCATTTGACAATATTTAACCAGTTCTAAATGAAAATTTTGAAATGTGAAATAATCTCTTACTCTCTCTAATCTAACATTTTTGATACATCAAGTAAAAAAAAGCTGATTGCTAAGCAATGCTAAAAGCACTAGCCAGTGCACATTTACATCATTTTTAGGATATCCTCAGATCTATTTGAGTTTTGAAAGGTTGAACTTTATGTTACCACTTTTGGGGCTGGTAGAGTTTCTAGGCCGAGTTCTTCCTCTGAGAGTTCAGATCACCAGGATGTAAAGTCATATAATGGGTCATCTGACATTTTGGAAGTGTGTATTTGTCGGTTGACGAGGAAGGAGTGTAAAATGTCACTTGTCTGGCTAATGAGGTGCTGATGACTGTTACCTTGTCTACACCAGGGGACCAGTTTTCATGTTTTGTCACTTAATTTTCCTTATCCTAATGCATGCTTCAAATCTCTGGCACATTTTGTTTTCTTTCAATATTTGTGTTTGGGTAAATTTATTTCTCAACTGTTTTGCAGTTCGAGCAGTTTTGAGGGGCAAATAACTATCATTTGTAATATTTCTTCAACATCTGTCCCAATGGCCTGGGGTGTTAGACTCTGTTTCTGAATAATTTACAGGCTGCTGTCATGTAGCTTGAATATTGCTGAGTGTGACATCAAACAACAAACAGATTCTTATCCTTAATTTGAAACACTATCAGAGCTTGAATTGTTGCCCATCCCAAAGTACTGCGGGAAGGACTTTTTTTCTTTTCTCTTCTCTTCTCTTCTCTTCTCTTCTCTTCTCTTCTCTTCCTTTTCCTTTTCCTTTTCCTTTTCTTTTCTTTTCTTTTCTTTTCTTTTCTTTTCTTTTCTTTTCTTTTCTTTTCTTTTCTTTTCTTTTCTTTTCTTTTCTTTTCTTGACAGGTTTAACTATAGGGTTGGCTGAGAAACCAGAAACACATTCACTTGTTTTTGTATTTTGTGTATTTTTTATTTTTTTTAATTATTTGTTTATTTTTATTTTTGTTATTATTGGGGGGGGGGGGGGGGGGGGGGGTGTTAGAGATTTGATATTAACTTTAATATTGCAGCCTGCACAGTTCAAAACACATTATGGCATCCCTCCATCCCACCTGACGTTTCATGTTGCCTTTGTATATCCCTGCCCACTAACCCTTGCCAAGTTGTTTTGATTTATAACAGTATGCATGTGTTGCTTGTGTTTGTGACTGACAGTGACTTATTTCTCTCTCTGCTGCAGACTTCATTATAATTCAACTTCACACACAACAAGCAATACCCCTGGTGTGGACATCGTTATCCCTGGTTTTGGGAACACGTCTAGTGTAGAATGGCTTGACCCTGATTATTATGTGCACTTCTCATCCAGTAAGTGTGCGCTATATAGCCTTTGTGTATCTAACCCAGGGCTGCATGTGGGTTTGGCCAAAGCTTCATCTATGAACAGTGTTTCCATACAGGAGAGATTTGTATTTTGATATGTTTTGCAATATTTGTGTATCATGTCATTCATGAACATGAATTTAAGTGCTGTTCAATGAAATATCAGACCGGATCACAGTTGCTGTAGTGCAGTAGAGTTCCTGATTATGTTGTGATTAAAGTATCTTACTTATTCTTAGTGCTGGTAATCACAGTCTGAAACTTGTCTGAAAACCGAATCTATGAAATTTTCAGTTTGTACTACCAGGTAGTTCTAACTAAGACTAAAATACACTGTAAATAATGCCTTAATAATGTAAATAATGTGTGTTTGGGCTGGTGGACTTGAAAAGTTTTTAAAATAAGCCAAGCTGTATGAGATGATGTATAAAAAAGGGAAAAAATTAGCATATATAAATTTAGCAAATTAAGACATGAAGAAAGCACCAATTTCAGTTGACATCTCAAGAGATTTATCTTGACCTACTCAGAGGCTGTTATTCACCAAGTCTGCAGCAAATGTCATAAAAAAATTCCAAATTGGAATTAATAATTTCCAAATTTCTCAATAATAACTAATTGAATGGCTTTGTACATCTATGATCTTTAACAGGAGCAATAAATGAGAAGAGATTTTAAATTTATTTTTTATATTATTGCGTTAAATTCAAAATTCTCAATTAAGAACTTTTAAAAAAAAAATCTCACTATTTCCCAATTTGGCTACCATTGGCACTAATAGTTTGGAATCGTGGCTAAATCCCTGATCTCTGAACATTATTTATCAGCATAGGTTTTGTAACCCTGAGGTTTTATATCATAAAACCATATCATTTTACCCACAAGCGAATCTTCACCTTATGTCTTGATACTGCCAGAAAATATTACTGCTAGAATAAAGCTTGACCTATGAAACAATGTACTGGTACTGGAAAATGTGTGCTATCAACACACATGTAGCCTTTGGTTTTTCACAAACATAACAGGCCTACAAATAAGAAAGCATAACAAGCATAATAATCCAACAAAAAGCAATCAGGAAAGTTTATTTGTGTAACTAATATGCATTATGAGGAAACTATTCTTTTGAGTAATTTCTGCTTAGCATTTCGTGATTGTTGAGTTCAGCTTTGTTTAAATTATCAGTTATTGACAGACAATTTCCTCTTGCCTTTTGGATAAACTTCCTGATATTTGAAAGTTCGATCACAATAATCATGTTAATCATCATGCTAAATAATTACCGTATTCGACGTAATAAGCGCCCCGCTCTAATAAGCGCCCACGGCGATATTTGCTAATATATTGGCTAGTGAACAATCCCAATCAGCACCCCTTCCGATTGATCAATGTACACAGGACTTTTTTATTCGTGAATAATACGCACTCTTGTGTTATATTACCCTTAATTATGGGCAATTAAATTCTTGAAAAATATATCTGTCGTATGTAAACACTTCAGGCTGTTAGCATAAACCACGAAATTTACGATCTTTCAACTCAAAATAATATTCTAATAAGCGCCCCCTATTTCTAATTTTGAGAGCGCCCTGGGCGCTTATTACGTTGAATACGGTAAGTTGTAAGTAGTCCTTGTTATCGGGTCATTTTCCAGACAACTGCAGTGAGGTTTGGTTGAATTATTTTTATTTAAGTAATGAAAAGAGAATCTCTCCTGAAGCGAAACACTGTACAAAGATTGAGTTTGTTTTTCTGTTAGGATGCAATTCCGTGAACTCAAGATGAAACTTGTTTTCTCGCAGGCTTCTCTATGATAATACAACTCGTAAAACCAGAAACCAAGTCGGGGTAGACATTGTGATCCCCGGATTTGGCAACACTTCGTCTGTTGAATGGTTAGACTCCAGTCAGCTCGCTGCTAGTAAGTTCATAGCGTTGTGTTAAAGGGTTCCCTCAAACCAACATTGACTCTGTATGGACAGCAAACAATAGCCACACTGTTATCTTCAAGGTTGCGCTTATCTCCAGTCAATCTTAACAATATCCTTATTGAAACAATTTTAGAAACACCTTTTCCATGGTAACAATATCTCTTGATATTCGTCCTCGATCATGGCAACTTTAAAAATGATTTTATGACTTTGAGCAATAAGAACACATGAAGTACATATATTAATATCATCCTTATGCTCAGCATTGATACAAAAAAATAACTATCTTTCCTTAATACCAGTAATAAGCAATCAGTGACTATGTCTTTATATAGCAGTTTATTTTTAAGCCACATATCAAGCAATGAATTATGCAATTCGGGAATTAAGCATCAAAGCCAAGGGGTCGTGATGACCCTAATGTTAAGAATTAACAATTTAGGGGTTCCTGTACAGTTTAAGAAATTGGCACTAGTCCTATAGTCCTTGCCAAGCTGCCCAATAGTTAAGGTATCATAAGGATTGGAATAGTAGAAATTTTGCCCTTTTTAAGGGTTTTGCTATATGTTATCATTATAAGAACTAGTGGATTAAAACTGTTAGTTTCTGACACTGCTGTATTGAAATATAATAGGTGCAAACCTCAAGGTCCCCCCATTATTTCAAACCATGTCATGATTGTAGAAGTTTGTAGTTGATTGTTGAAGCCAAATGATGCAGACACATGTGAAACTGTTTTAGCAGGAAGAACCTCCTTATTGAGAATGTAAGTCTGTTGTAAAGACGGTAAATGAAAATGGTTAACAATATCATGTGTCCATCTGCAATACAATCACATGTACATTGAGTACTTATGATACATTTAAGAGTGAAGATGCTCACAGATGGTCAATAGTCAATTGCTTGATACCAATGTATTCTTCTCGAACTAACTTATGATAACAACGGAACCTGTCACAATTAGAGGAGTAATGTGTAGTGAGATGTTACGTGACTGCACGTGATAAGCACATTTGTCCACATCACTATCTTGACAGTTTTCAAAGAGATAGGAGCATGTGAGGTGTGATGATAAGGGTAACAGTGATACACAGTTTGGGATAGGTCAAGTGTTTATCTGGACCTGCTTAGAGACCAATATTTGACCCCAAATCTGCAGCAGTTGTCTGTTGACATTTCCAAATTGAAATTAAACATTTCCCAATTCATACAGTTATATAGTTAAAACAAATGTTGTGGCTTTTGTAGAGGTGACTTCCCTGTTAACAGAACCAATACAGAGGAAGAGGATTTTATGTTCGGTTTTACATTTTTGCATGGAAGCAATGTCACAATTCAAAGTTAAAGTACCTCTGAATTTTAAGAAAATAAGAATTTTTGAAAAAATCCCCATTTTGGACAATAGAAAGATTTCCCCCAATTTGCCTGCCAAGGGCACTAGAATCCTTGATATGAATCTGTAATTATCACAGGAAGCTGAAATTTAAGTGTGGGTTGTGATATAATTGCCTGATTGCTGTATTCCTACCTAATATGTACTATATGTAAACAAGATACAGACGAGGAAAGAAATGCCCTTGTAAAAATCTAACCCTAGTCCTTTAGGCCACTTGATTTGTGCACTGCAAAATTTCCAAATAATTTTGCTCACACAATAAGAAGAAACATTTAGTTGTGTACTTGTTTGTATAAATGTTCACAAAGAAAAAGGTTTGTTGAGCTTTTCATTCAGTGTATTTAAGATATGGTACATCACCGTACACATAGTTATACATACAGTAGGGCTATTTTCAACTTACGAGCACACTATAATCTCCTGATTCTTGTGGTAATATGATAGTGACCAAGACAGAGTCTCACAAGTCTTATTGATTAAGTTTAATGTCTTATTTCCTGTGAAAATCATATGAAGTCATGCTGAAGGGATTGTAGGGAAAATGACAAAAACCAAGCTTGGTGTTAGAACATGTATACTATGGATAATGGGCAGCCTTGGGGTAATACGCATTGTTTTACTGATACTGTGAACATTTTACATTTTTGGAAATGTATTTTTTTATGTTTGTTTTCAGTGAGATTATTCTGAGATTAAGTACTTATTACTATATAATGTATTGCAGGAGTAAATTTTCGTTCTGTTTCGAATGTCTGCTGGTATGTCTCTGTGTTAAGTCAAGACTCAAAACCAAAATGTGTTCCAATCAGTAATTCTGGAAACACAAAATATTGCTCCTGGAGCTGTGTCACGGTGAACATTGGTGAACATTGGGATTGTCTGGTCCAGACTCGATTATTTACAGACCGCCGTCATATAGCTGGAATATTGCTGAGTGCGGCGTTAAACAACAAACCAACAACAACAATATGTTAATAAGAAGTGCTAAACAATTGTCACCAGCTTGTAACTAAAACAGAGACTGATTTGCCTGAAAGGGAATTGTGATAATAAGTCAGGTCAGCTAGAGTTGAATTAAGAGTTAAGGATGTCATTCCAGCATCTTACTTCGCCCCTATTGTGGAAGCCCTGGTAAAATGGGGATACAAGCGAGGAGAGAGCGTCCGCGGAGCACCATATGACTTCAGGAAGGCACCAAGTAAGTCTTATTATTATGTTAGCTAAGAGACACATTTTTATTTCTAGTTTAAAGAAAAGGAAACCCTCATTGGACGTTTTTAAACAAGTATTAAAAGATGCTATTTATTTGGAATATCTGTCAGCAAAAACTAATAATAAGCTTAGCACTTATAACAAAAAGTGGATATTGTATTGTGGTTTACATGATGGCTTGAATCTTACATAGATTGCTGACTGTGTGTTATTATTGATGGTTTCCAATCACTTTGACACTATTGCCAAAGAAAGACTAATGTTTTTCCAAGATAAAGATTACAATACTATAATTCGGTACTGTTTATTCCTTTATTATTAGCTTATCTTTCTACGATTGCTCATAAATATGGTTTTAACTACTTTCATGCCAGAACATCTTGCTCGATCCTTCATGATCAAGGCCTATCCTCCAAATATGCGGTGTCAAAATGTTAATTGCTATATATATGTATTTATCACTGTGTATGTAACCACTGAGACTGGAATAAAAATGATTTTAAAAAAAAAAAGAAAGTCTTATGACATATGATATGCTGATGGAAAGAAATAAGGGAATGACATGTGGTAAATCCTGATAGTGTATGTCAGCGCTCCCAACCTCTTTTAACTTATATCTTCATTCCAACTTCCACTGCACAAAACAGTAGCAGGCAGTAAGATTTTATTGAGATTGTTGATACACCAGAAACGCACATGAAAGTTGTTGTAAGAGGCGACTTACGGGATCGCGTGGTCAGGTTTGCTTACATGGTTAAAGGGGGTCATCGTATCCCAATTTCGTGCATCGATGCTCATGATGTCAATCACTGGATTGTCTGGTCCAAACTCGATTATGTACGGACCACAATCATATAGCTGGAATATTGCTGAGTGTGTCGTTAAACAACAAACAAACAGTTACTTCTGTGTTCCCTTATATAATTTTATCAGTATATTTTTCTAAAATCTAATAATCAGGATTTTATTCTGGGGAGTGAACTCGACTAATTTTAGCCCATTTGTTCATATACTGCCTACCATATGAAGGAAGTCAGTTATAGTGTATTTGGGTTAAAGGTTTTGGTAGAAACTGGCTCTCATTGCAATGAATTTCTATGACTATGATCATGATAAGAAGTACTTAAAATTCTAACTGGGGATATTCCAAGGAAAGGCAGTTGTTTGATTAATGAACTGAAATATATCAGGTTTTTTTTGACAATATTATATTGATACACAATGTAATATTTGGGATAACACTTTTCTTAGTAACATACAAATGCTAGAACTTTTGGGGGTTCAATCCTATCTGAGATTCAAACCAACACTATCAGAGAGAAGAACCTAATCGCCAGCACACTAAGTCAGATGTCTAACCCACTCAGCCCACTGAGGCTTCAAAAATATGGAAGTCCTACAACTTGTAGTCTAGATCGCATGCTTTGGGTACCCTCAGAAAAGTGTAATTTGGCTATCACTTGTATCACTTGTGACCCTGGCCCAATTTTGATTATTTACAGACCACAATAGTATAGATGAAACAGACAAAATTTATAGTTCATAGTTTTCTCCAAACTATTTCAGATGAATTTGATGTTTTCTACAAAAATCTGACGTCTTTGGTTGAGGACACATATGTCAGGAACAACAACACAAAGGTCATCCTCATAGCCCACAGCATGGGGAACCCCACCACTCTGTACTTCCTCAACCACAGGCCTCAGGTGTGGAAGGACAAGTACCTGCACTGCCTCATCACCATCTCAGGGGTGTGGGGAGGAGCCGTCAAACCACTCCGCCTCTTCTCTGCTGGTAGGTAACTCGCTTGCTCTGCTCTGCTCTGCTCTGCTCTGCTCTGCTCTGCCCTGCCCTGCCCTGCCCTGCCCTGCCCTGCCCTGCCCTGCCCTGCCCTGCCCTGCCCTGCCCTGCTCTGCTCTGCTCTGCTTCCTTTTGGGGATGCTAGGACGGAATTTGTCTCCAGGACAGAAATGTGTGCTTTTTGTAAGGTTCGTTGAAATCGTATTTTTCAGATTTTAAAGCTAGTCGTGCTTGTACAAGATAAAAATGTTTAATACTGTCAGTTTTATTCAGTTCAGCATTGAGAACTGGTTCAGAATTATAGCCATATAGGGCTATTGTACGATTATTTGCAGGTTGTGGAATAAAGCGGATATTTTGTTGTCTGCGGGTTAAAACAACATTTAGTAATTTATTCATCCACACTGTGATGTAGGCTGACATGACAAAACTTATTATGCTGCCAGATGATGCGCCTGACGCAAATTCAACTTTACAGGGCTTTCAGCAGCCCATGCTTGCCGTAAAAGGCGACTATGCTTACCGTAAAAGGCGACTATGCTTACCGTAAAAGTCGACTATGCTTGTCGTAAAAGGCGACTATCCTTGTCGTAAAAGGCGACTAACGGGTGGTCAGGCTCACTGACTTGGTTGAAGCATGTCATCAATCCCAATTGCGTGGATCGATGCTCATGATTATTTGATATCAGTCAGTGGATTGTCTGGTCCAGACGCGATTATTTACAGACCGCCTTCATATAGCTGGAATGTTGCTGAGTGCGGCGTAAAACAACAAACCAACCAACCAATTCTAGAACACTCACTAGCATTACTAGGCATAGCCAAAACTGACACATTTGAACAGACCGGGATGCTGCCACTGTCTATGGAATTACAAATGTAATATGATTTAGTATCAGTTACTGAACTGCTTCTGGGAATGGTGAAAAATGTCTTGATGGACTTTTGGTTCCTGCTTGTCAAGATTTTCATCCTTCACATGAAGCAACAACACGAGTGCTAGAGATTTAAGTCGGCCTGCTGCCAGTGTTGAATAAATTAATTACACATGGCGTAAAATGTAATGGGAACATTTACAAATTGTCATGAAGTAACCACAGTTTGATGACATCAAGCCCATGAAAGCATGACAAATTGCATGTGACACCTGGATTAGTGATGTAGTACGGTAAATATAGCTTAGAGGTATTTAATGTTCAAAATTGTTATTGTTTAGACAAGTAAGTTTCAGTCGGACACAAATTTGAAACATTTTGACAGGATGTTGGGGCATCTAATACAAGGTTGCATTTTTCAACAATAGGTTGCACTCTAGCGAAATCGAGCCCAGCTTTACCTTGATGAATTTTCCTTGTTTGAAGGGGGCATGGGTGGCCCAGTCATCTAAGGCACCGCAATTCGCCAGAAACCTTTGATTGTGGGTTCGAATCCCGGTTCATCCCCGAATATGTTTCTAGGTTTGTCAGCACCATACCCGTGCTCGTGGGTTTCACGGAAGTGGTAGACCTCTGAGACCTGTATCACTTCACGCTTTCCTCCCACATTAAGCTGACATGCTGTGATATAACTGGAATAGTATTAAAAGAGGTGTTAAACCCAACTCACTCACACACTCCTTGTTTGAAACAATATTTAACGTGCTTAGCGATTGAGTGAAGAAAGTCACACACAGACAGTAAAAATTCATGTGCATGCTACAAGCACAATGTCTACAATTGAAATGATTTCTTTGGACTTAAAGTGCACGCAATTTTCATCCATAATAATTCTGTATCTGTATACATGCATTGTATATAAGTCACATCTTATGACACAAATTTGAGGGCGTTGGGGTAGCCTGGGTTCGATTCCCCACATGGGTTCCTGGTGTGATATAACTGGAATTTTGCTAAAAGTGTTAAGCCATACTCAGTAATTGGACACGATATATTGTTATTTATTGTAAGTTTTTAATAAAACACTAAAAATTCAATTTCAGGTGACAACTTGAATGTTCCCTTTGTCGAGGGCATCAATGTTAGAGAAGAGCAAAGGTCCATGCCAAGTTCTGCCTTCCTCATGCCATCGGAGAAATTCTGGGCAGCGAATGAAGTGCTGGTCTCCCAGCCGAAGAGGAACTATACAGTCAAGGACTACAAGGCATTCTTCACAGATCTGGGCATTCCAAATGCATACCTCATGCGCCAGGACACAGAGAATCTTGTGAAAGACCTCATTCCCCCTGGGGTGGAAATCCACTGTCTTCATGGAGTCCAGGTTCCAACACCATTGCAGTTTATATTTAAAGAGGGAATGTGGCCTGACAAGCAGCCTAAAGTGGTCACTGGGAACGGGGATGGCACTGTCAACATCCGAAGCTTGCATGGATGCCTCTCTTGGCAAGGAAAACAGAAACAGAAGATTTACCATAAAGAGTTCCCCAAGGCAGAACACACAGAAATTCTCTCCAATAAAGATGTCTTAGCTTACATTAAAACAGTTGTCAATAGCTAATGCATCAAAAGGTTAGTCTTTTTTTAAATAGGAAATGAAAGGTACTGAATGGGTAATGAAATGAGTATTGGTTATATTTTATATGTAAATGATAAAATATCTCGGTGTGATTTGATTACAATTTCTTTTGAACTGGGAAATATGTATTTGTTTGAATATGTGCAAATCAAGAGAAGCTTTTGATGTTAAGTTTTGTTTTTAACCCTTATGCGACACTGTGAGGTGAAACTCCCAGATCAGTACCGGTAAACAGTGACGAATTTGAGGACGAAGAGAATTTTATAGTTTGTTAGAATATATATGCACAGTGACCTCTTCAGTACTGAGAATATACTCTGATTCTTGCATTTGGTACAAGGCTAGTCACACTAAACTATCAGGTATCTACACAGCCACTAGTTGGCCTCATGTTGCCTACCCTATAGATGATTGTCTGATATATGATCATGAAACAGGTATAGCTGATATATTTTCCACACTTCTGAAAGTGATAATGAAAAATGTTAATGCATAATCACAGTCATTCCAAGAGCATCCTATCAATGCATAATGCCCTAACTGAGACTAGGAATGTATTGCGATATTGACGTACATGTATCGATACATTTTTAATGTTGATACTGTACCGATACAAATTTATAAATATTACTTCTAAATTAATAATTCACTGCCACAGAAACATTTACATTTATTAAAATAACCATGGTATAAAGATGGACTAGCAGAAGGCAGAAAATCGTCTGAGTTCAATTTAATTTTATACTGATTAATTGCAGGTCTTCATGGGTAATTTTTGTCTATACACAGAATAAATTAATCTCATTATTAATTGATGCATTGATACTAAAATTTCCAATCAGCAACACCTCTAACTGTGTCTGTGTCATGTCAGTACCGAGGTGTTTGTAGATTATTTCTGTACTTATTGATATACAGTTTGACACTTTTTATCCTTGTTTGGTCGGGCTATTTAGTTTCATGTTAAACTTGTTAAGGCCACACATTTTTTATTTTTCGTTTCACAGGCCCCCTACCCCTACAGAAAAGCAGGTGCAAAAGAAATGATTTAATCATAAAAGATTTATGTTTATTATATATCCCGCTAGTAATATGGACCCTCTTATACAATATAAAATGTTATACGGTATGTAAAGTCCATGTCTACATCACCATCAATGATTCAAGAAGCCAGCCAGTTTTATCGCCACGGCAGAAAGAATTTCATAAAATAAATATATTATTGACAATGCTATTTATTTTTATTTTTATTTCGACCAACCTTTTGTGGAAAAGCTGGAATAAATCTGTGAAACTTTAAATTAATCAAGTGTGACCTAATGAAAGAATTCAGTTTGACCAAGCTAAAAATATCTTGTTTTTAATTTGAGCAAGTTGACTTGGAAAATGGGTAGATTTCAGAACGAAAATACCTTTTCAGTTTTGATTACTTTGCACTGAGTATGGCAATAGGTTTTTGCCACTTGTGTGTTTGCAATTATGTTTATTGACCATGTAGTGCTCAGCCTGTTAACTTATCGTAAAAAAGCCATTTAGCTGTCTCTGTTTTAGCACACTAGAGAACATGGGTATACTGTAATATGATATTATTGTATCGTTTTGAAAGAAGAAATTAATGTTTTACATCCATCATGTCCATATTACTAATGAAAACAATAATGTCTGAATTAATGTCAGTATGTATAAGCGTCTTTAATTTATTTTTGCAGAAATTTATGTGAAGCGATCTCTTGTGATAATTCTGATGTTCATGAGTGTCTTGTCCTAATTTATGCACAGATGTGAAACATCATGCTTCTGTGTCACATACTCATTCCATCATGTGTGATTCTGTGTAGAAAGTGACAGCTAATATGTATGTTAGATAGTTTGATGTGTATATACAGATATCCTCATTTCACTGTGGTGCTTGCCGTTTCTAATGTCCCATGTTGGGTTGTTAGGGGTGACCCTGTGGAGATTCCGGGTTAGAATAGGTCCCCAGCAACCTATGCTGGTCGTTAGGGGTGACCCTGTGGAGATTCCGGGTTAGAATAGGTCCCCAGCAACCTATGCTGGTCGTTAGGGGTGACCCTGTGGAGATTCCGGGTTAGAATAGGTCCCCAGCAACCTATGCTGGTCGTTAGGGGTGACCCTGTGGAGATTCCGGGTTAGAATAGGTCCCCAGCAACCTATGCTGGTCGTTAGAGGTGACGAAATGAATCGGGTGGTCAGACTCACTGACTTGATGATTGTGTTCCATCATCCCCTGATGATGTGGATCCTTGCTCACAATATCAATCACTGGATTGTCTGATACAGACTCGATTATAGAGCTGGAATCATAGAGCTGGAATATTGCTGTGTGTGGCGTTAAACAACAAACAAACAGTGTCTCCTGTTGGTATTTTCTACGATCCTCATTGGTATTATTGTGCTAGTTGCAAGAGACTGGTTTAATGTTATGATCCATTTTCTTTATGATGACGGTATAAGGTTCCCACACTTACTTTAAGTCATTTGCAATGTAAAATAGTGCTTTATGTATAATTGAATAGGGCTGGCTGTCGATATAGATTATTGAGATTGATAATCTAAATATTGATCAATTATCGATAACTATGGGAGAAGTAACTTGAAGCAAATATGCAAGAAAATCCCAAAAGAAATCAACATAATTCACGCCACTGGTGAGTGGTGAGGCGTTTATGCATAGATTATTTTGTCGAAAAAAACAGTTGCTTTCCGTCTTCAACAATTGGCATTATTGACAATAACAAGTCTGTTTCTGTAAAATCAAAATGTTATTTCATCACAATGGTTTATTTAAGTTATTATTGATGACAACATTTTCATATAGATAATTGGTAATATTTCTTCCCATCAACAATGATTCTGATTATTGATCTTTTAGCCACCTCTATAAGTGAAAGGTAAACAATTTCTCCCTATTGTAATCATGTGGTAGGTAACAGCTCAATTGTCGTATCCTCTGACAAACATGATCTGTGTATTATCCCTTGATAATATAAAGGTCAATCATGTGTTACACGACCCACCACGATGTCTGTCAAATGCTTTGTTGTATCTCAGGAATGGTGTTTATATGAACCTGATATGGGATCCACCCCCTGTATGAAGCATGCTTGGTCATGAGCTTAGTAACCTATACATAACATGCCTTATGTTGATTCATTCTTGTGTGATGGACTTTCAACACTACTGATGATGATGTGAACTTAGCAATCAGTAGGTCGCATGCTTATGCTGAGTCATGTCATCACCTTGCCAACTGAAGCTATGGAGCAATTGTTGCTAGTCATTGATTCAATGTCTTTAAATGTTGACTTGACCGATGTTGTGCAGTAGAGACAGTTTCAGCAGAGAATGTACAGACTCATCAGCTGGTGGAAGTTGTGAGAATGTCAGACTGCAACCTTGAAGGCAGAGTGATGGATGATTTTTATAGCTGTACATGCTCAATGGGTAGTCCATGTTTGCTTACATTTGATTGGTTAATGGAGTAATAACCTGTTCTTATTGGTTCCTGAATTATTTTTATCCCCTGCCAAGTTTTCTCAGAAACTACTGAAGTTATCGAAGAGATACTTAATCAAGACTAAGTTCTCGAATTTGTGCCATAAATGATTTTTTCTCGAGAAGGGGCCTTTAGTGTGTAATAATTTCACATTTGATAATATATTCTGATGACATAAAGCGACCCTAGTGCCTATCTCTTCTTGGGGCTTTATAGAACTATCTTTTTATAGTTTGTATTCAATACTATATGAACAAACATCATTCTAATGTGCCCAATGGCGGGGGATAGTTATGACGCTGTTTTTTTTTATAGCTATTTTAAGTACTTTAACGTCAGAGTATGTAAATAAAATGTTTCTAACATGTTTGCTTTTGTGGTGTAATGATGCTGACATCATCTAAAAACAATTAGTGGCTTCAGGATATTGGGTTAGGAGTAAGACTAACTAACTTCCACAGTATTACAATATCTCTGGAAAAATAATGTGGCAAGCCGCTTTCCAAGGCTAATGATTTGCAACAATGCAATGCAATTGAAAGTCACTCTTATTTATGTGTTTTACAGTCTAATTCATTATGTACACCGCTTGTTTTCATCCAGTGAATCTAACTGTAGGGATGAACAACTGTATCACAGTAGTTGAATATATCAACACATTTTCAATATCGTACTGGACCCCCACCTAAATGTGAAGTCCTACTGTGGCAATTAACACAAGCAGCTTATCAAACACTCACCTGTGTTGTGTATGCTGTAGTTCATGCTGTGTTGCACTTTAAACTGTATATTGTAACGGGATCAGTTTAGATGAAACAGCCTGTATTGAATATTACTTTATATGCTTAAGAGGAAACATAATTGAATATAGATTCAGTTGCTGAATGTGGTATTTGCCTTCTTTGAAGCTATCACTTGTCTTGTCTTCCATTACTTTTCAAGATGTGATTTGTTTCACATATTTCCTGATAACTGTATCCTTCCTGGCTGATCTTGTCAGAGTTAAATCCTGGCTGATATTGTCTGAGTTAAATATCTAAATGTGTTAGGAAGGATGAAATAATTATCTTTGTCTGATGCCTTTTGTAGTCTACGTTGTTCATCATATTCACACTGCCGTTAAAGGCGGACATGCTTGTTGTAAGAGGCAACTAACGGGATCGCGTTGTCAGGCTCGCTGACTTGATTGATGCATGTCATCACATCCCAGTTTCATGGATCGATGCTCATGTCAATCACTGGATAGTCTGATCCAGACTCGATTATTTACTGACTGCCGTCATGTAGTTGGAATATTGCTGAGTGCGGCGTTAAACAACAAACAAACAGTGTCTCCTGTTGATATTTTCTACGATCCTCATTGGTATTATTGGGCGAGTTGCAAGAGACTGATTTAATGTTATGATCCATTTTATTCAACATCATTACTCCTTGCAGGCATCGTGGGGTACAGCATGTGAGTAATTCTCAGTGTATCACCCACAATCATGAAGTCATACAGAAAGGCTAAAAATAGAAAGACTGAACCTGTAGGGATTTAGACAGTAATTGGTTGCTGATCCCTGACACCATACTCTTGGCCCTACATCTGTTTTGATTTGCTTCCGATTGAAACTGTTTCAAAAACATCCAGTGTTCAAAGAGTATCATTATCTGAAGAGACCTCTTGAGCCACTTCAGTTAAGGCTGTATGTCATGAACTGTGTAACAGACCGTGTCTTTTCCTGTGCAGCTTTAGACATTTTCAGGATTTTAGTTACTCGAAAATGTCCATTTTTTAATTTGTTGAAAAGATGAAATGAAAAGTAAATAGTTTTGAATCTCTGTCTCGATAATATTTATCCGATGTTTTAATGTTATATTTCCTGTTTGTGTTTAATTTTTAGTGTGAACAGCTGATTGATAATTTCATATTTTTCTCATGTTTGAATTGCAATTTTGCCAAAAAGCAGAACTTGACCTCATGTTGTACTGAGGGTACTGCTACTTCCAGTCTACATTTGCCATTTCTAGAGACCGTCTGACAGTGTGGATTTCATGAACTTTTATTTGCCATAATGATACAACACAATTAATAGAAGCCTGATAGAAGCCAGATCCATCATAACAATTAGTATCACTTTGTGAAGTTTTAAATTTGTCCTATTTCACTGGTGCAAATATTCTACATCATTTCTTCCATCAAAGTATTTTCTAAAGAATTAATGGATATATTCCACAGGGCTTGATTGTGGAGAGAACTTGCGGTGAATCATGAAAGTAATATGAGCTACAGTTCAAAGTTAAAATATAAGTGGCATTCTCACTAACAATGTGCATTTCCCAGATATTCAAATGAACATTTTACCAACCAACATCACTTTAAAGACACGACAATGGAATGGTGGTAGTGAGTACTATTATATTCATGATTTACAGTTTAAAATTGTAATGAAATTCTATCATTGGGCCATATTAATTTTATTCTTGTTTTACGTTAGATTAATTTGCTAAAATGCAGAAGTTCCAAAAATAAAAGTAGGGTTGACTGAAAGAATATTAACTTAATATAACCCATGATGTCAGGATATCAAAGAATACAACCCTATTTTCAAGGAAGGGTTTGAATTAAAGGTGCATTCAACAAAAGGCATTATTTCCTTTTTTCTTTCTTGTTTTCTGAATATAGGGTAAGGTCATCTGTAATGCAGGGAAAAACTTAGGTCAGATGGCGGAGTAATTTGTTTCAAGATGAGTTAACATCTGATTTGCCTAGTCTGTCACATTTATACCTGATGGAGATGAAAGTTATTTAATGATATCCCCTTATTGTATTTTTAAACTTGTTGAATTACCAGTCTCCATTCTTGACTGAATTATATTATATTTTAATGTCATTGTTTTGCTTTGTAAAATTTGTAAATATGAGTTTTAGTGCAAATTGAAATAAATGATTGATTTTGAAGTTTAGATGTATCCTGTGTTGGTGTTTGTTTTTCTAACCCAAAAAGGCAGATGTGTAAAAAAGACGAAGAATCAAGGACGGTCGCTTTGGGTGGGTGACAGGAGGATCACTAGGGGTTGGTTAGGAGGGTGACTTAATTTTCTATTTTGGCTGGGAAAGTTTGAACTTGAATGTTGATACTGAGTGCAGTGTCAGATCACAGATCATGGACAATACTGAAGATGCTTGTTGTAACCTGTCGTTGGGACATAATAGCTTACGTTTGTTTACATCTGGCATCACTAGATCTACATAACTTTTCTTTGTATGGTAGATCCCACTTGTGTTTTGCGTTTATGAAGGTATGCACGTGAAAGCCGGTGTGTAAACTCTGTAAATCCGTGTCTACAGTACTATCTTCAAAAACTACGTATTTGATAATTAACACCCAAAAAATGTTGACAACAGTACAAAATGGTGATCTTTCAGCGCAATATACACAAGCCCCGCCCATTGTATTATCAGCCGATCAGGAAACAGAAGTTCTTTAGATTGGCGTGGCCTATTTTTTCGGTTTATGCAAATTGCCGAAACAATTGATTGTTTAACCAATCAAATGCCACGAAATCACTTGCAATTTCTACATTTCAAATTGCTGGAAATTTACAATCTCTTTTATAGCATTTCCTGTCATGGAAGGAATATATGAAATTTGTTACCAGTTACTTGGGCATTTATGACATTTGTCATTTCAGATCAAAGACTGCAGGATTATATCAAACTTATGTTAGAGAAATTGGTAGAGTGCGTGAGTTAGTCTGGTTTAACAGTATTTCAGTATTTCTGGGTGTCCGCTTGATGTGGGAGGAAAGCGGAAGTGAAGACGGTCTCGGATCTTTATTGTATGTGTGAACAAACCTAGAAACTCAATCAATGCAGGATTCTAGGATTCGAACTAATCATCATAGGTTTCTGGCACGCCCGATGGACCCTGAACAGTGAATTGCTTGGTCACCTGTGCTCCAATATTGAAATGAGACTTTGCCGGGTTACATCATGGTATGATAAACACAGCGAAATCGCAGATAAAAGTAAACAGATACTAATATGTTGAGTTATGGCTCTTGTTTTATCTGAAAGTTATTTACATATCAGTCAATACTGTAAGAAAAACCACTGTTCACAGATCCACCCAGCCCTAAAAATTTAAAAAGTGGAAAAGAAATCTGAAGGTTTCTGTCGTTTTTCGGCAACTGCAACCACAAATCTATTCATCCTATTAGTTAAACTGTAAAACTGACAAGGTCGGCTTCATAAACACTGCAAACAACCAACATATTAAGATAACTATTATTTTATAGAAATACTATTTTTAATTGCATTGCAAAATACAAACGTATCTTTTGACCAGTCTTGAATCCACTGAAAACTGTTCACTATTGTCACCAAATTCTAGTTTTAGAATATATATTTATTTTGTAAAGGTGGGAAGAATTTATATTGTAAAGTTTTGAAGTGGATATTGTAACAATCCTCATAAACGCCACAGATGTTTTCCTCTGCAAACACTGTGGTTCCATGTTCGATCGCTATCAGATCTGTGACGTCAAAGCATTATGACGTCACTCCTTTGTGACGCTCTTTGCTATGAAGTCGCCCATGGCAACTCTGAAGCCGTTTCAGTCTGTCGTTTGACAGTCATGTTGCAATGCTGTTTTTTGCGATGAAAATAAGGAAAAGGGTATAAATTGTGAATCAACATGACAAAAGCTAACGGTTTGAAGAATATAATGTTTATGAAAATCAACGAAAAGAGATATCAAGGAGCCGAAGCGAAACCAGAACGACATGGCGGGAGAGCCGTTGCAAAAATTCCAAAACCGAAACCCATAAACGAGACAGAGGGGTATCGGATCATCACAGATCTGTTCAGACGGAATGATGCAAAAGCCATTGTGAAAATGGGATCCTCGGCTGATGTTGTGAGTTTTTTACTTAATGAATTATTCTTACATTAGTCAAACACATGTGTGTACTCTTTTTTACTTCTTCTGCCCCAAAATAACTTGCGACATCAATGCCCCGAAAACCTTTAACCATTTTAAACTTTACATTTTACACAAAATTTTGATAATATTGGCATGAACTACACTTCAACTACATGCTTAAAATCAAGGGGCCTCCAGCCTGTATCCTTCAGTAAGTTGCATATTGGGTCTTATTTGACGCCTCGCCCAATATCTTTCTGCTTACCTAATATGACACCGTATATGGCAACTAAAGTCACCATAACTAATATTAAGGAAAAAATGCCTCAAATTGAGATTGGCCAATTAGAGAACAGATAGAACGACTAACCCCATACCGTCAGTAAAAATATAGCATTTTATAAGCCCTTATAAGCCATTTAGGCATGGTCTGAAAGGACTAGTCTGGTCACCAAGGGCCAAGAACCTCGCAAATATGGGTAATTTTAGTCTAAACCCCCCAGTGTTTCAGCGGGGCGACAAATATGGCGTCTGAACAACCGTTACCAAGGAATGAGCTCGTGCACATCCCTTACCAAAATGGCGGTAGGTGTCCAGTGCCCCGTACCACAAAGCCATCTTACCGCTAAGGTGATCGTAACTCCCATACTTTAACACTGGCTTACGATAGTCGTAGCGCTAAGATCGCTTCGTGAAACGGTGCCCAGTATAGTGCATTCTGACCCAATATGCAACTTACTTACATCTGTCGGTCAAACAAGCTTGTTCGATTGTCATCGTACCCGACGTGGGGTGTTGCTCATGATATCAACCACGTGTTTGTCTGTCTAACACTTATCAGTCCCAGACTCGATTATATACAGGGCGCGCCGTCAAAAAGCTGGAATAGGCTGAGTGACGTAAAACAACAACAAACACAAAAACATTTTAGCTCTTCTGCTGACATCTCTGCCGTGATATACATGTAACTGAAATTGTGTTCAAAGTGGCTCGCTGCCCGTGTCTCCTCTTTCAGCTGGGCATGTCCCCCCTCGCCCTGGCTGCCAGTGTGGGTCATAAGGACGCCGTCGTCTGTCTCCTCAACGTCAACTACAACGTCAACAGGCAGTCACCGGTACGTCGGCACTTGCACAATACAATGAATGACAGCCCGTCTCCCCTTTTCCAAACCAAGACAAATTCATTGTTGATATCGACTCATTACCATAAGTGTTTAACGTAACCTCAAACGTCAACGTCGTAATAATATTGTCAATTTTGGGGGAAAGGTTGTGCTGCTGCCATGTATCAGGCTACGATTATCGTAAAACTATCTTAAAACTTGACCCAGAACCAGAGGATGACATAACTGTCACGATACCCCACACAGGTTATGTCTTCATGTAATCCATATATACTCACCGCCAAAAGAAACGCGAACCATAGAAACATATAGAGAAGCATTCGTGACAAACTCGTGTTATTCCGGGACAAGCCGAATAGCGACTCGTGCCCCTCTCATGGCCATTTTTGCGACCGGGTTCCGTCTTAGCGCAAACGGACATACCTAAAACACATTGTCAACTCGTTGCGTAATGGTTCACATATATTTCCCCATATATTATATATATTTCAGATGCAATTTTATGCACATCTGGACGTGCGGAATTATACAGTATGATTGAACACATTTAACTGTGTCTTGGGTATATTTTTAAATGTATGACATATGTAAAATCAAAATTTATTTCTGAGGGATTCTTTGACGAAGTACTTGAAATCATCTGCGCATTCTGATTGGTTTGTCGTATTTTCGCACATAACATTCATTGATAGGGTGCCGAGTCTTCTTGCAGGTTACTGAAATGGGCGAATGGTGATGAATGATTGAGAAGTAGTATTTACGTAGAAGAGTGACAATGAGCACACGTGTGTCCAATGTGTACCACTTAATGACAAAACTGACCCGTGAAGATTCCGGGGTAGAATTGGTCTTCAGCAACCCATACTTGCCGTTAAAGGCGACTATGCTTGTCGTAAAAGGCGACTAACGGGATCGGGTGGTCAGGCTCGCTGACTTGGTTGATACATGTCATCGATCCCAATTGCGTGGATCGATGGTCATGATGTCAATCACTGGATTGTCTGGTCCAGACTCGATTATGTTACAGACCGCCTTCATATAGCTGGAATATTGCTGAGTGCGGCGTTAAACAACAAACAAACAATAATGACCAAACTAACAATCAGTCAAGTGTTACCACATGCTGCATGTGGTTTCCAAACTTTACACGCTTATCCTGCTCGAGATAAATGGTGCATCTCGAGTCATGGATTTATGACGTCACACGTGATGCGTTCATGAACATCAGTTCACACAACATAACAGTATGTTCGTTTGTGCGTCGAACCAATCTAACACCTCTTGAATATGAGTAATTCGTTATCAATTAACCAACAAATATGGTATTCACGTTTCTTTTGTCGGTGAGTATATACATATGTATTATATTAGGCATCGACTTCACTTTAATGTGCTTTGTAATCGTATTGTTGCGGGGTTGAGCGCCGTTGCAGAAAGAGGTCTAGCTGGTGCTTAGATTTATGTAACTCCTATACTTTAACAAAGGCGTACAATAGTCGTAGCGCTCAGGATGCCATTGTACAAAGCGATCTTAGCGCTAAGGTGATCTTAACTCCCATACCTTAACATAGTCTTACGATAGTCGTAGCGCTAAGGTTGTTTTGTACAACGACACCCAGATCGCTTTGTGGAATGGGTCCACGAATTCTAAAAGGTGCCCTGAAATCAATCTTAATAAGAAAGTGAGCACGGAATTTGAATAAATGTCTGAAATTTAAACAACCCGCGATCATGTGTCTTCTTTGTTAAGGGTTAACTTGCAAACCCCGTAGCTTACAACGGTAAATAATGCTGTCGCCGAACTTCCAAAACAGTACATGAGTTATTGAATTTTGATAATGACGTCAACATTCCAATAATGGTGCTAACATTCGTGATCGTTTTGATCTGTCCGTTCACATTCCCAGGTTTGTATTTCTTATACTTTTCAAAGACGTTATCAGCGACGCTTCTATAAATGTACTAATGCTAGAGTCAGGAGTACAAAGCGTTATTAAATATATTCCCCCAAAGTACCCGCATCAAAGCGACGTCAGTGACGTCTTGCACACGCAAAACAAATCAGCTGACTTGAAATATGACAATTATTTTTAGAAATGCTTGTTTTTTTCAGGATGGGACTTACCCCCTCATTCAAGCGGTGAGGGGAAAGTTCCTCGAAATCGTCGAACTGCTCTTGAAGAAAGGGGCGATAGTGACCCTACAAAATTATGTAAGTTACAACAAACACGTGTCCTTCGTCTAGAGTCCATTATTGACCCCATTATCAAACGTAATTGAGTTCTAATGATTCAATGCGCAATTTCCTCTCCCATGTTATAAATGATACTTTAAAGGGGAAGTGTACACGCAAAAGTTACTTTCTTTCTTTTTCTAAACAAAACGCAATTTTAGAATTAGTTAGTATCTGTGTTTGAAAATATACACTCATTTTTTCATAGTGAAAGTAGGAAGCTCACAATAGTGTGAAAATGATATGCCGTTATGAGGCCTTCGTTTTTCGAGCTAAACAGGCCTGAGTTATCCCCCTTAGATTATGACATAATTGGTGCCAATTCAACTGGGTCCCTGTCTATTTTCAACGCAAAAGATATCAAGTACCAGTTTGCGGTAAAACAACATGGCCTACGACACACTCCGGCGCAGTGGTGACTCAGCATAACACTATGCTAGCTGGCATCTGAGACGCAAGAATCACACAACTGTACCTACACCACGTGAAGCGGCTCTAACAAAGCATGATGACGTCATAATGTTTATCAATTGGCACCAATGACGTCATATTGCAAGGGGCATAAGCCATGGTGTTTTTGTTGTGGAAATAGAACACTTGGTAAATGTGAAAAATATAAATCGTTTTAATGCGAAAACTATGTTGATTAATTGTGATATTTTTATATTTTTGTCTATGACACTTCTAGGTTAACACTTTTAATGTGGAAAAAGTACAAGAAATATAGGTTCATTTCCGTGTGAACTTGCCCTTTAAATTATACGTTTCGAGGTGTGTTGGCCAAAACACCTACATACTCACGAGTGACATTGTTGGTATATTAGCCGAGGAAAGAATACATATGACTAACTTATATCCATCCCACTGAAGGCGTAGGTATTTACTTTCGTTTTCGATTGTTTGTTTGTTTGTTTATTTGTTGTTTAACGCCGCACTCAGCAATATTCAAGCTATATGGCGGCGGTCTTGAAATAATCGAGTCTGTACCAGATAATCCAGTGATTGACATCATGAACATCGATCAATGCAATTGGGATACGATGACATGCATCAACCAAATCAGCGATCCTGACCACCCGATCCCGTTAGTCGCCTCTTACGACAAGCATGGTCGCCTTTTAGTGCAAGCATGGGTTGCTGAAGACCTATTTTAGCCCGGATCTTCACGGGTCCGTTTTCGATTGACAATATTGACGATGTATATACGAATCGGAAATTACACGATAATAAAATATTATCCAAAAAACTTTTTGTAAGGCTTAAATAGTTTCCATATTTATTTTCCATCAGCGGTGTCAGAGTAGCAACATCATTGTGTCAGAGTAGCAACATCATTGTGTCCCTGACGAAAATAGACATCCGGTTTAAACAAAGGAAACCATGCATGGAAACAGGACCGGAAGTAGTGTACATTGTCATTAACTCAGTTTACGTGCTCATTTACATCTGTGTCTAAATGTGGGCACGGGTGGCCCAGTCGCCTAAGGCGCCGCGATTCGCTGTAAGTTGCGTCACTTAGGCACGCCAGATACCTATGGTTGTGGGTTCGAATCCCGGTTCGCCCCGATTATGTTTCTAGGTTTGTCAGCACCATACCCGTGCTCGTGGGTTTCACCGAAGTGGTAAACGTCTGAGACCTGCATCACTTCGGGCTTTCCTCCCACATTAAGCTGACACGCCGTGATATGACTGGAATACTGTTAAAAGCGGCGTTAAACCCAAATCACTCACTCACTCACTGTGTCTAAATATAGACATTTGTTCGGGTAATGTATGCGTCTTTGTTTATTTTTACACCAGGAAGGGGACAACGCTTTTATGATTGCCATAGTAACGGGAGACGCCAATATCATCAACAAGGTGTGGCCTTACAGAGGTGACCTTGACATTAACCAGGCCAACAAAGTGAGTCGCATTGTTATCGTGAAGATGACGTCATTGTTTTTATTGTGTTTAGGCTCACTTTTTCATTTCCTTTTTGTCATATTACTCATCCAGTGACCTGACAAAGTTGATATGTTCCTGAGTGAAGCAGAGATGAAACATGTTGCGTTCAAAATGTTTTTCCTTATTGACCTTCCTGATCATGCTCTCAAAACCGTTATTTCATTCACTGATTAACAAATAGAGGATATTTGGCTTTTCTGTTGTCTGTCAAATAACAGGTTTTTCTTATTGAGTGACAAAATTCATATTGTTATGAGTTGCTTAGTCGTATATTCGAGAAAATACTTGAAATAAGGAGAAAAATAATCGAAATTTCGAGTTATTGAAATAAACTTGAAATAACGGGAAAATAATCTAAATAACGAGACATTAATCGAATTAACGAGAGAAAACTCGAAACAACGAGAAATAATTGAAATAACGATAAGATATTCGAAGTAACGAGAAAAAACGCGAAATTTCGAGAAATTAAACAAATAATTGAAATAACGAGAAATTTCGATTTAAAAGAATACATATTGCTGCCAAGTTGGTACCATTAGGCTTTCGAACATTCTTCGTTAACACTAAAGAGTTCGCGTTTATTTTTGCATGGTAGAATTGAGATAATCATACGGTGTTTTCAATGTAGAGCTAGGTTACCTGCTCGGCTCCAATTTAAATTTAGCGCAGGTCACCTTGGTCTACATTGAAAACACTGTATGTTAACCCCCTAAATGCTCAACCTGTTATCTGGAGCCCTGCAAATAGGCCTCATTAGCGTAAATTGTTCGGGGTCAAATTTTCGTTTATAATCTTTCATTGCGCATGGCCAATTTAAGGCGGAACTTTTGAATTAGAAAATTTTATTGTGATTGACGGGTACTTCCAGTTAGTGTTGTAAGTACAATAATTGACTCCTATTTACAATTTTCCCACCGATTAAGAAAACTATAAAGTTCTGTAAGGGAGAAGCAAGGTTGCGACGATATCTGCCACACTCTCTAAAATAGTTCCGACTACAATTATCTACCTGTACAGGCCTGGATGCCGTTTCACGGAAGTCTTAGTGTTACAAACTCAAATACCACGAGGACCGTAGGCTCCGTGGTCTAGTGGAAGAGCGTCCGCCCGGAGAGCGGAAGGTTCGGGGTATCCCCGGCCGCGTCTTACCAAAAGACGTTAAAAGATGGTACTTGGTGTTACCCTGTCTGGCGCTCGGCATTAAGGGGCTAAAACAAGGACTGGTCGGCTCGGAGTCAGTATACTGTGTCTGAGTGGGGTATTTGAGTTAAAACTGCGGCATGGTATCTCAGTGAGCTAGCTCTAAAAATCGGCATCAGTACAAGCAGCCACATAAACACACACACGCACATGCACGTCGCAATATAAGTGCAAAAACCTTGGACGCGACGTTAAACCCAATTTCACCTCACCTCAAATACCACGACTTAAAGACGTAAGCTGAGAGGCTTTCGTGAAACGTCACCCAGGCTCCCTAAAATATATTTATCGGAAATTGTACATATTACTGTCAACATTTTCCATAAATATAGTACAGAGGCCAGTGTTTATCATTTTGTATGGAGCGGTGTGATGGAGTGATTATGTAGACATGTACGTTTTGTTAACGTCGTTGCCGTCACTGCTGCAGTATGGGACAACAGCGCTACACCTGGCAACGGAGAAGAAATGGGAGGGATGTGTTGAGTTCCTCTTGTTGAACGGTGCCGATGTCAACAGACGCAACGCTGTGAGTAACGACTTGAACGTCATCACCATTAACACCATCGTCATAGCAAGGAATGAAACACCACATGATATAGCAGTCTTTCCACTTTGTCCTACAGCTTACCACCCCCCCTGGGTCGGGATATAGCTACAACTGTCCCCCCACCCTACCATTCCTATCTCCAAGAATTTGTACCAGTTGCTATAATATTTCCTCAAACATTCTTTCGAAAACATCTCACATTATACTGAGGATTGTACAATTTGTATTCAGAATGGCTGCACGGCTCTATTCATCGCTGTCGTCACCGGCGACATGAAGCTGACGGAGAAACTGGTGGCACAGGGAACAGACATCCTCATCGAGGACAATGTGAGTACTACTGCTACTACTACTACTACTACTACTACTACTACTACTTCAACAGCACCACTACTACAACTACACCAGTGCCACCACCATCACCACAACCACTACTACTACTACTACTACTACTACTATTACTACTACTACTACTACTACTACTACTACTACTACACCACTGCCACCACCACAACCACTACTACTACTACTACTACTACTACTACTCCTACTACTACTACTACTGACTGCCTCCGTGGTCTAGTGATAGAGCGTCCGCCCGGATAGCGGAAGGTCCGGGGTTCGATCCCCGACCGCGTCATACCAAAAGACGTTAAAAGATGGTACTTGTTGTCACCATGTCTGGCGCTTGGCATTAAGGGGCTAAAACAAGGACTGCTCGGCTCGGAGTCAGTATACTGTGTCTGAGTGGGGTATTCATGTTAAACTGCAACTACTACTTCTACTACTACTACTACTTTTTCTGTTAATACTTAAACTATTATTGCTGCCAGTAAGTGCCAGTGACCTACCTCACCGTTCCCCAGTTGCCAAGATACGTTGATACAGCTTAGCCTATGTGTTTGTTTGTTTACTCAATATGGCGTTAAGCCCACTTCACTCACAACAGAACATATAGAATGTAACACGGCTTTTAATTGTTGCCAATACATTTTGGTTAAACTTAAGGCTGCTGCATTGGACGCCAGCCGATACACTGGTTTGGTGATTGTTATTGTGAATCTGTTCCAACAGGACGGCTTCTCCGCCATATGTCGCGGCATTGAGGCGGAGAAAGAGGACATCGTCAAGTACCTGATGACCAAACTCAGTAACGCCCAGAAAGAGTTCTACGCCAAGGTAGGTGCCACAGAATAGGGCGTCCCTAGCAACCCATGCTTGCCTTAAAGGCGGCATCTTCCCGAGGCTTCTGATTGGAAACTGGACTTTCACAGTCAGTTAACTCCCTTGCCCCCGGGAAGATGAACAGGCGATGGAAACGACTGTCTCAGCTTGGGCCTGTGGGGGATTCCGGGTTCGAATAAGTCCCCAGTAATCAATGCTTGTAAGACACGACCAAGTGGATCGGATGGTCCGGTTCAGTGACTTAATTATGTCGATGATAAAATCTGATTATTCGAAAATTATCGCCGTGATATGGCTGGAAAAAACTGTTGATTGTGGCGCACAAAAAAAAAGACAACCAATCAACAGGCAAATCATTCTTTGAGATAATCGACAAATCTGTCTACAAGCATTAAGGCTTCGGAAACAATGCCGTATTTTGTTGGTTACGTCAGAAATAGAAGTGCTTCTATGTGTGTTACCTTGCTGCTGACGTGTCTGTATGTATAATATTAAACCTAAATTAGTATATGTATTTGGTTACCTGCATTTATCCAAATCATTTTTTATGAAGTTCACTGTTTTCTAAAATGTACATACTCCAGTTTATCAAGTTTGCTGTGTGTGGAATATTGCCGTCTATGGTCGAAATTGAAAACTCATTCCCTGTTTTCTCAACGTTTTTCAGGGCCGCATTGACAAGCTGCGAGCGCTGACGATGGAGGAACTAGACAGTCACTGCAATGAGGAACACGACGCCTTCTTCGAAACACTGTTCACCATGTTCCAGTCCGATATATTCAAGGACACGCTGTACAGGATCAAGGCCATCCCTAACGTCTTAAACACCTCCCGCCAATACACAGCCGAGGCCGACATCATGTCCACCATGTTCTTCCTCTGCAGCATGCTGATGACCGACTTTGGTACTATCATAGATGAGCGGTTCACCCTGCAGTTCATCAGATCGCAGGGCCATGACCTCGTCATGAAGACAATCAAGCAGAACCCGGACATCGAGAAGCTGGAACAGAGACAGGAGAACGAGACGGATATCATAGCGGGGATGCTGCTGCCTCTGATATGCATGCATGGGATCGAGGAAGGGCGGGACTGGCTGCAGAAAAACCTCAGCAACTTGCATCTGGTTAAGATGACGGATTACCTCCGATCTGGATCCACGATTGAGAATTTTTTCAATTGTGCCAAATGTCCCCCTAGGTTCAAGAAGGCCTGGAACTCCTATCTTGAGTTCTTCGATAACATGGTGATGGACAGGAGGGTGGAGAATCAGACCCATCTGTTGATGAACGAGGAGAAGGACAAACAGAAGGCAAAAAAGAAGAGGGATCGGAAGAGGCTGAGGAGACAGAAACAGCGGGAGGCGAAGGAGGAGAATGTCAATAAGAACGCCAATGGAAAACTGTCGGACGAAGAGATCAACAAAGCTGTGGGAGCGGAGAAATCCACAAAGAGGACAGACGAAAACGTCAGGTACGACCAACACGTGCTTATGCCTGACTGGAATGTGTGTATAGAGAACGTCAGGGAAAGTGACGGTAATATAATCCAGACAAGACATGATCCAATGCAGTTCAGATACAACTACGTGGAACCGACACATGCTAAGAAGTCGAACGGCTATCACATGCATCAGACGGCTCCGCCGTTGAGAACCAACAAGGACGATAAGACTGAGTGGCAGAAGGTTGAGAACAGACGGGTAGCAGCTGCAAAGACAGCAGCCAGCAAACATGCCCAGAGGAATCAAAATATTCAACCATCAAGGAAACCAAAGAGGCAACAAAACAAAACCAAGGATTTTGTTAAACCGGCAGTTGCAAAGCCCGCTAAACGAGTCATGGGCAATGTGTGTTGGGCTGATGTTGCAAAGGGTAAAGTGTCGTCACAGCACCTGCATCAACAGCAGGAAATACTGCTACAGACAGAACAGTATCGACTGCAGCAGGAAAAACTTGAAGAACGCCAAAAACACCCGAGGTGTCCTGAACAGCAACGCCAAGACATCAGTGCCCATCGCCAGGAGGTTTTCACATATGAAGACGATTTCCCTAACCTGCCAGAGGAAGAAGAAAGGGCAAGCGTTTGCGAAACCGACGTTTCAGAAGCTCAGTCGACTTCCACAGTGTCCTTCTGTGAGGAGCAGGAAATCGATCAGATTCCTGACCCTGTAGTGGAGTCTGATATCATGGGCAGTGTACCAGTCAACCAGGCTCATTCGGATGATAACTCTCAAACCGACACTGCGTACATGCATATGCAGCAGCTGCATCATCATCAGCAACAGCAGCAACAGCAGCAACAGCAACAATATCCTCAACATTTTCAGCCTCCGCCACCTCAGTTCATATCTCCATATCCGATGATGGGTCAGATGCCAGTGCCCACACAAACGTGGATGTGTAGGTATGGGCTAAATCCTGCTACAAGACCACCTCCGGGGTTCCAGCCTCGTATGATGCATCCACAAATGCGGCCAAGGGTACCACAGATGCACCAGCCGTACGGCTTTAGAGTCAACTTTCCTCAAGGTCCAGCATTCCCTGCACCGCAGATGACGATGGCTAACATTGCACAGTCTCTGCTACAGCCGTACCTTGTCGAAGACAAAGTAGGGGGAGAGAAGGAGCATGGCGAGGAAAGAGAGCAGATTGCTGGAGAATGTCGGCCTCAAGAGAACAAATGGAATGGCTTTGACAATCCTGTGATTACTGAGGAGGACTGTTTGACAGTGAGTCCAGTCTTCCACAACGCATCCCCGAATGCTACAGAGAATATCTGGAACGCAGAACAGCCAGACAACTGCTTCCTGGAAACATCTGAGAGCAGTTCACCTGGGGCACCTGCGTCTTGGACAAACATGCTGACCAAAGACACGACGACGAGCATTAATGAAGGGATCGTCATCCCAGAACCGGCCCAGCAAAGTGTACAGCAAAATGTCCTTTCAGAGAAGTCTCCCGATCTGTGCCGACGTGATGGGTTTCCGGGGCAAGAGTGCCAGCAGGGACTGAATGAAGAGGACTTCGGCAAAATAATTGCACACATCGCAAAATGCTTGGCTGCGTCAAAATCCGAATCTGTTCTCTTCCCGGAGACTCTGAGAGATGAAGCAGAAAAGACTTCTGCAACAGCAGCTCCGGCAGCCACCGCGTTTCCTCAGAACCAGGAGGTGTTCCCCGGATTCCATGACATGAAGAGCTCGGTGGCTGGCAACGAAAGTCTGAACCCATTCCTGCTTGAGAACATGGCCAAGGAGCAGGTGAAACGTCAGTACAGGACAATAGCCGGGAAGCCAATGCTTGAGAACTCAGTCTACTTCCACGACTTTGACTACTACGCCTCTCTGTATGGATTAACAACCGAGGAGTTGCGAGACAACGCTGCTCAGTATGCCAACGTTAATGAGATCCCCGTCGACGATGTCGTCAATAACAATGCTGGACAAGGGGATGGTATCAGCAATCCTGAAGAAGGTCTGGCGACCATGATGAATAGCGCTACAAAAGGGAATGAGGTCAGCGATCACGTGATTGGTCATCACACTACGTGTATCAGCCTTGAGAAAGAGGACCCTGAGGCGGCCGAAGTGCAGTGGACGGCCCAGAGTCGCAGGTGGAAGGATAAACTAGCACAGCTTATCGATCTGCCGTACACGATGAGGAAGCAAATGGGCAGAATTGTCATACCGCTCAACACCGACGATTTCAAGATTAGCAAGTCGTGAGTAGCTACAGTGAGTGAGTTGTGTTTAACGCCGCTTTTAACAGTATTCCAGTTATATCGCGGCGTGTCAGCTTAATGTGGGAGGAAAGCCCGAAGTGATGCAGGTCTCAGACGTTTACCACTTCGGTGAAACCCATGAGCACGGGTATGGTGCTGACAAACCTAGAAACATAATCGGAGCGAACCGGGATTCGAACCCACAATCATAGGTTTCTGGCGTGCCCAAGGGACGCAACTCTGCACAGCGAATCGCAGCGCCTTAGACGACTGGGCCACCCGTGCCCCCGAGTAGCTACAGTATTTTGTTAATTGACAAGATGATAGTTTAGACGATAATCATGCATGCAGATCCCTTTGTGGGACGAAACCCGTATCAGTTAAATTGGCAGTTTGGGGACAAGAGTGAGTGAGTGAGTAAACGAGTGAGTGAGTTTGATTTTACTCCGCTTTTAGCAATTTTCCAGCAATATCACGGCGGGGGATACCAGAAATGGGCTTCACACATTGTACCCATGTCGGGAATCGAACCCGGGTCTTCGGCGTGACCACTAGGCTACCCGACCAAACCCTTGGGGACAGGTGACACAATAATAAGAATTCATGTAAGGTTTAATTGCAAAACCTTAATATTTAATTATTATACATTAATAGGTCTATGCGTTAATAGATAAACAAATTTTGTCTGGTCTAGGGTGTTTGTTCACACCTCATAACTTTGTGTACTTTTTGTGTTGGGTGTGAAAATTCTTTTTTTTGTTAAATTCTACCGAAAATGATTGATATTGTTCTGTCCCTGCTTAATAGTCCTGACAAGATACAAGGGCCTACCTACCAACTGGTACAGGATATATGGATGTGTTTCTAGGGGTGAAAGCGTGGTGTTGGGCTTCCTGACGGACGGGTGTGAGGTGGGGGTCAGCATCCTCGAAGCTGAGCGCGAGATGGTGGACAAAGACCTCATCAAGAAACTGGCCGCGTCCGACACCAAATACAACTTTCTCCTGAGATACAAGGTTTGAGCTACATCATCAGCCAAATGTTCGGGGCTTACACAATTCCTTCACAGGGACAGGATAACCTACGAGCCACGAGGAAGTATGGATTATCTGCCTCAAATGAACCTTGGCGTGAAATATAATTTTAATTCACAAGGGAGAGATATTCCGTAATTCCTAGTTCAAATAGGTTGTTCTTTACGTTATCCATAATCGTTTCCCTGAGAAAATGTAGAGAAATTGTGGCAGTCCTCATCTGAAATTACTCTATTGTTTGAATGACGTCATATAAACTCGCCATGACGTCAAGAACAATGGATGAAGTCATCTTTGTCACGTTTCTAGGGCTTCTTCGAAAACAATAAAAACAATGAGCTAATTGTTTTTATACCCAGTGTGAATAACTGAAAATTTCCCTGTATTGACCTGTTATGTGATGAATATTGACTCGTCTGCTAGAAAAAGAAGATGGCGTCTGGTACTAACATTTCATGGTTCGCAGCTAAGTTACTGTAAGTAGAGGACAGTTTAAAGACTTCATAAACGTTAAAGTGAGTGTTGGTAGGACAAAACGAATGATTACTCTTGACGAGGTAATATACAAAAACAAGGACCCTCAGGGATCGGGTCCTCGGTCCTTGTTTTCGCATAGTGACCTCGTCCGGAGAAACTATTTGTATATTATTGACTTTATGTTCAGTGAGTGACGTCACAGTACAAATGACGTCACAGTACAAATGACGTCACAATACAAATGACGTGGCATATTTTTACGCCTTTACCCAGTTTGCCTTCAGGACACCGGATTCAGTAGCCTACACACTTTTCAGTTCAGCTATATTACGTATGGATAATAAATAGATTATGACATTAGTGTGCCTATTATATGGAATGTGCGGGTTAGAATAGGTCTTCAGCAACTTATATGCTTGTTGTAAGATACGAGTATTAGATCGACTGGTTGGCTTGGTGCCATGGCTGATCGGGTATCATCGTACCCAGACAGCTACGATCGTTTCTCATGATATCAGTGACTGGTTTGTCGGGTTCTGACTCGATTATTAATGTTTGTTTGTTTGTTGTTTAACGCCGCACAATATTCCAGCTATATGACGGCGGTCTGTAAATAATCGAGTCTGGACCAGACAATCCAGTGATTGACATCATGATCATCGTTCCACGCAATTGGGATACGATGACATGCATCAACAAAGTCAGCGAGCCTGACATCCCGATCCCGTTAGTCGCCTCTTACGACAAGCATAGTTGCTGAAGACCTATTCTACCCCGGATCTTCACGGGTCGATTATTCATGTCATAATATTAATGAGTGCGCGTTACACAAACAAACGGGTGTACGTCGTACTGACTTCCACTGTACTTCATTCTCCCTCGGAAATACAGATGCTTGGACACCCTTTCCCAAAATCCGTACACACAGATATATGTACTGATCCTTATTTATTGACCAATGTAGGCCCTGGCGGAGGTGGGGAGTAAGCACTACCTGGCCACTGAGCTGTGCGACTACACATTGGAGGAATACATCGCAATCACCCGTCTGGACCACAACCACGACCCTCTGGCCGCAAACAGACTCGCCTGGCAGCTCCTCAAGGGCATCCGATACCTCCACGACGACATCGGCATCGTCCACGGCAACCTCAGGGTGAGTGAGTGATAGTTTTACGACGATTTTAGCAATATTCCAGCAATAGATCACGTCGGGGGCAACAGGGAAAAATGGATTTCACACATTGTACCCATTTGGAAAATCGAACCCGGGCCTTCAGCGATGCAAGAAAACGCTTTAACCACTTGGCTACCCCCAACGCCCTGGGTGATCAGCAGTCAGCAATGTCACGGCTGTATCATGGTGGCGCATTAATAGTCGAGCTTGGAGCTGATAAACCAGAGTGTAATGGTATGAATGTAGTCCATCATCATCATCATTTATTGTATTCTGGCCATAGGCCCATATACATACAATAACATTATATATATACAATTTTGTACATGTACAAGTATAAACATGCAGACAGACAGAGATGTGCACGTGTACAATTTTGTGAAAAAGAAGTCGCATCACAACACAACAAGAAGAGATTAAAGCATTTGATTAATAAAGGCAAATAACCTCAAGAATAATTAAACATCATTTGTACAAAGACGAAGTCGTAAACCATAATTAATGTATAGGATAGTATTCTTTTGTTGCTCGTTAGATATTTCATCAAAACGGAGGAGCTTGATTAGTGTATTGATGTTTTGGGATAAACCTTGGAAATATTTTGTTCTGAGCGATTCATAAAATGGACAGATAAGCATAAAATGGTAATGTGGGGCAAAAAGGACAAAATCGCATATTTTTTTAAACTGAGGAAAAACGACCTGTATTACATACTAAATTGTTCAAACCTAATCTAAAACGTGTAAAACACACTCTAAGTTTTCTGTCTGTTATATCTGTTAGTTCAAAACCTGTCTATCTTTTCAGGAAACTGCAGATAATATGTCATATACTGACTGCTCTTGTTTTGCAAGTGACATGTTGTTACATTAACAATTAATATTCGAAATCTTCATTATTTGCATATGTCAATTATTATTTGTCATATTACGTAAAACGCCTCCCTTAACGCCCTCTAGCCCGACAACATCTACGTAGACAGCGAAGGCAAGCTGAGGGTGGGCGGTTACGGCATCATCAAGAAGGACAAGTTCGGCCACTTCTCTACACGTCCAACAGGTGAGACGGGATCATCAGTTAACATCAGTTCTGTCGAGATCATCGGTTAACATGTCTCGTGTCAATTTTATGTAACATACTGCCAACAGAAGCCACTCACTCACTCACTCACTCACTCACTTACTCACTGATCTACTCGCAGGGGGGAACCTGTGCTGGCAAGCAACCGAGACCTTTGCAGAGGATGAAAACTCCATCCCAACAACGCGGTCGGACGTGCAGGTCGTCGCCATGATCCTCTACTACATCCTCACCGGCGGACGACATCCCTACGGCAACAACAATTTTGAGATTGAGCTGAACCTGTGTCAAAACTGTGCGGAGCTCTCCTTCATCAGCGAGGAGGCTAACGATCTGATTAATGACATGCTGTTCTCTGATGTCAGCGCCAGGCCATCCATCGACGCTTGTCTCAGGTAGGAGCAGGGCTATTATAACTCCATGAATAGAAGCCAAATACAGTCAGATCTTTGCCCACTGTTGTTAAAGGGCAAGTTCACACGGAAATGAACCTAATTTTCTTGTACTTTTTCCACAATAAAAGTGTTAACCTAGAAGTGTCATAGACAAAAATATAAAAAATATCACAATTAATTAACATATGTTTTGCATTAAAACGATTTATATTTTTCACATTTACCAAGTGTTCTATTTCCATAACAAAAACACCATGGCTTATGCCCCTTGCAATATGACGTCATTGGTGCCAATTGATAAACATTATGACGTCATCATGCTTTGTTAGAGCCGCTTCACGTGGTGTAGGTACAGGTGTGTGATTCTAGCGTCTCAGATGCCAGCCAGCATAGTGTTATGCTGAGTCACCACTGCGCCGGAGTGTGTCGTAGGCCATGTTGTTTTACCGAAAACTTGTACTTGATATCTTTTGCGTTAAGAATAGACAGGGACCCAGTTGAATTGGCACCAATTACGTCATAATCTAAGGGGGATAACTCAGGCCTGTTTAGCTCGAAAAACGAAGGCCTCATAACGGCATATCATTTTCATACTATTGTGAGCTTCCTACTTTCACTGTGAAAAAAATGAGTGTATATTTTCAAACACAGATACTAACTAATTCTAAAATTGCGTTTTGTTTAGAAAAAGAAAGAAAGTGATTTTTGCGTGTACACTTCCCCTTTAACATATACTCAGTTTGAAATCAATGTACATTTGGAATCTGTATGAATGAAGCTTCAAAAATGCTCTTTTTTTTTAAATTCTCAGTTGCCAAGACGACCTACTTGGGCCTAGTTTAGCAAAGAAATCGTAGCGCCTCGATAACCGTAACTCCAATTCTTGAACATAGACCTACAACTGTCGTAGCGCTATATGAATCAGGGCCCAGACATGTCTGAAATAACCCTTTTGTTAACCTTGTTTCGGGCCAATTGGTAATCCTTGCAAGCTTAATTCAATTTATTTTGAAGAAGCTCAAAATTTATGATATATGTCAGTTTGGCAGTCAGTGGTTACCCAAAGTCTACCAAGAAAATATCTACGTTTTATACATGGCACTCATTACAAAGGCAAGATGTGGGGCGGTATACTTAAAGAAATTGAGACTTTTCTAAAGTCAAAATGTATGTTTTTAAATATATGTGAATTGTTTTATATCAACAATAGAACAACCTAAACACACGATCACTGGTATGTTGCTCACAAACCAAAGATCATAACCAGGGCAATCTTGGATTCGAACCCGTGATCATAGGCTCCTGGTTGCCCGTTGGACGCAAATGCATCGCCTTAGACCACGGCTTGGTCATCAATGCCCCCCTACTGACCTTCAGACATCTTATGTTCGATATCGATAATAAGAATAAGAATAATCAGTTGAATATTTCTGACAGTGCTTAGTCCATGTTCCAGGCATCCGTTCTTCTGGTCAGAAGAGAAGCGGTTCCGGATGGTGCTCATCGCTGGCTCGGATGTGCTCAAGGAGATGAAAACAGGGTCAGACATTTTGTTAAATAATCTCATTATCACTTGTACTTGGGATTACCCAGTTATGTCCGCATTCCCATTATCGTGTTACGAATTCTAAGATACTTTGCTGAAAGATCAAACGAGCGGACAGTACTTTATCCTGTGATAAAGTACACGTTTTGCGATAAAGTACACGCTTTTCCCATCGGGATCTAACGTATCCTTAGTAACATGCAAATTAGTTCTACCATTCCCGTCAATCAAGATAGAGCATCCATCTTACTAGATCAGTGAAAATACAGTAAATCGATAAAACACATCTTGGCTTTGACAATCGCGAGAACGAAAAACAGTCACATATGTATCAACAGAAAGGTGACAATTTGATGTGGCAATTGCCAAGTAAGACTTTCAACTGTACCTTGTTAATTAAAAATGAGGACACAATTTAAAAAGCGAGCATCATGGAAGGATAAAGAACATACTGTCGGCGTTTTTTATCTTTCATCGAAGCATCACATACTATCTGTTTAAGGCATTTGTTTCTGGCTAACGGGATCGGGTGGTCAGGCTCGCTGACTTGGTTGATGCATGTCATCGTATCACAATTACGTAGATCGATGCTCATTATTTCAATCACTGGATTCTCTGGTCCAGACTCAATTATTTCCAAACCGCCGTCATATAGCTGGAATATTGCTGGGTGCGGCGTTAAACAACAAACAAACAACATGTGGTTCTGTTGAGTGCAGAATACCCTGTGTTCATAATCGGCTGTCATGACATGCTAACTTCATGCGGCAGTTTCCAATGTCTGTATGAAATGTTAAGGAATTAACAGAGCGGACCAGGGTCCTCTTGCACAACTAAGATTGTTCTGTGCAAGTGGGCCCAGGTGGTGTCATTTATAATCTCCTTCCAGAATTGCCCTGACTGGCTCGGGAAGCACCACCATGACAGACTTCCTGAATGTGTCGGAATATCTGGTGATCAGCGACGGCTGGGTGAGTGAGTGTGTGCCCTGTTGGACGACGTGACGCTGGCGTACTCCGACCGTTTAGGCGAAACGTTTCGGTCTATACATACAAGTGTTATCGCCATTCAACAGCTTATTGTATAGAAGGCTAACATGAGAGTGTTGTCATTCTTTTATAGAAAGTAGAGCGTGCCTTTGTCGTGCAACTCGCTTTCAATAAGTAGCAAGCGTCAAACGTTGGCCCACAGTCTCTCATGTTGCAACGTTGTGCAGCTAACAGGTATTATGCATGGCCTGAATGCACTGGTCAAAACACGTTTCACGTATTCGGCAGTCGTATTGGTCACTTTTTAGTTGACTTTGAACAGAGCCGAAGAGCACAGCTGTCCTGTTTGGTCCATCATTCTCCGGGATCATACAGAAGAATTTGTGTATTGCTGTACGGCGTCCTCATAGTGTCCTAAATAGTGCACTCGTGTGAGGTATTGCAGCCGTGTGAAACACAGGCGTCCAGTTCACCAGACATGTTCATTGTAGTTGACTTGACTCACTTATGAGATAAACATTATGTGTTTTCAGATTTGCTGGTGTTATTGAGTAGAGAATGTTCAATTATTTTAGCAGGCAGTTTTTGAGAAAAAAAGATACTTTTCAAAAAAGAATTCATCCGATACCATTTAACAATGTTTTTAACCATTGGGATTGCATCGCACAATTCCATTTATTTTACAAATGGTGACAATTTGTGACATGTGACAGATTAAATGCCATTGTTCATCGACTCTTTTGGTCATTGCCCAAGCTATCAAGTTTGACTTTTCCAGACTCGATTATTTACATACGGCAGACAAATAGCTGGAATATTGCTGAATGTGACGTTAAACAACATAAATCAAAGAAACACAACCATCCCGTTTGTATGAATTTGAACCAGAATAGAACTTGCATTGACTCCAACGATTGCTCAGATCAGGGCCGACGGAATAGCCTCGTGGTTAAAGCGTTGATTCGTCACGCCGACAATACGGTTTCGATTCATGGGTTCAATGTGTGAAGACCATTTTGATGTTCCCCGCCGTGATTGTGCGGGAATGTTGCTGATATCGGTGTTAAACCTAACTCACTCACTTTTCTGCAGATCAACGTCATCGACAGCTCCGTGCTGAAGGAGATGCGAGCGTTCCGCCAGTACAAGAACACCCTGGCTGAGATGGTGCTGTTTATCTACAACTGCTGTCTGCATTTTGACAAGATGTGAGCAATTCTATTTCTGGAGTGAAGAAAGAGATCCTATACGCTATTCCCTTATAAAGTTCCAGGGGCGGTCGGGTAGTCTAGTGGTTAAAGCGTTCGCTCGTCACGCCGAAGACCCGGGTTCGATTCCCGACAATGGGTACAATGTGTGAAGCCCATTTCTGGTGTCCCCCGCCGTGATATTGCTGGAATATTGCTAAAAGCGGCGTAAAACCATACTCACTCACTCACTTATAAAGTTCCGTTCATATAAGTTTTTACATTTGTTTGTATTATATAGATAATGTCACCCTCGTGTCTTTTGATATCAAAGATATCAACAAGTGTTGATATATTTGATACCCTCGTGTCTTTTGATATCAAAGATATCAACAAGTGTTGATATATTTGATATCGGAAGACACGAGGGTGAGATTTTATTTATCATCCAACATCATTCTTCCGACTTTTTCAGTTTGTAGATAGTAATAAGCAGTAATACATTTGATAACGTGTGTTTCTCCACAGGTCCCACGGTGCCCGAGATGTACTTGATGACCCCTGTCGATACTTCTTGGCGCGGTTCCCTCCCTTGTTTATGGCCGTGTACAAAGCAATCAAGGCGTCCGACAGAACAGATCGCACCTGCTATCGACCCTTCTTCTAGAATCGTTAGATAAGAGTCTTACATTAATTATGTATAGATAGATCTGATATTTTTGTGAAAACTATATAAAACCCGATAAATATTAGACTGATTCTTGACCCTCTACATGCTCATATATTCTAGAGAAATATACTATTTACATATACACATATACACTTAGCCTTTTAAATAGGTATTAAATGTGTTTTAGATTTTTCATTCAGAACATGTATATACATTTGTAATAACTTCAATTTCTTGATAGGCTGTAGGCAGTGTTTTATATATACATTTAGTCCGTAGGTTTTACAACAGGCACATTTGTTACACGTTTTTACATCCGTCCAATGTTAAAAAGAATATAATTATTGATTGTTGATTTATATCGATGTGTACTGCAACATTATTATTATTTATACTAGTACTCGTGAATAAAGAGGTTATGCTGTTACAGTAGCATTTGCCTTACATTGTTGCTCTGTGTATAAATGTACCATAAGTAGCATCATTTTAAACCTACAACGGAGGGTTCAAATCCACGCAATTGGGATCGATGACATGCGTCAACCAAGTCAGAGAGCCTGACCACCCGATCCCGTTAGTCGCCTTTTACGGCGATTCACGGGTCGTACCCATGTTGGGAATCGAACCCGGGCATTCGGCGTGACGACCAAACGCTTTAACCACCACAAGGCTACCACCCTCCCCTCATTATCCTGTGAACCATTGGATACTTGAAACTGAGCTGGAATATAGTGATGAACCCAGCAATTTGGTCTCTTTAAAATTGACTCACAATTATATACATTCTAAGGCACCGACTATATGAATTTTGTTGATAGGTATCTTTGATATCCTTTCTTGAAAATCAATGAATATTCGCTTTTTCTGCATAAATTTATAACATTTCAAGCATGTTAAGGGCCATGTGTTTGCAAGTTCATTTCCTACCCTAGTCTTCATCGAACCAATATATTTTTACCCAAAGTTATTTAGCCACAGATTACTTTTAACAAACTGTTGCAAGAATGAGTGATGGTTAAATAGACATAATCAAATTTAACAACAGTTCTTTCAATAATTTTCCATTTCATAAAAAAAACCTCTGTATACTCTCTTAATGCATTTTAATCATAATGATGATTATGAAAAAAAAATTATCAAAGAATTATGAACAATATGTATAAAGCACCACACGGGCAAAAACCTCAGGGTCAACCTCAGCTAATACGTTTTTGCTCGTGTGGTACTTTGTACATATTGTTCATAATTCTTTGATAATTGTCATTTTCATAATCATCATTATGATTAAAATGCTTTAAAATGTTAAGGCGCTTGGCAACTCATGGTCAACCATCCACTGTATTACATCCCCATTCTATTATGATGAATACTGCTAAAAGTTACCATTTATTATTACAAAATCATTTGCGAAATTTGGAACAAAATCCAAGCCATATTACGGAGAGGGGCGTCAAAATTGGCTCTAAATGGTTCACCCATGTGGTGAATTGGTGTGACGAGTCAACGCTTTAACCCCGCTAGACAAACCCCGTCGCCAATGACTTTGTCGGTTGAGATTATTTATATAAACAAATGTCAAATCAGGTTAGAAGTGTTGTATATTTCATGCAGGTGTTCACCGGAATAGTCACGTGATGTCATGGTAACGAGTTTAGCCAATCGGGATACACTTCCGTTGCACGAGTTTTTCCTGCGCGTAATCCAGACTCTATTGATCGAAGCAGACGACGCTTACTTTATCAAATGCACCGCTGCATGTTAAATTAATTACAATGGGCTTAGACCCTTATTTCTCATGTTTATATTATTCACGCGCTACTTTGATCGCTGTGTTTAAAACTTTGGTATGTCATGTGCATTATGTAGACTTTTCACGAAGAAACACATTTCAGCTTGATTTTCTTGCCCTACCGCATGTTTTCACTCTGGAGAGGACGTTGAACAAAACGACATGGTAAGTGCAGCAATATTGAATTCAACAATCTGAATAGATAATTATGTAAACGAATAATCGCTGTGGCTGTAACGAATCGCAGATGATGTGATGTTATATTCGATACAAAACAGCACAAGGGCACCAGGCCGGTAAGAGGGTTTCTCTGTCACTCTGTGCGTGCGTGCGTGCGTGCGTGTGGAGGGGGCGGGGGTGGGAGGGGGGAGATTGTCCCATGTCGTCAATGAATGAAGCATATCATTTAATGTAAGAATACAGCATGTACATAAAACATATTGATTCTAAATTCTGTTTATGTTCTTACACCTATGTCGTTGATGTTTTCAACTTGACCAATTACACAATTATACGTCGGGATGACCAAGGATGGGTTTCACACATTTTACCCCATTTGGGTACAAGACCCGGATATTCGTCAGAGAAGCGAACGTTTTAATATGGTGATGTAAATAAGAGAAAACAGTTTCGTTGAGGTCATAACGGCTTCCTCCACACACTTATGCAGTGTATATTAGTTTTAGCAATATTCCAGCAATATCACGGCGGTCGACACCACAAATGGGCTTCACACATTGTACCCATGTCGGGATTCGAACCCGTGCACACTATACACACACCGAATTATTTTGTCAATAAATTTTCACGAGGAGAATTTTGTCCAACGCCTTCACACATTGGCCAACAACACATACATACATGTATGTACACACATACAGAGTATTTGCTGCGAAATGACCGTTTTAACCATTCGTTGCAGCTCTATCTTTGTCCAGCTCCGCTATAAAAGGTGTAGTAACATCAATACATGCTGTTTTCTTTGTGAAACATGCAAACTGTTGGTTTAATATCAATAAAACGTAGTATTAATTGCAAGAAGAACGAGTTTAGCTTCGTCGATTCAGCAGTCTTACTACGAGGGTAGTTGTTTGGTCCGCTGTAAGCAACCGCAAACTTAGTACCAGTGTCTTAATACGGAGGGGTGAGGTTAGGTGTCACTTTTAGAGTGAACGGTTTTATGACCATATAGGTTTACAATTTGGAATATAATTTTTAAAATTAGATGCTATTTTATATTAATGATTTGATCCTCTTGCTAAGTTTAAGAGTTTTAGAGTTTGCGGGGGTAGACAATAGGTCAGATGATATAAGTAATGTGTTGAGGGAGGTTCCAGTTCCTGCCCTCAGGGCTACCTTTATTAACTTGCCTTTAAATGTGTTTGTAACGGGTGCCACCGGTGGTGCAGGATACGCTCAGCTTTTCGCGAACACCTGGTATCATGACTATTCTCGAGTGATTCATAAACACATGCTCATGATATAGTCGGATACGTACAATCGACTCTGCTTTTATTAGAGATTTCTTTTGAATGTGGTAAGGGTATTGTAGCTTTTATTTATTTGAAGAAGAATGAGGGCAGGACTTTGTTGTATTGTGGTAAGGTCGGAGGCTTTAGATGGAGACTTTAGTTGTGGAGCTGTTGGCGAGTCGGACGTTGTGCTGATGTTGATGACGGGATGTTGCTGTCACTGTCGCTGATAGTACTTGCTACGGGCGATTATACCATGAAATAATGTGAATGAATGAATCATAATGAGTGCGTCTTTCAATGTTTTGGCTCCAGCTCAGATGCGTGAAACCCTATCATGATCAGTTCGTCGCGTATGTTTTAGCTTCAGTTGTGACATCCCACTTCCTACAATAACGAGTTAGTCTGTCAAAGTATTAGTTCCATTTAAGACGCGCCACTTCCTATTAAACTGAGAGATCCATCTTGATCTCTTAGACGATGCAGATACAGACATTATCGTTTTCAATTTTATGTTTATTGAAATGAATGGGTCTTTTAATGTTTCAGTATCAGTTGAGGCGCCCCTTTTTTATTTAGATGAGTGTATCTTTTTTTTAGCTCCAGTTAAGACGCATTATTTCTATAGTACTGAGCTAATTTTTTGCGAAACGATCATAGCCCTAAAATTATCGTAAAGTTGTCGTAAGGAAATCGTAAGCTATCGTAGCCTATTTTCGATACTATCGTAGCCCTAAGATATCGTAAGATTGTCGTAAATCTAAGATGGACCCAAACCTTTCGTAAGTTTATTTTATCTTCATCCTTGATGGCGGCATACTTTGCCATAGATGTTTTTTAAACAAATAATCTGCTTTACGTTCAAAGATTGACATTTCATTTTGTTGGACTGTGTGATTCAAATTGACACTACGTAAAAACACGAAGAACGCATCGAAGATATCACGTTAGAAATGATCTTAATCGCGACAGCGATCCACATAACTATGGAGTCGATAGTCTACAATATATTTCTATCCGAGTCCATGCTGAAGAAGTGTGAAACAACATACCTTTTCGATAATTCGGGAAGGATTAAAATGGAAGGTGTCGGCAGGCTCTAAAGTAATGACCGTGACCTTATTGATAACTCAGGGGCAGCTAATCTTATTGATTTAACAAGGAAATATGTGTGATCAAATATGCGTATAGTTTATTTGTATAATGTTTTTCTTGCAGAAGTAATTGTGTTTGGTTTCGTTTTCAAAACAACACCTAGGTTATCTATATTACCGAAAGACAAATATTTGACAAGTGATTAAATATTGTCTATTGAATAATTGCATTCTTTAAAAACAGGTGATGAGAGACATAGATGTATTCCATTAAGTATAGCAATTTATTGATATTTTGAGAGCAAAAGTTAAGCACATATTTTCGTATCTTATTTTCGAGAATAGCGATTTGAAAAATCAAGTAAACAATGGGTTCAATTTGGGTTTAAAATGTCGCAAAGAAGTAACTTATTTTGAACATTGTCCAAACTTCACCTTTCAATATGTTTTAGCAGAAAATGTTTATTGAATGAAAATTACTGATCAATATAAAATAGACATTTTCACCACAATAATCTTTGAATTTTGGATTCAATGGACCGATTTAAAAATAATAATTGATGTTGTTTTTTTCCATTGAGATGTACATTTACCCGTTTTATATTCACAAAATATAGATACTTGAGACCATTCAAACAATAATATCATTGTAAAGGATATGGTCACCGGACAAATACTATTAGTTGACCCTCAGCAATGCTGTCAGACAAGCCAAGCGTCACCGAACTACGTTCTGGAATAGATTTTACACATTGACAATGTAGATATTTCGCTCCTCAGCCAGATTTAAATCAAATCAGACAAATCAGTTTATTAACTCTACTTAATTTAAAAGGATAGAAAAGAACTACATTTTATTTATGTTTACGTTAACTTGTGGCGTGTTCCATGAGACAACATAACTTGACAATTCCTAAATTATCTCCCTTTGTGAACGAAAGTGTCACTTTCAAATTTGGATAAGAATTATTGATCTAGATAGGTTTAAAAGAACCACACCATCTAAATACAAATAGCTTGATATTGTATTTGAGACCTTTGTTTTTT